CTTCATCATATTTATCATCTCTATCACTATCATCATCATCTCTATATTTACCTTTATCTTGATTCGGTTTCAATTGGACAAAAGGCAAACAGCAAATCGGGTTTTTTTTCATCTCCAGATCATCTCACTGAACGCTCTTTTTTTTGGGTAAATTTCTGGTTCTTCTGGCAACTTTTATGATCTGTTTTATTTAATCACCTTTTTAACGGCAATTTAACTTGGCTTGACCTAATCATTTGTCCATTCACTTGCAAAAGAAAGAAATGCTTTTCAATTGTTGCATTCCAAAGGAATGTTTCCATTTTTTGTTGTTCAAATGCAGACACAACTTTCAATTGAAACTTTAATGGTTAACTTGAACTGTTTAACCATTGGTAATGAGACAATCTTGTGGTTCAACTAATTAGTATTTCCTTCAGTTGATCAACATTTTAACATGATTGATTAGTTGCAAGTAATTTGATGACAATTAATCACATTTAAAAAGGAAAGTTGAGAAAAAGTTTAATCATTTGAAGCACATAAAAGAATAGAGTTTAACCGCAAAAACAACATTTACGCGTTTCTCTGAAAATAAAGTGCTCCAAAGGGCAACATCATTATGCAAATAAACCAAAGTATTCAAATTGTCTTCAAGTGCTGGTTAAGCATAAATTATTGCCACCTTTAGTAGATTCAAATGAACTGAGATGACTTTAAAAGTTAGAAATGCAAGAAAATGAAAATGAATTGAAATCAATTTAAGCCTGAAATTGCAATTATTCACATTCTTGTGACAATGAGACAAAATAGTCTTTTTTGGGCTTCGATCATTGAGATGTCCAGAAAATCCTCTTTTAGAAGTTAATTGATGAATTAAGATAAACTAACGGAAATTAATCACTTTTAAGAGATGAACATTGAATTTTCTGGTTTAGATGAATTGATAGCTTTTGGTATTAATGCTTTACTATTGTAATAGATGCTAAGCTTGACTCTTTGCTTTTCTGGTTTTGTTGTGTTTTTCGGGTGCAAATTGACCAGTTTGACCTCGTTCGAAGAGAGCTCAATGAATGGTGTAAGCTTGCATTAACTGCATGTCGACTTATTGACTTTTTATGAGACACTAAACCGCATTATGAGCCCAAGCCCAATATAAATACTTATTAACAAGAGAAAGGAAAGGATAAAAAAGGATAAAATGTCGGCAGAAGGAGAAGATGAAGAATTGATGATATTTTTGAACAGATTCAATGAGCAACGGTAAAGGGAAGGCAAAGCGACAACAAGGCACACACACAGATAGACACACAAACACTCACAAGATACACACACACAGACAGAAATGCACACAAAAAGGGCTTCTTGATACGCTTCAAGAAATAGTTTACAGCATTGTAAATGCCAAAGGCAAAAGGACAAGCTGAATACAAGTAAAAGTAGAGAGACGAGAATAAGCATGAAATAAAAAGGAGAAGAGGAAGAATGAACAACACGTCGGACTTTTCAGTTCCTCTTCATCATCATCTTTCCCTCTTCTCTTTTTCTTCTCTCTTTTTTCTTCTTCCTTCTTCTTTCTTCCTGTCCCTTGGGTTAGAAAGAGAGTTTCAAATTTTCTCCTTTTCTTCTTCTTCTTTTTGCATCTTTTTCTTCGCCTTCGCCTTCGCCTTCTTGCGATTTTCAGAATCAAAAGATTAGCTTTGAGTACAAAATGATGAGAATGATAGTGATGATAGTGATGATGAACAGGATGATGATGAGCCTTCATTGTGTCTAGTCTTTACTTGAAATTACATTTCAATGAAACTTTTTTTCTTCTTCTTTCATTGCGTTCCTTTAAAAATAGAATTGACCTTTTTTAATGAATTTATTTTTTCTCTTCAACTTTGCGTTCGACTTTTGCTTCTCTTCATATTTATCATCATTTCAATATTTTATCCTTGCTTTTGCCTTCCTTCATCGTTTTCATTCTGGAAAAGTTTTTTTTATCTCTTAACCTTTCTGCTTCTGCTGCCTTTCATGGCTCATGAAACATTAACATTTTCATTGGTAATCATTGTGAATGTTTGTTTCAACTGATAAAACGTCAAAATTCAATTTTCCATTCAACTCTTCACATTTCATTCTCTGATTAACATGATGATAATAAAATACAGATTTTGATGCAACATTTGTAATAACAAATGCTTTTCTTGTTCAGGAGAAGAAAAAAAAGTTTCACTTTTTTTGGTTTTTTTGGGTTTCGATGCAAGTAAAAGCTTGTGAAGGAAAAAGTTGACTTTTGTGTTTACTTGATCATCAAAGGGTTCAAAGTTGACCAGTTTTTCAATTTGATTCAATGTTTCAATGTTGAGGGAATTTCATGGAAAAGGTTCAACTTTACTCATCGAAAGTGTCTTTTCATTTTCTCTTTTCCTTGCACACATTTTCCCATTGAATCCATTTGGTGTAAGTGGTGAATTGAGATGAAAATGACACCAAATTGACATGTGAATGAACTTGCAGAATTAATCTTTGACTATTCTATGAACCTGAGTTGATCAAGTTTCAATCTGCTATCATCTTCTTGTTCATCAACAACAACGGAACAGCATCTTTTCAATGAGAAAATACCTTTGAAAAAATCGATAAACTAGAATCTTCAGAATGATAAGAAGAAGGAGAGAAAAAAAGGAAAAGAGAAAAATGGAAATATCAATTTTTTCTTCATTCTTGTTCAGTTGAAATACTCAATTCTTAAAGCAAATTGATGATTGACTTTGATGAAAATGGCTTGAATGAAATAAATGTCAAGACTGAAAACATAAAGTTAAGAAGACATGGGAAGATGATGAGAAAGAAAGGAAAGAAGAAGAAAAAAATCTTGTCGAAAGAAGATGAAGAAAGTTCTGAAAAATTGTTGATGAAGAAGGAAAAAGTATGTAAAGAATGAGTTTGGATGATTGGGTGACAAAGTTGACAAGTATGAAAAGTGATTGGATGTAAGCGACAAGGAAAAGATAGGTTACTGGATGAGAAGGGATGATGAAGGAAAGGATGAAGAGAAGATGATGGATATGATGAAAGAGCAGCTTTGAAGAGATTGGAAGATGATAATAGGATGAATGATGGATCAATTGGTTCCTCTTTTTATCAATGGTCAATTCAATGGGAAGAAGATGAACAAGAAGATGTAACAATGTTTAAAAAGAAGCAAAGTTATCTTCATCTTTCTCTCTTCTTCTCTCAGTCTTTCAATTGTTTACTAGAGAGGGAGGAGAGAGAGAGAGAGAGAGGAAGATAAAGAAGATGTTAAGGAAGATGATGGACAAGTTGAAAGGAATAGAGATGAAGAAAAAAGAGAAATATTGTTCGCTCAAAGAATAGACTAAAAGTTGAAAGGAAAAGTAAACTTTGTTGTTATTTACTTGTAATATATCAGACAGCTTCATCAGTTTCATTTTTCATCTTTATTAGCCAATCAAATGTTTCCATGTTTTTCAAAAGATCGAACCAAAAATGGATTCACTTTTGACAAGTGAACAGCTCACATGATCCCATGAAAATATTAATAGTAACCAATTTTTGTTCACTTTCACTATTTGTGTTCATCATTGAGCTTTATTATTATTGTGACAACTCTTTGGATTTTAAATTTTTCCAGGTCACTTTAGAGCCAAATGAACCAGAATTTCAACAAAAACGGGTCTCCAATCATCGCTTTCGATCTTATTAAGCATAAAGTCAATTACAAAAGTAAAGAGAAAAATTGGAAGCCAGAAATTTCAGTATTTATTTCATCTTCGGAAACATTTTGATTTGAAACCAGCTAAATAATATGACTTATTAATACATATTGTTTCTGGTTAACCATTAAAGTCTTGCTTTTGTGGAGATTTTTTCAAACAAATTCAATTCCATTTTCATTGAGTAACTTAACATTTTTCTGATGATGAGAGCTAAGTCAGGTCAGAATAATCTGTTATTTGGTTCACGAATTCCCTCCAAGTATTGAGATTAATACTCACAGTTTGACTGGAAGTTCAGATTTAGATTAAATCTTTAACTGTATCAACTTGAGAGTCAATTTGCATTCACTTATCATTTCACCGCAAATCATTGGTTTATTTTGCTTATTGTGACAAAAATGTTGAGATTAATTTGTTGATTCGGTTTTAATAAAAAAATTTCATTCCATTACTTAGACTTTGAATGAAGCTTTTATTGTTGGTTGAATTTTTGTCTTTTTTATGCTAATGAATATAAACAGTTCTTTTGTAAATGATGGCAACTGATGATTCGCATCTATTTTTATTTATATTTGAAGACATTTTGGTAAACATTGAATATTGTTCATCATCAAGATTAATCTTCTCACTGATTTCTCATTGTTAACCCTGAAAATGTCATTTGATTGATTACAAGTGAAACTCTTTCACTTGTAACTAAAATTCAATTACATTTGTGACTCTCTTGTGTCTTTGGTAACAGCCTACAGTTAAAGAGCAAAATGGAAAACATTTTACTTGTTCAATTCCTTTTCATCTTCATCTCCTTCCTTTTCATCTCAATCATCTTCTTATCTTCCCACCTTCTTCTTCTTTTTCTTGTTCTATTTCATCTTGTTGTCCATCTTGCTGATCCCATTGGTTTGATAAAAATAATGTTGATAAACATGATAATAATAATGGTAAAGTTGAAATGTTGATGCATTGAAATTGAGATTGAATTAATCGACATTTGTTTCTCGAGAATCACTTTCTTTCACCAAATGACAATTGACAAATTGATGTATCACAATTCAAATTATAGTTTACTAGTTGTTGGCTCAAATTTCAAACCAAGATAACTTTCAATATATTTCAGTTTCCCTTGTAAACTCATGTTGAAATGTTGAAATGTTTTGTACGTTTGGGTACAAAATACTAATGACTCGGAACAATATCAACAACAGTTATAATGATAATGTTTTGTTACCCTAATTTTAACTGTTCATGTGTGTGTGTGTTTCTTGTGTGTAAAAGTATCAAATAACAGAGAGATTGTTGGGTTCAATTGTTTTAACATTACAATGTATAATGATTTACACTTGACTACTGAAAAATGTTCACTAAATGTCTACAATCACTTAGATGCATCCCTTTGCTTTAACCTTAAATACAGCCTTTTTTTCATTCATCTCCTTGTGATATCATTTGATTGATTGTTCACCTTTCATCTATTCCGTCTTAAATCATTAAATTTGATTTATCAATGGATAGTTGGGTTAAAACAGCAGGCTTGATGAAGGATAACCAGGTTGATCAGCTTTCTTTCTTGTTCGCCTTTATACGTCTTTTTGGTGTTTCAGTTGTATATGTTTTCTGGTTGTCTGTCTCTGTATATGTAACAACAAGTTAAATAACAATCATTTATCATTTCTCTCTGTTTTGCTGTCATCAAGATTTTTAAATGAATGTATATGGTATTTCAATTAAGACTGAATTCTCTGTGAAAAATTGAACTTGAACAGGTTATGATGATAGACGATGACAGTTGTAAGTGACTTTTTTGTTAACTTGTAATGTGCCAACAATTTGTTTAATGATTGTTGGTCTCTCTCATTAGAGGCAACCCTCAATGAAGACAGGATACAAATTAAACCATGACTGCAAATGTTTGTATTTACAAGATTACCAATCGTGGATTGAGAATGACCAGTAGATAGATTTTGGTACGCGTCTTTGGCTGGTAATAACTGGTCAAAGTGATCAAGATATTAACTAATCACATTCATTGGTCCTTGTTGGATGGTAGTTCCTTGAAAAATAAAACAAAAAAACGATTAAATAGTATTAATGAAACCTTAATATAAGTTTCTTTATACCTGTAATTTGAAATGTAATAAAAAACAATAGATTGAAATAAAAATTAACGGACAAGGTTAAGACGTTAATGTTTTAAATGAAACTAGATGGGTGATGGTACGACATAAAGATCATGTATCGTTCTACACAATCTAAGTTTCACAAGTTTCACTAATTTATAAGATCCATCCATTCCATTTGTAATTTTTTGTTTGTTTACTATTAATAAATTGTTGATCAATTCATCACAAATGTATTGAATATAACGTATATAACGCCATCTGTCGTTTTCTAATACAACCATAAATGGATGGTTTGTTTTTTACTTTCTAGGTGTCGCTATATTTCATTTGTTCAATTGATTTGGGTAAATCATTTTCAAATAATTATCTTCCGTATTTATTGTTTTTTACCGTTTAACTCCTCAATTTCCTATTATTTTATATTTAGTTAAGTTTGATTTTGCTCTAATCATTAGCGATTCCCCTCAAACTCTACTTATTTCATTTTATATGAAGGATCTTTTTAAAGTCTTCTGTCAGTAAAGCAACCAAAAATAAACAAAGTTGGAAAGCACAGTAAGTCACACCATCAATTTACAATTTAATGCTTATGAAATTCCCTTTGAAAAACATTCAATATTGACAATGTATATTTTATGATTCATTTTATTTGATTTATTGAGAGATTTAGTATCGTAAATCCTGTAACATTTATTCCATCTTACAGGTTTAATGTACTCTCTATTTCATTTCAATTTAATCAAATTGCTGTGAAGGCTGATTTTTGTTATACTTTTGTTTTCTCAGCTTATGAAAATGTGCAACAATCATTAATTGATCAATGAAACAAATGGAGATTCGCATTTTAAAGTTTAACATGCTGATCATTTGGTGGACACATCGGCTTTTCCTCACCTCCAAGAACCGTTTATTTGCTCATCACCCTTTTGGACTCGTTAATAATTACAATTTTGGTTCAATTCAAGGTTTGATTGGAAATATTCGTTGAACTAATGAGCCTTGTTAAAATCTAGAATCAATTTGATAAAATTAATGACAGTTTTATGTTCATCTGAGTATCTAAGATTATGTTGATTTAAGCTTTAAGTAATAATTTCCATTTTAAATCATCATTACTCAATTGTATCGGTTAGTTGAGATTGGTAATGTCTTTTAATGAGATTGGTATGTTTTTGTTTTCATTGTTTTCATTGCAACATTGAATGACTTTTTGATTTTGTAATTTGATTGCTTGTTTTACAGATTTTTACTCAATAACTGGCTGACATTGGATAACATCGATTATTTAATTGAACTTGAGATGACAATTTTTTTGTGTCTCCCTAATTTACCCACAAAAATTGGCTAAACATTGGTGTACTTTAGTGATTTCAATGTTGCCGTAAATTGATTGAAATACCAATTTGTTATTTAAACCTGTTACACGCAAAGTTAGACTGGTAAATAATTAAACCTCTCCGAATTGAATAAGATTAATTAAAGATCTGTGAAACATGATCATGAATACAATTAATTTTTACATAGACTAAAAAATTATTGCTTTGTAAGAGATAAACAAATCATTATATTATTGGAAACATCATCAGTCTTTGGTACCAATCATCTAGAAAACGGACTCATTATACGGACAATAAATGCGTTTAAATGACAATTTACTTGAGTAAGAATGGTTCAACTGAATTAATCAGCTCATCAATTATTGATGATGGTCAATAATAAATGATAATTGGTTCATGTCCATAGAAAGATGACTTTAATTCACTGCAAATTGTTTCCAATGTAGCCAAATCTTCACACCATAAAGATCCATATGTAATGAGGAACGAGAAAAGGAATACAAATGAATAGAAAATTAAATTCTCATGTTTAAATTAAATTATTTGGGAACAAATTATCCAATTTAACCGGTTAAGATAAACAAATTATATTTAATTTCTGTGCTTGAGTGATAAAGTGAGTAAAACAAAATTAACACAATCAGTTAATTAAAAAACATTTATAATAAAGTGTATCAAGTAAGACTCATGTTTGATAGTTGGATAGATGTCTACAGATAGACAATCAAAGGAGTAAATAAACAATACACTGAATGGTTAACTAAGCAGCATGAAGAACACTGTGAAACACATTGATTAAAGTAAATAATAATCGGACAATTAATTTATCAACAACAATAAATCAACAATTAGGAGACAGTGAAGAAGGTAAAGTGAGAAGTGAGAAACAAACAAAATCAAAACAAGTCTAAACATACAGAAGCTAGAGCAACGGCAAATGCTATTCACACGACTCAAAGGTAAGCAAACATTGAATATCTAAATTAAATAATTAAAAATGAATTTCTCAGTCAATTTAATAAAATATCATTACCTTAAAAGCTTGCAAATTGAAAAGTGAAATATCCTCGATTGTTGAAAACAGGGTTAATTAACAACAGTCAATCGGTTAACCTTGTGTTACAATTTGTCTCACATGCATGAAAATCCTTGGATAATCAAGCTGATCATCACTTCTCGTTTAACTCTTTGTCTTTAAGCTCATCATCTTAATCATTTTAATCTTAACCATCAGGGAGAAAAATTTGATAGCAATAAGTTATCGAGCACATTAATATGATCATCGGGAATAGTAACTTGTATCAAGAATGAAACTGGAACAAGAAAAAGGTTGATATTCAACGGTTAATTAATCCTTGCAACTCCTTGATTAAATGAGAAATGGAGGAAATGGAGAGTAAAAACTGGAAGATTGTATCTCACTTGATAAATACTTTGTTTTTGGGTAACTTAGACTTTTATATAATCTGAATCATCTGAAAAAGACGACATTGAATATTGAAACATTTGAAAGACATGTGGTGTTAGAAATAAAAATTTGTAAAAATTGAAACATCATCTTCCATTGATTTATCCAAATTGATTTTCCTGGTTCAACATTTTTTTTATATTCTAGGTAAAGATCTGAAGAAAGTTGATTTTTTGAAGCCAAACGATTAAGTCCTAGAAATTTCTTTGGTTCTTCAGCCTGACCATGTACACAGAATATGATTAGCTTTGAAATTCAAAATGATCTGGCCCACCGTCGCGATTAATCTTGATTGAGTGAAGATGGATACAAATTTGTCAAATTAAACATCAAAGCCCCAAAATGTCTAGCAATGGATCAGAAAGGGCAACTCTTAACCATATAATGTTACAGTTGCCAGTTGCATACCATGTAAGATCAGAGACCTAAAGAAGAAGGTGAATGAATGAATATGAGTAGCTCTTGAAAAACATTTGATGATTTGTTGTCATCGATATAATAATCGAATCTATTATAACACTTTTAGGATGACTGAATCATTTGTTACATACCAATACAGTGGCAAACCGTCTGAACACACCACAGAGCGTACATGATTATGAACATGGTATGCTTTTTCCTGGAGCTACCGAAATGAGAAAATCATTTATCTCATCCACTCAGAGTGCTTGAATATTGGCTCATATTACCTAACAATAAATGAGATTGGAAAGATAAATTCAGATTAATCGGAGTTCGTTGACTTAAAAAGCACAAAAAAGTGATGGAAGCAAAATGATATGAGCATGAAAAAACTAACCACTAGCTTTAACCTTCATTATTAATTGATGGTTGATTCATACGATTTAAATTGTCCTCAAATTTGTTTCACCTTTTCCAATTTCAATTACTCAAATCAAACTTGAGTTATCCAAAAAAAGAGTAAATAATTACAATTGAAGGTTGATGAGCAGTAAACTCAATAATCCAATCCAAAAGATTACATCTGGCATGGCAAGACTAACCAATCTATGGTCATAACGAGACTAAATTAAAAGCCATTTGATTAGATGTAAAGTTGACGCAGGCAGAAGTATAAATTTTAATAAACACTTTAATAAAATTCGTAATTGTCAACCAATCACGAAAAACTCAATCAAAATATCAACCAAAATTCAAATGTTTTTTCGTTTAAAGTTTTCTGGGAAATCAGGTCGAAAAGGTTTAATGTAGATCCAAGAGATGGCAGTAGATAATCGAAACCCAATAAATTGATGTTTTTTTGGTTTATTATCACGTTTTATGTAAGATTATGAGTATAATTTGATCATTTGATCATCCTAATGGTTATATCAATCGGAGAAGAGGGAGAAAGACGGAGACTAGGTAAACATTTGAAAGTAAAATGATTATCGTATTAGCAAAACAAAATAGATTGACTCATCAATATTAGCCTCTTCCTCTCATTTTGTATTCAATTTATCCTTTTCCTATTCATAATTGTCTTTAACCTTTCCATTAAAATGAACAATCAATTACCTTTGATCAATTCGGCGATGAAAACATCAACAACAAACCTAAATTAACTTAACCTAATCAAAGGAACGACGCAAGGAAAAAATGAAAAGATAAAAAGATAGATGGCGATGTTAACAATCACCATCCAATTGTTTACAATCGATGCTAAGAAAAAAGTGTGAGAGTTTCATGTATAACTAATTCAGATTGTTGATTATCCGTACTTTTGCAGCACAAATATCTATACTTTACGCGTTACTACTCTGAAACATTGAAGATTATTAAAATAGTGAACCCCTCCTTTGCTTGCAAACGATAACAACAAAATGTATTTTGACGCATAAATTCTGAGACTTGCCTTAAGAGGCAAACCATGCTCACGGTGCTGATCAACTGTATATCAATCAGATTTGCAGTTAATCAATTAGATGAATTTTAACTTTCATCAAGCTCAGTAGTAGCTTTGTACAAAAGTTTATTTAATTTCGTGATCAGTTTTATCGATAAACCTGACAACACCATTGACAACTTTGTTTTCTTTTTCATCATTTTCTTTTCATATCAGCTGTGAGTTTTCTACAGCTGAGTGTCCATTGCGAGCATCTTCTTGTCTGCCTCTTTCACTGTTTCTCATCTTACCTGTTACTGGTATCATCATACCAACATGTCCTCATTAATTCATCTTTGGTTTTATGGTTCCGCAGCTGTGATATTCATTAGCACTGTTGGCCTAGGTGCAATTCTTATGGTTCCGAGAATAAAAAATCACCATCTTGTTATTCAACTTTTAGTTGGCTTAGCAATAGGCACGTTGACAAGCGATGCTCTTCTACATCTTTTACCTCATGTAAGTTACCTTTTATTGTCTTCTCACTCTTCTCACATCATCAATCAATCGATTATTTCAAATTACTTTTTGTGTTTTTTATTCAATCATCAAAAAGAATACACCAATCCATTATAGTCTGGTAATTTTTTATGTTATACAAGGCATGACTAGGGAAAAAATTTGTTGATACATATTCATCTTAATGTTCCTATTTATCATGTTATCACATGTTTAATGATTTGATGCAATAGTATATTCGCTTACATCTTATTGACGACCTTACGAATTGCATAAACCTCTTGATTCTTAATTAACGATCTCTAATTGATTTTAGTTTGATTTTCTGTTATTTTATAGAAATCAATTAGATATGTTTCTTGAAAATGACTTTGAGTAGGCTTGTTTATTTTGATTCAGTGATTGTTTATCTTGTCGATAAACTTGAATGTTATCCGTTTGGTTCTATGAAAATTAAATTTTGTAATTTGGTTTTTAGGCTTCTTTCATTCAATGTTATTAATTTTTGTTTTCTTCTTTTTTATTTCAGGCTTTTACTGATCACACGCACAACTTCAGCAACGATCATCACCATCATTCTGATGATCATGCTCATGATCATGCCGACGATGCTGGCGGAATGGCTAAAGTTTCCAATCAAGCCGATGATCATACACGAAGTGTAATCTACGGGTTAATGTCATTATTAGGAATCATAGGATTTCTTATTTTTGAACGTGTTTTAACAATAATCAGTGATCTGTGTAGTCAAAATCGGAAAACTTCGAAGGTAAAATTGATAAGATTACATTGATCTAGGGTTGTTGAAAATCTTGAGAAGTCACATGACGTTCGAAGAAACTCTCGAAGCTTGGAATCAAATGATTCAGATTGATTGATCATCAATAAAATCTCGAGGTTAAAGTGATTATCATAAATTTTAAATGTTACATCATTTAAATATCGAAAAATATCATCATTCCAATTTCTCCAAATTTTGATGATTTAGTCAGCTGACGTTGAATATTTTTCACTTATTTATGAATTTATGAATAGTTATTGTAGTTTTGTACGTCCAAATGTACAATTTCTCCTAGTCTTTGATCAATCAGGATTTGTTTCCGTTTAAAAAATAACACCGATGACAAGCTTTCTTTCTGAAAATTTTTCATCTTCATGCGACCTAAAATATTTCTATCATTAACTGAATCATTTTTGTTTTCAACTGATATTTAAATTTTCTGCTTTACTTTTACGGTTGTTCAACATGATTCAATTAAATTACAGAATACAAGATTGCTCTCAATATGTCAAATAATTCTAATTTTGTTTTTATCTTTTCTATTGTGTCATTTATCATAGATTGCCAACTGTAATAGAGCGGTTGGAGATAAGCTATCAAATCACAGTATAAATGGTGATCACGGACATACAACCGCTCCTGAACTTGAAAAACTTAATGAAACTATCAAGATGAACGACGAAAAGTGTAAGGAGGCCGGTGATACAGCTTACATGAATGGTAGTGCATCTAATGATTTACAATTAACCACTGAACAATGTCATCGAGAGACTATTGTTTATCAACATCCCGATCCAGATAAAGGATATGTTGTACAATTAACAGATCATCATCACCACCATCAAAAGCAACACCAAAAAGGAGCCAAATCAGTGATAATGATGATTGTTACCGGCGATGGAATGCATAATTTCTTTGATGGTTTAGCTATCGGAGTTGCATTTGCTGGAGGTGGAGTGGGTGGAGGTTTAAGTACCTCAGTTGCCATTCTGTGTCATGAACTTCCCCATGAAGTTGGTGATTTTGCTGTTTTACTAAATGCAGGACTTTCAACTAAAAGAGCAGTGATGTACAATTTTCTCTCTGCTGTTTTGTGTTTCATCGGTATGACCGTTGGTGTAATAGTGGGTAAAATGGACACTGGCTTGTTAAGTTCAGTCATCGCGGGAATGTTTTTGTACATTGCTCTTGTTAACATGATTCCTCAATTAGACTGTTGTCCAACCGAATCTGGAACTACCCGAGCCTTCAAGTTATCGATTCAATTGATAGGAATCAGCATCGGTGTAGCAATTATGTGCACTATTTCTATTTATGAGACCAATCTGCAAGAACTTTTCCAATGAAAGAAAGAAAACCATTTATTTACCAACACAACTAAACCAATTTATACAGAGCCTTCAAGAATAATGATATTTAACCATTTCATCCATCATAGAGATGACAAGAGACATCCTTCAACTTAATCTTTTCCTATCTACTTTTATCTTCTCATAATCTAACATCACTTTCCCTCCTCATCGTTTTTTTTTGTTTTTTTCGCTCTTTTTCGTTTCTCTTTAATTCTCTATGAGCAGTCGAATGTTGCTGTTGAATGCTGTGATATTTAACATCGGACAATGTAATTGATCTTATAATATTTATTCATGATGGAAGATATCAAAAACTACATAATAAATTTTCTAAAAAAGCTCTTCCTTGGCCGCTTTTCAATCCATAGTAAACCTTCTCGAACGTTTTGCGTGGCACTTTGATTCCATTTTCTCTGGAATAGAAATATGCAAACAACACCATTAGATACACATTTTCACTAAATAACAATACAATCAAATGCTTGTTGACATTGCATACTTACTTGTCCTCTTTATTCCATAAAAAATGCAACAATTGTGGATATCGTCGCGCAGTTCGCAGTAAACATGTTATTGGTTGGGTACTTATAAGCAACTTGGATAAATGTTTCATTTCAAGTTTATTTTCCTTGGAATCACAACAAATTAAAAACATTAACGAGAATAAAATTGTCACTTTAAATAAATTTTTCATCTTTCAAATTTCCTCTTAAACGTTTGACACTAGAACAATTTTGAAAACAACAGACCAGGTGAGAGTGGAATCTTTGACTTCCTACTTAGAAATGGTTAAACTGCGTCCAGTCCTGCAGTTTTTGTACTTTTTGGACAGATTAGAGCTCAGGAAGATTAGAAAATATCCTGAAGGCAATAAAGCTGATCCGTGTTTCCGTTTAGAATTGGGTTGAAGAAAAGAGACATTCCTTTTCCACCTTTCACAAATTCAGCTATTTTTTCGGCTAGAGGAAGAATAAATCTGAAAAATGACTGTTTCAAGATACTTTTTTGAAAAGGTTTAATAATATAATATACAAGGTTTTCAAACGGGTAGGTCAAAAAGTAAACGGCTATATCTTTAGAACGCATTTGTTTATTGATCCAAAAATTTGCAAATAAATAGATATTTACGGGGAATTGATGATACATGTGCTCAAAATACCTCCATTTGCAATCAACGCTGTCGAACGATTTTTTAAAAAACAGCTACAACGTTTTGACAAGTTGCCATTGAAACTGTTTTTCGAGCTGGGTAAGCGTTATGTCGCTCCTGAGTACCCTGCCTTTTAGGCACCCTGGTAAAGCTTATAAATTTAAAATTGTAATGATCGCGATCTGGCAACTATTTCTCGAGATATAAAGCCACGAAGTTTAACCCACCCGTCTGAACACCTCGTAACAGATTTAATCAAAATACTGTCATCTACCAGATAATGTCAGCAAATTAATCAATACTCAATTAACGATCCTAGTCACGATAATAACTATTATATTATTTATGTGACGTTTCTAACAATCAATTTTGGTTTTATTAATTGTTGCAATTAATTTTTGCTCCATGAATAGACTTACTGTGCACATAAGCTATTTCCAGGTAGTGACATTATCTGCTAGATGACAGTACATGTATCATATCGATTTTAAAAAATTGTTTTTCGCGGTTGTTTTACAATACACAGTGTCGTCAAAAGCAAAACAATGTGATTACAGTCATCTCTCCCTTAAGTTTCTCCATGTGGACCAGCAGTCTACCAGTCTACGTTTTTTTACAAGCGCCGCTTGTCACTTGTTATAATCATTTGCCGAAAATTTCAAGTCTATTGAAAAATAATTCCTGAGAAAAAAGAAAAACTTGTCTCAAAGTTTCTCCGCATAGGTTAATATATTTTGATGATTTGAGTGAATTGTTTATTCTTTCATTTGCTTGACTGAATTTAACTTAATTGTACTTTCAGTCGAGGTTAAAATGCATTCAATTTTAAAAATGAATCCCCGAAACCATTTAATCAACAAAAGAACTCACAAAAATTTCAATAGACAAAAAACTTAAGAACCTCGGAAATCATTTAATTCTGTCAAAGATAAATTCACTTCTAAGTGAACCCTAATATAAAATAATTAGGAGCTTAAAAGTAATAATAATATTAGTAATTTATATGTTAGATATATTGGAGATATTCATGGATAAAACCCGTTGGGGCTGAGAGTCTTATCGAATCATATCTACTCTTATTCATTTTTTTCTATACAAAACCAATAAATGCTTTTTTAACAAATATAATATAATCTCTAGGCGCTTTGATCAACAATAGATGGATGGGAGTGCGATTTAAAATGATTGGATATCGCTACAGTTTAGAGTCCAGTGGCCAAAAACTTCACAATTGGCGCAATAAGACCGTTCTTCGTAACGTTTGTTGTTATGTTTAGAGTGGTTTGTTGAATTATCTAATGAGTTATTCTTTTGGGTCGGACAATCTTCTGTTTCGTGTTGATCAAACATATCACAAATGTCACAGAAAACCCTGGGTGGCTTTGGTAAATGACCATTAACTGTTTTTAGGCTATTTACTGAATCATCGAACTCTGAGAGACCCATTTCTTCGAGTGCTGAATTGCGAGCTTTAAGTTCATCATTTTTCCTTTGCATGTCAACTATCACAGAATTGAGAAAATCAATTTGACATCGATAACTTTCTTTGTCCTCTTCTTTGCTATTACCATTAACAGACTTGTTTCTTATGGCTGAGCTCAAATTTTCATTCAATGACGCTTCTAATTGGTTTATTTTGTCCAAAAGATTCTCCTTTTCTCTGTCCATCTTTTTCCGCCATTTATCAAAATTGGTCGCGTTTTCTTTCTTCATTTCTTCCAATAAATTATTTCGATCAGCAATTATCTTATCCTTTTCGTCAAGTTTACATTCCAATCGACGACATTCATCTTCAAACTCATTGAGAACTTCTTTGTGGCGGAATTGGACAATACGAATTTCTTCCATCAATTTTTTCAAATCATAGTTGAGTCTTTCATTTTCTGAAACCACTTCTTTGTTTTCTGATTGGACCATTTCAATCGTTTTCCTCAGTTCTTGGATCAATGCATCACCTTGATTCTTAGACTGATCCAATTTATTTTCAAGAGTTTTACGATAATCATCAAACTCTTTTCTACTAAGTTCAAGTTGTTCCTTCAATTTACGAATTGTTTCTTCACGTTCTTCAATACCACTTTTACCAACATTGGCTTCTCTCTTTATTTTCATCTTTTCATCTTCCAAGGAGCGAACTTTTTCTTTAAGTTCTTTGATTTGAGACACCAAGTTGTCTGATTCAATATCATTTTGCGTTTTACGCTTAACTAACGTTTCAAGCTCAGCAGATTTTTCGACATCCTTCTTTTTCATTTCAGTTAATTCTGTGGTAAGTTTACGTTTTTCCAGATCTTTGTCGTGAATTTGTTTCTTAAGATCAGAAATGTTTTCTTCCAGTTCAGATATCTCAGATTGCTTTTTCTTCAGATCTTCATTCATTTGGATTAAATGATTTTTCTCATCAGTATTGCGTTTTATTTGATCAGCAATTTGTTCTTCAAGGGAACGAATTTCCTCCAAACGAGATTTTGATTGTTCTTCCATTTCTTTAATAGTCCTTTTGAAATCACCAATTTCAGTAACTTTCTCTTCAATTAATAAAGTCAGCTTTTGATTATCATCTTTCATATTTTTGCAGTCCATTTCCATACATTCCATTTTAGCTTCTGTTTCTTTTATTTTTATACTCAATTCGTTGATTATTTCATCTTTTTCTTTCAATTCCCGATTCACCTCAGTTAAGTGTTCACTGTTATCTCCACTTGATTTGAGTAATTCATCAATACGTCTTTCCAGTGAAGTGATGATTTCAGTCTTACGATGAAGTTCTTCAGTTAATTGCGTTTCTTTATTTATCAAAGTCACTTCCTTGGCTTCCTTATCCTGGATCATTTTTTTCATCTTCACCATTTCAGAATCCACCTCTTTACGGGCTTCTTCTTCACGTTCAAGCTTATCTCTTAAAGAGTTGAGATCACCTTCTAATTTCCTTCTTTCATCTTCACTTTTGTGTAACTTATCCATTAATATATTCAATTGACCGCTATCGTCTCCTGTTCGTTTAAGAATCTCATCCATATTGTCTTGAAGTTTCTTGGATTCTACGTTCATCCGGTTCAAATCTTCTTTCATTTTATCCATTTCATCTTGGTTTTTCTTCAATTTCAAATTGAGTTCATCGATAGTTTCAAGATAACGAGTCTGTCTTTGTTCACCTAAAGATACAATTGATTCAAGCTCCTTGATTCTTTGTTGTAAATTTTGCATCTCTTGTATCTTATTTTCAAGGGTTCGCTCAGCCTGGAATATTTTATCGTCCTTTTTGATAATTTCTTCCTGCAATTGGAATAGTTCGACCTCGTTGTCATCTTCCCTATGGACAGACTTCTGGTTGTCAATCAATTTCGCCATTTCATCTCTCATTTCCATTTTGATAACCATTTCCTCCTCGAGTCGGAATGATAACATTTCACTTTTCTTTTTTTCCTCCTCGATAGTGATGAGTAATTGTTTATTGAGGGCGTTCGTTTCTTCAAGTGAACGCCTCATTTCTTGAATTTCATTCTCCTTCTCTTGTAACCCCTTTTTCCTTTCATTCACAACAAGTTCCAATTCTTCTTCCAATGATTTGATTCGCGTCGTCAAACTTGCCAATTCAGCTGATTCCATATCTTTCTCTTTCAATAAATGACTTATCTGATCTTCCTTTTCTTTTAACGTTTTAGCTATGGCAGATGAAGAAGCAGAAAGACTACTTCCCTCTCTCTTTAAGGGTGTCGAGCCACTCTTTTTTGTAGAACTAAAGCTGCTAGTCATCCCAAAACCTAATCGGGTTGATCGATGGGAAGTAGTACTGTTAATAGATGCAAGAGATTCTCGACTGTCACCCATTCCGCTGCGTTTAGAGGTAGTTAAATTACTTGGCCGTCTAACCATACTAATGTTAGTTCTTGCTTGATTAGCTGCATTGCCACTAACCATATCTCTAACAACTTTATTGAGAGGAGCGAATAAACCGTGGTCTGGTGGACATTGAAAATATCTTTTCCCAGCAACAGAGCCATCATTTTTACCAGACGCATCTGATAGTTCAATGCCAGCCCAATTACCAGCAGCGAAATCAGTTGATCCTAAATACCGAAGAGTACCTCGTTTTAATCCACTGCTAGCGTGAACCATAACTTTATCACCAACTTTTAGATTCGAGGCTGATGAAGATGTGATTCTTGATGAAGCGAAAGTGGTGCTTGTTACACTGGTTATGAGATTAGTTGGTGATTTGAAGCCATCACTGATTGGAGATGGCGATGTTACGGTGGATGATGGTTTCTCTGGAGGTGTAATAGGCTCTAAAGTTAAACGATGTGGACGGACAAATAAGCCATGTTTGGGCTCACAAGTAAAATATTTAACTCCATTAACAGATCCATCATTTTTACCAGAAGCATCAGCTAATTCAACTCCAGCCCATTTACCAGGAGCAAAACTCGTACTACCAAGGAATTTGATAATACCAGATTTCGTTCCATTAACGTAAATACAGTCACCAACAGTTAAATCATCAGAATCCGGGTTCAAAATTTCTGTTGACACAGGCACCGATTTGGTAGCTGACATAATTTTATCACTAGTTATCGAAGAGAAACTCGATGTCCTTGAATGCATCTTTGGTAGACTTGAATTAGTCATGGACGATGGAGGTCTAACTTTTAACAAATCACTATTTGATGGGTCAGAAAGTTGTTCATCACTCGGAGTGCTCATGATGCTTCAAACTTGATGTGTTGATATTACTAATAGATGCAGTAGGAGAACACAAGATCCTAGAATAAAGAAGAAAGATAAACAGAATGAGCAAAAGTGAAAGAATTAAAAATCATTGTCAATGAGTCAATCATAATGGATAGATTGAAATAATTTTCATCATTTAACGTCGAACACAATCAAACACTGTAAAGCTTATGTTACCTCAAATTAAATTATTTGTTTAGACGTCTTTTTGATCAAACAAAATTAATAAAATTTAAATACGAATTCGATTAAAAAGAAGTAAGAGATTGAGAAGTAAAACAATAAAAAAAGGTGAAATAAAATTTGTCAGCGATAGTTACGTAGTAGCAATATGAGCCATCTGGTAGGCTTATTGTACTTGTCACACATTTTTAATTTGTTAACAGTTAAGATGGTTAAGAGAATTGCAACTTTTTTGGTTTCAACTGTGATTGACTAAGGATTCACAAAAGACATGAGTTTTTCATTTAATATTAACAGTTTGGTTGAGATTCAAAAATGAATTAATATTCCTTTCTTTGGGTACTGTTGCATGTTAATAACACCTACTAATAGTTTGGTCGATTGGGTTTCCCGTTTAAGGTGAATGCTGTTTAATTTACGATCATTTATTCTATAATCCATTTTTGAATCAATGATCAACAATTAAGTGGGCGATTAAATGTAGTAAAAATCATGTCTTAAAGAGTTTGTTGATCTAAATTTTGGATCATTTTGCACTTGTGTAGTATTTCACTTTTGTTGTGATAAAAGCAAATTCAAATCACAATTTAAATATCAAAATAACTGTTTTCTCTAAATTATCAAGGTTGACGTCTGGGCCTTTTTTTGTCCATAATGTGATGTTTATAAAGGATTTAACAGATCGGCCCACAGAAGGCGAAATCTATTCTGTTAGATATTTCAACAAAAACAATCTTTGATAACAATACAGACGTAGGTCAATGTAGGTTAAATGAAAAGGGCAATAACATTAAATTAGAAATTTTCATGATCAAATCAAATAATTTGACTGCGTTGAAGATTGATTATGATGAAATATTATTTCACAGCTCAATCCAATTGTATAACAAATTTTAAGCAATTTGGGTTCAATTTTGGAAAGGTTTGTTGGCTTGATTTAATAAAGCTGTTTCAAAAAGAATAGGACTTACTTGACTTTTCATATCACAAATAGTTGATTCACTTTAAATGTAAACAGTTTGAATCCGTAAATGGTTAAAAAGTGTGGGCTCTGTCATTTATCAACAAGTTTACTAACAACAATTTTGGTTCAAATTTTTATTCTCCTTCTCGCAACGCAAGACCTACAGATTGTAAATAAAGTTCATGTAGGTAGGAGGGCTTAAGAGATGCGCAATGAGACGGCGGTATTTTTGATTTTTAATCTGCTGATAATCAAAGAGTAAAGTTACCTTACTCTTTGCTGGTTACAACACTTGAATCACTATTATTATTATTATGTTTACTGTTTATTAAATTAACGTAAGATATTGTTTTTTATGCATAAAAACACATATTAAGAGCTAAGATTCAGGCTAATAACAGAGAAATATTGATTAGAAGAGTTTTAGGTGTACCAGGTATGCGAATTTGCTGGTTAACTAATTAGTCTCTAAAAGCTTAACAAGAGTAAACTAAATTCGAGAAAATATTTGCATCAGAGTATTGGCATTGAAGGTTATCTTATCAGTATTTTGTTTCTGTTTGTAAAGCTGCTTAGGTTAACATGAATGTTGTTGAATGAATGAAACATTAACCACGCATATTTGAGGTTAATGTTGAATTACATTAGGCAAAAAAGCATTCAAATAAGGAAAGGTCGATCGGAAGTCCACACTATATTGGGATTTGTGAAAGTAGGTAAAGTGGGATTGGAAATGAAATTGAAACCTGAAAAACTTTTACTGGTTACGGTTTAGCAGAAACATCAAAGTTGCTTGTAACTAATATTGTATCCGGAATAAAAATGAAAGTAATTTAACAGCAGTATAACTAGAGATTTCATAATATTATCAAATTTTCATCATCTATTGTTGAAATTATGAATACGTTAGATACAATAAATCAAAGTGATATTCTCACTAGAATTTAAAATGGAAAAGAAATAAGAATTGTGAAAATTATAAAAAAATTAACTTTTAATTTGAAGAAATCATCCAAAGAGGTTAATTCTTCTTTCTTTTTCCCTTTCTTTTCTTCCTTCCATCAGACCCATCTATCAACCGATACGGAAATTATTTTATCTCAATTCCTCGTGCTATCCCTTGCTCCTATTTGGAGAGATCACTGTAAACAAACTGTAAACATTTCACTGTTGGACAGTTTTATGAAATTTTCAGCGTTTTATTTTACATTTAAAAGCAGTTTATATCAGTTAATTCATCTTTTAACAATTGTTAATTGACAAGTTTCTAATCAAGATGCCTGGTAAAAAACACTTTCAAAAATCTGGCCTTGGGAAAAGCTTGGTTAATACAACTAACAAACCAAGTATGAATAACCGTAGCTCAGTAAGTCATATTATATTTTTAATTTTAATTTGATTAATACAGTCATGTATCACTAGATTTTTTGATTTCTTATAGTTCATCATATAGTAATGTTTTCATTATTTTTCCATTTTAGAGACACACAGCTGTTCTCAATGATGGGTCCGATTATGGGAAACTTAATCTACGAAGTGTTACTCAAGAAAGTAGTCTGGATGAATTCATTACAATTGCCCAAATGGCTGGAGATGCATTTACCAAAGGTCAATCTTAATTGCTCAACATTTTCTTTATTACACTTCACTCTTGTCTATATTTCCTTTCTAAATTCAAAATATTCTCTATGCCAACAGATCGAGAAAATGTGACCATTATAACAAAAACAACAAGACAAGGAGTTTTGAGTGATGAAGAAAAACAAGCATTGATCAAGGAACAAGAAGAGAATTCAGACATAATTGCAATCCCTAGAAGACCTCCCTGGGATCCAGATATGAGTATAGAAGACTTAACGAGAGCAGAAAATGATAGCTTTCTAAATTGGCGTCGAAAATTGGCTGAATTTCAGGAAAAAAGTAAACTGACTTTAACGCCATTTGAAAAAAATGTTGAATTCTGGAGACAGTTGTGGAGAGTGGTTGAAAGAAGTGATGTTATTGTTCAAGTGTTAGATGCACGAAATCCGCTATTATTCCTCAGTAAAGATCTACAGAAGTATGTTAAAGAAGTCGATCAAAATAAGATGAACTTGATCATTCTGAACAAAGCTGACCTTCTTACCGATACTCAGCGAGCTACTTGGGCCGACTACTTCGAAAGACAAGGCATCAGAGCTGTATTTTTTTCTGCTTTACAAGAAACTACACAGGAAAACTCAGAGGAAAAGGAATCAGACGAATCAAAATCAAACTCCGGAATTAGCGAAAGTGATAATACAAGTGAAGATGAGAGTGAAGATGATAGACAAGAAGATGAAAATTCACGATCACGTGAAAAAGAATCGACAGAAACATCTGACGAGCTCAATCAAGTTGGAGTAAAAGAAAGCCAAAAGGACCCTGAAAGCTCTGAAACCATACGCGATAAAGAAAAACTTACGTGTGATGGAAATAATGAAGAAATACCAATAAGTAATAATGAAGAAGGACAAGAAAAAGAAGGCATCGAAAAGGAGGAGCAAGATAACGCCGATACTCCCGGAAAAATTTTAGGACGCGAGGAGTTGGTAGATTTTTTAAAAACTGTATATCCGGATGATCGACCAAAAGTGAAGGATCAATATGTTACTATTGGTCTCGTTGGGTATCCAAATGTTGGTAAAAGTTCAACCATCAATGCGCTGATCCAGTGCAAAAAAGTGTCAATATCAGCAACTCCTGGTAAAACGAAGCATTTTCAAACTTTATTTCTCGATGATGACCTGTGCTTATGTGATTGTCCTGGGCTTGTTTTCCCTAATTTTGTTTCAAACAAAGCAGAGATGATTCTTAATGGTATTCTTCCGATCGACCAGATGAATGATCACGTTCCTCCCATCAACTTATTGATTAGTCTGGTGCCAACCTATGTTTTCGAAGTTCAATATAGTATCACTTTACCCCTTGAAACACACAATGATGTTCAACTTACAGCTGAACAATTGTTGAATGCTTATGGATATATGAGAGGATTTATGACTCAGCGAGGCTTACCCGATAATCCAAGATCAGCCCGCTACATTCTGAAAGACTTTGTCAACGGAAAACTTGTCTATTGTGTTGCTCCTCCTGGAGTTGAACAGAGTGATTTCCATAAGTTCACTGATCATCACCGACCTCGACCTAGACATATTACTAGAAAACAAGAAATCCTCTTGAATTTCAACAGCTATAATGTTAAATCCTTTGACAACAATTATTTTACAGCAATAGCATCCAAAGCTTACGCTAAAGGACCAATCAATGTTGTTAATGCTGCACGAGTTAGTGGCCCAAATTCATCGAAAAATGATGTAACCATGCCAGAAGTTTCCAAACCCTGGAGGCAACACAGCAAAAGAAATACTAAACAAAAATTGCGTAAACAGTTTGCACATCTTGATGTAAAATGAATATGATATGTAATGAATACCTTTCCTTGTTCAATCGGTGCTATGTTTAATAGAATTGATAATTTGATAATCCACTGATGTTACTGGAAGATATTTATAATCAAATCATCTGTATCAAAACTCTGTACATGTATGATATTTTATAAGAATAGTAGGTGATTGTTCGAGACAATTTGAATGCAGGCCCAAAAGAAATTTTTGCTTCAATCTTGTTTAATTTGGGTTCAAAACAAATAATGCATGATGTCAATTTATTTTATTATCGTTGTACGAATATGTTATACAATGTAAATGATTTGAAGTCTATGAAGATTGTTGTTTATCGATTTATTTCTTGACTGATTGCTTCCGATCTTAAGCAATCAAATTTCAAGGTTATTTTCTTAATATAATTTATTGTAATTCATCACGTAATCGTGTTTGTTTTATCCAAAAATCCAATTGTTCAAAATTTTAAGGGAAAACATTAGCAATGTATGTTAAAACTGTCACTGTGTCACTCAAACCTATTTAGTTAATGGATATAGGATTATTAAGGGCAACTCTTAGAGTTAGTTATTTAGGAATAAGAAACTAGTAGAAAAATAGCAAATTAAATTTAACCACGCGAAACCTCCAACAACAGCTTAAAATTAGAAAGCGAAAGAAGAGTGAGAATATTTATACAAATATGTATTAAACTATATGGTTTTTGTATTGGTATCAATTATAATTATTAATAGTATTATTACACCAGTGAAAATATCTTAATTTTTTAAAGGTCCATCAAAAAAGTTAAATACAGCGGTTTATTCATAAAAATATGTGAACACATGGTAGTTGTATTGGAAATTTGGGCGCTTCCTGGACTAGGAACAGTAAACACGATGAAATTCTCATTGAGAGCGGTCAATAATACTATCTCATGTTGCAAAATCAAGAGGTCGAAAATCAATGAAAAGATCAAGTGATAAAGGTTTATGGTGATAAACTTTAAGCACATTGCAATCCAAAAGTAAATGAGTCGTTATGTAAATGAGAATTTTTTGAACCAAAAATTTAGAAAATATATTAACTGGTTTCTATTGATTGTTCAACGGCCTTAAGTGAAGCGAATTCTTGCTTGGAACCGTTCAATTCTGCCTTAAGCCGATCCACATCAATTTGAATTTTTTCGTGATCTTCAATCAATGATCTTAATCGGGAAACTTCTCTGGCTAATGAAACAATTTTACTAGCCTGCTCCAAGTGGCTAAGAGAATGGAATACATCTGAAAGTAAAAGGAGAATGGTTAAAATTATACAAAATTTAAAATAAAATGAACAAAATGAGTCAAACAAATACCATTTAATTTGTCCAAGTACTGATTATCAACACCCTGTAGAATTGTCTGTGAAGTTTGACCTTCTATGTGTTCAACGAGGAATTGCAGGTCATTATCCATGGCACTAAGCTTGTCGTTGACTTCTTCTACAAATTTACTTTCTTGTGATAACTTGTCAAATGTTTCCTTGAAAATTTTCAACTTTTCGAGAGCAAGTTTCTTAGCAAAAATTTTCTCTGACAGGTCATTATTTTTGTTCCAAATATCGGTAAATTTTTCCGAATAATATTCTTGCCTTTTTTTAAGCTCTTCCTCAATCTTCAAGCACCTTAACCTGGTTTGCAAGTATTTAGCCATTCTTACACTACGTTGTACATCATTTGATCGGTTAGCGGCCAGATCTTTTGGTCTTTTAAAGCCACCTTCTTTAGATTGAGTAGCAGTAACAGAAGATGATGATTGTGTAGTTCGAGGTACTGATCGAGCTGATAAATTTCTAGTAATAGGAGCTGGTGTCAGACGTGAAGAGCTAGATGATTTAGTCAGTTTAGAGGCCGTTGATGACATATTTAACTATTTGATAGGTACACTCAGAAATGAAATTATAAAAATAGGTCAATTCAGGAAACCTTTTTTAAAAACAACACAATTAAAAACCACTTTAATCAAAGTAATTAACGGAGATCAAAAATTTGAAGATTATGAACTGTTGAACAATTTACAAATATTCTAGCGCGCTTTCAACAAGTGGTAGTTGCTAGGTTGGCAGCCGTAACCATGTAACTTTCCACTAAAAGAGTGGGAAATTCAAAGCTGATGGCCTCGGGGTCAAAAGACAAAAACACAAACTTGACAATCAATATCTTTTTGATAAACACAAGTCCAATGTCAATATTTATTAATCGAACTTCAACAGCTCTTAACCCTTATCCTAACACAAACTGTAAGTGTTTCGCCTTTATCATTTTTCATTTTCATCTTATTACTTTTCCCATTTCCAACTCCTTCCATTCAATGATGGGCCCTTCACAGACGTCTAGACACAGTGAATTGAAACATTGAAATACATTTAATTTACCATTAACAATGTAAAATTTGATTCTATAAACTAAGGAAGGATTAAGATGGAGGTTGATGAGTGTAAAAAATCTTTCCAGGTACATATACTAAAGGTACTGTAGGTAGGTCACTATTGAAATACGTTGTAAACGCCTTTAAGGAAAACAAGTTGAAAATATTGTAAATTGAAGAAACTGGTTAATAACAATAGAAGAAGATATTAATGAACTTATTGGGTTCATTTAGAAAAGGGTAAAGGTTAAATAAACATAACTTATAATCATTGCTACCAAACAGCTTTTCAATTGTACCGCGAGTTGACGTTAAGATTTAAAGAATTTTTCATTCAATGATAATCACCATTATATCAGAATAATTTTTTAAATTTTAATTGATGGTTGCTTCTTCTAATTGGATTGTTGAAGAAGTTAAAATTGCTGGATTGATCAGCAAGAAATTCAGATGTGTATTGAGATTCATATTTTTCAAATGTTGGCGCTTTAATTTTTAAAGCCGAGTAACCGGTTACTTGTAACATGAATTGTACAGTAATCATTTGAATGTTTAATCAGAATATCTTTAATCTAGAATACTGTCTTCTTTCTTGTCATCTTGTTCCCCTTTAATTTTATCTGACTTGCAGTTTGTGATCAGAAAAAATATCATCGACAAAATTGATATGAATAAATACGAATATCTATATTCATCTATATTTATGCTTATTTATGCTCTCTTTCCTGCGCTATGCTTTTAAATTCCGAATTTTGCTTTTTTTAAATTCCTATCAATCAGATTCTTTATCTCTGCCTTCTATTTACTGATATCATCAAAGTTTTTATCAAAATTTTTGGTTAAAAATTAAAAATTACACATGATAAGTATCGATATCGATAGCTATTACTGATATCGATAATATCGACCAACTGTGCTTGTAGTCAGTAAGTTACAGTGTAATGACAAGCCTGACTTTAAACAATTTAGTTTTTTAATTTTTAGGTTGGTTTGTTTCCATATTTTGCAATGTCTTTTTCAAACGAAGGCCTATCTCCTGTTCAACTTTCAAGTTTACAGTCATTTAATTGTGATGAACTCAAGGTTAATCTTTTTCGTGAAGAATCTGTTAGTGAGGAAAAATTGGCGACATTCCTTCGGATTCGACCATTGGAAAATTTGTGCCTGGAAGACAGTCCATATGAAATCATTGACTCCAATCTCCTCAGCGTTGATCTTATTGAAAAAGATTTCGTCCCTCAGCATCGTAAAAAAGCGAAAAAAAGAATTGTCAAATTTACCGAGATATTTGATGATTCTTCAAGTCAGTCAACTGTCTTTAACAAATGTTGCTTGCCTCTAATAAATGAAGTCATTGCTGGAACAAATGCTCTTCTCTTTTGCTTTGGAACAACATCTAGTGGTAAATCATATACAATGAGAGGACCTCCTGATGATCCAACGTCTGATCCTGGCTTGATTCCCTTGTCATTTAAAAAACTTTTTGAATTAAGAAAGTTTATTGATACACCTTTGATCGGGAAATCTAAATTCTGTGATACTTTTCTTCTTGACCAAGAGCAGCAAGCAATCGAGTTGGAATTCAAATCATCCCTTCTATCAAGTTCTTCTTGTCGAAATATATCAGCTTTTTATGAAGCAGATAGTTCAGATCACGTTATTATGGATGATTATGAATATATTTGCTACATTTCGTATTTTGAAATTTACAATGGCTTCATCTATGACTTACTAGTACCAACTGCTGGAGGTCGCGGACCTGCCCTGTCCCTTTATCCCGATGATAAACAGCGCTATTTTGTCAAAGATTTAAAATCAGTAATGGCTTCATCACTTACTGAAGCTCTGCAAATTTATTCCTTTGGTTGGACAAATCTTCAAAGGAATATTCAAGAAACTGGTTTGAATAAAAATTCAAGTCGAAGTCATTCCTTTTTGTGTATATCATTGATAAAGTTTAAAGAAGATCAAGGAGTACTTCTGGAGTCTCAAGTTTCTCAGTAAGTTTTATGCCGAATTGAATTTTTACGCCGCATATTATAGCTTCATGTTGGACTCTTCATAAATTTTTGGAGCATGAGTTGATAAATCTTTAAAAAAAGTTGAAAGCTTTATAAATATGTGTAATCAATTGTTTGGATGTTTCGCTTATTTATGTTCTTCACTTTTGTTTTAGCTTAACGTTTGGCGATCTAGCAGGATCTGAAAGGCAGAATAAAACACACTCTGAAGGTCTCAGAGTTAAAGAAGGAGGTAACATAAATGTTTCTCTCATGCATCTCAAAGAATGTTTCAATCAGACCAAAGCAAGTCAAAAAAAGTGAGTTAATTCCATTAAAATACACTAAACTACTTAGCCTATTGCATAATTCAAATGTAATTTTCTAACTTTTAAAATGTATTATTGAATTTTTCTTCCAGTCCGGCAAAAAATACTATGATTCAATTCCGCAATTCGAGTTTAACCAAATTCTTTCAGCCATATCTTACTGGAACTGGAAGAGTTTGGATGATCATCAACATCAACCCGTCACCCTCACTTCTTCCAGAAACTCTCGGCTCGCTTGATTTTGGAGAAACTGCATCCCATATCTCTGTCAATTCCACTTATCATGCAGAAGAAACAAAGCGCAGAATTACCCAATTATGGCTAAAATCTTCTCAGCGATGGTCTTCATTTGCTGATAGATCTAGAATCCCCGATATTCCTGAAGTAGTTATTGAAGAAGATGCCGACTTAAAGATGATCCCTCAGGATGCAGATGAAATTAAAAAGGAGATTGAAAGCCAAGTATTAAAAGAAGTTTCCGAGGAAGTCGATAGAATATATGCTGAGCTTCAGAAAAAACACGAAGAAGACTTACAATCTACGATTGAAAACTATGAAAGAACCATGGAAGCAAGACTTAAATTGCAAGAAAAAAGGTTGCAAAAAGTTGTGGATGAATTGCAAGAGGAAATTTCTGATGTTCAAAACGCAAAGGTGAAACTAGAGGAAGAATTAAAATCTGCTGAAACCAAAATTGCCGATAAATTCAAGGAAGAGATTCTGAGTCTACAAAATGAGCTTTCTGATGCTAAGAATGCAAAAACTCAACTTGAGGAAGAATTGAAATCTACCGAAACCAAAATTGCTGATAAATTTAAGGATGAAATATTGAATCTAAAAAACGAGCTTCTTAATGTTAAAATTACAAAGGAGAAATTAGAGGAAGAATTACAGACCGCTGAAGTTAGGATTGCCGATAAATTCAAGGAAGAGATTCGGAGTCTAAAAAATGAGCTTCTCGATGTTAAAAACGCAAAAGCTCAACTTGAAGAGGACTTGAAGTCTACTGAAACCAAAATTGCCGATGAATACAAAAAACAGATTCTAAATCTAGAAAATGAGCTTTCTGATGTTAAAAATGCAAAGACAAAACTTGAAGAAGAACGAAAATCTGGTGAAGCAAAGATGACCAATGAATTCAAGGAAAAAATTCTGAGTCTAGAAAATGAACTGACTAATGTTAAAAACTCAAAATCTCAGCTGGAAGAAGACTTTAAGTCTACTGAAACTAAAATTGCCGAAGAATTCAAGAAACAGATCCATGATCTGAAAACCGAGCTTTCTGATGTTAAAAACGCAAAAGCTCAGCTGGAGGAAGAATTGAAGTCTACTGGAACCAAAATTGCTGATGAATTCAAGGAAGAAATTCTAAGTTTAAAAAATAAGTTTTCTGATGTTCAAAACGCAAAGGTGAAACTAGAGGAAGAATTAAAATCTACTGAAACAAAATTTTCCGGAAAATTCAAGGAAGAGATTCAAAATCTACAAAACGAGCTTCTTCATGTTAAAAATGCAAAAGCAAAATTAGAGGAAGAATTAAAATCTGGTGAAACCAAGATGGCTGATGAATTCAAGAAAGAAATCCTGAGTCTAAAAAATGAGCTTCTTGATGCTAAAAGCGCAAAAACTCAGCTTGAAGAAGAATTGAAGTCTACTGAAACCAAAATTGCCGATAAGTTCCAAGATGAAATAGCGAATCTAAAAAAGGATCTTCTTGGTGTTGAAAAAGCAAAATCCCGGCTTGAAGTAGAATTGAAATCTACTGAAACGAAATTTTCTGCTAAATTTAAAGATGACACAAAGAATTTGAAAAATGAGCTTCTCGATGTTACGAACGCTAAAACTCAGCTTGAGGAAGAATTGAAATCTATTGAAAGTAAATTTTCCGATAAATTCAAGGATGAAATAGCGAATCTGAAAAATGAGCTCCAGGATGTTAAAACTGCAAAGGAGAAACTAGAGGAAGAATTAAAAACCGCCGAAGCTAAAATTGTTTCTCTTTCGGAGAATCGAGATCTTCAGTCTCAAGCAACACTTGCTCCTAAAAATACGTTTGAAGGTATAGACAAACTTGCGAGCGCTAGAAAAGGATCGAGAGAGATTACGATAGACTCGAACTACTTACCCGAAGTTTCTGGTTGGGCTAAGAAAAAAACTACAGAAAGTGTATCTTCATCTCCATCAACTGATGTCACTAATGCATACTTGAAAAGATTTCAAGCACAAAGTGTAAGTATCTTCAAATTATTTATCTGACTTGACGATAACAATCATTAATTCATATTTTTAAATTTGCTATTGTTTATTTTAAATGTGTTTTATTTTACTTTAGACGACCAAAAAATCAACCAGTAAAGCAGCTAGGAAACCGGCTAGAAAATCAGCAAGAAAAGTTTCCAAAAGTTCAGTGCAAAGTGATACTCGTGATGAAAGCGAGGATGATTTGGTAAGCCTGTTAAGATCAACAACAAAACCAAAGAAGAAAAAGGCTAAAGATGAAGAAGAGGTAAGAGTTTGAATTTAAAGTCTATTCTCGATCGTACTTACAATCTTTTTCTATTAACAGGAAAAAATACCCGTGAAAAGATTTAAATTACCTAAGGACGATGGTCTTTTGGATTCATTGTCACCTCACTTTGAAGACGAACCTGCCCAAAACATCAAAGGCGGTAGAGTTTTAAGGCCAAGAAGGCAAATCAAATTTTAGTGTATTTTATCTACCCAAGTTTGTATTCAAATCATTATCACTATTTCGACTGTCAGTATGTTATGCAATTTTAAAGCTGACTTTCTTTCCAAATTAAATTCATTATTCCTTATCAATTCTGTGTTCATTTTGATTTACCCTAAATACATAAAAATCGCCTCGTGGTGAGACATTTTACTAAAGTTGAATTTATTGAAACAGTTCTTTGTCTCAAAGTTTAAAAAAATATGGAGAAAAAGATGAAGAAAAGTTGTTAAGGAAGTAAAAAAAGGATGCAAAAGATGATCATCTTGAAAGTTGAAGAAACAAAAAAAACAGTTAAGACATTTGTAGAGTGAGCATCAGGGGATAGCTAAATTTAGTCCTGAGTGAGAGGCTAAAATTGCTACTGGGAAGTTGAACATTGCAATCTTTCCCTAAATTAGTTCACTTTACATCGTCAGTAACTAACATTTCAACTCATCATCATAAACATTTCTTGCCTTTTCATATGTTTACCTCTTGTTCAAGTTGTCCCAAGTCATTTTAAGTCCCTAAATATATTGTCGCCATCATTGAATGCTTTATATGATTGTTTAGTGTTAACTTATTAAAATTGGAAACACATTTCAATCTTTAAGTTGAAAAGTAAAGATTCCCAAATAGTACAATGTTGGTCAAACTCTGTCTACTCGTTGTCATTTTATCCCTCATTCCCTCAGGATTTTATGTCAATGGTGAAAAGGTGAGACTCATTGTTCAACAATATTGATTTACATTAAATGTTATTCCAATTTCATCTTTTCCTTGTAACTACAAAAGGTGATTAAGAATGGTAAAAAATCGTCCCAATCAGAAATTAAAGACTCGGCTAAAAATCCATTACAAAAAGGTAAACAATTTATATTTCCATCTCATTCTTAAACTTATTAACGAATTAAAATTGGTTGCTGGAAATCTTAATCGATAGATCCATGTTCAAAGACTCGATGTGGACCTGGTCGTGAATGTGTCGTTGATCCTGCAACTTCAGAGCCCAAGTGTCTTGCATGAGGTAAGTCAACAAAGAGAATCAGACCAATATGATGAATAAGATGATTGCTATTCAAGTCTCAAGTGACCCTTAATTGTGATGAAAATATTGAAAAGGTTTTTGAATGTCGAGTATGAACAAAGAGCGTTTTTCAACTGAAAAGAGTCAAAAAACGAAAGATTTTCTAATGATTATTGATTCAGCAAAAAGATGGCTCGTTTGGAATCCATTCAAAAATGTTTTCATTACTTATCTTTTCCTTATGCCTGTTGAAACCCTGTTCACATCACAGATTTGATGGCTTCTTATTTCATCAAGTAAAAAACCAGGAACTTAATGATTGTGCTTAACAAAAACATTAAAATGGTTGAGTGTAAAAGGAAAGGTCTAAACATTTGGATTGTACTTTGTATATGTTGGTGAAACTGTGTCTCGACCTAACATTATTATACACTCAACCATTTTAACTGTTTATTATTTCAAAATTATCTAGAAATTAATTGAAATTTCAACATAACATTTAATTTGCTCATCGTTTATCCAGAGAGTGTGGACCAAATAAGGATCCTCGTCGCCAAGTTTGTGATAATTTCAATAACACATGGAACTCAGATTGTCATTTATTCAGACATCAATGTGCTTGCAAAGATGGTGAGTTAACACATAAACCGATTGCCTGTTTCCTGGTAATCAATTGGTTAGTCTGTAGGGTTAAAGTTGGTTAAATTTAGATTGAAAATTTTAAAATATAATAGCAATCATTGTTTTCAAGATTTATTAGGTATAATTTCATTTAACCATGATCTTGAATTATTTTGCTTATTTCTTCCTTTTTTTCGTTCTTGTTTCTAATTATAACGAAAGATAATATTCATGGTTATAATTAAGAAATGAATTGAAATCTCATTGCATCAGAGGCAATGTTCATGAAGCAAAATTTGTGTTTACATTAAAACGTAAAGTGTTTGTGGTTGAAGTTTCCAATCATCTGTTTTACTTCTTACACACTAGTTAATTACACTGATCTTGTAAACAATTTATCAAAAGGTTATCCACATTTCCTTGTTTACATATGTTTTAATCATAATCATCACCAATTGCTTGTATTTACCTGATTATTGGAAACTTAATGAAATAATTAGTTGGTTACTCAGAGCAACAACCTAAAGTTAGACAAAAAATCATTTGAACATTTTCAAAATTAGACTTGGAGACAAAATTTTGTTGAACTCGTCATTTTTTTCGTTCATTTTGAACTGTTGATAAACTCAGGCTTCAACACTTGATAAACAAATCAACTGATCATTTTTGCCTATTGATCATGTCTAATAGTTTTATCCTTTCCTTAGGAGAATCAAAAGATTGCACTGAAAATCATAGCCACATGCACATTGATTATTATGGAGAATGTAAAGAGTTGGGTTCATGTGATCAAGGCACATTAGATGATTTCCCTCGACGAATGAAGGAATGGCTTTACACAATCATGAGGTAATTAAAATTGCCTTTTAAACTATTAAATTATATATTTGATCGCATTAATTAATCTTCCTATTCCAACTTTTCCATTGGCAGCAAAAAATATCCCAAACCATCGGAACACGAGAAAGACAATTATCACCACGGATGGATTAACGCAATAATCTGGAAATTCTGTGATTTAGATACTGAGCCACATGACAGGTTAGTAGTTACTATAATCAAATAGTTAAACGAAAGTGATTCAATTCAACAAATTAAAATAAAATAACCGTTTAATCAAGAGATGAACAAAAAACATCAACAAACAAAACTAGCCATTGAAAGACGATCCTTTAAACCCTCAATTATTTACTAAAGGCATTTGGCGCTCACTTCAAATTAAATTTTATATTCAAATTTCTTTATCATTTAGCATTTAGATTGAGTTTAGTCTACATTTTCAAATTATCATGAAATCTAAAAATCTAAATGAATGTTGATCCTCTCCTTGATTGATTTTACTCAGGGCTATGGATTTAATGACGGTTAAAAGCGAGTGATTTGATAGATTGAACCAATTGTAAAGTAAAGATGAAAATGATTCAAATTGAAAATTGGAGACAAAATTGGAAAAGATTGAAAAAAGAGAAAAATTTGAGTGCATAATTTAGCCTATTGAATCCTTTCAGGTCAATCACTTTGTACAATGTTTCTTCACAATTAATCCAATTGAATACTCGATACAGGAAAGTTTCTCGTCATGAATTATTTCCACTTCGAGCACCTTTACTATCAATGGAACCCTGTATTGGACGCTTTTTGGACTCCTGTGATCCAAATAATGACCATCTAGTAACTCTAGCTGAATGGGGTAAATGTTTAGGTGTTGATAAAGGTAAATATTTTTTAGTTAACCTTAAATCATAAGCTAAAGTAAAACCATTAACATATAAATTTATCTCATTTTTAGGTGAAATGGAGGATAAATGCAGTGAATTCAACTCATCTTCAGATGACAAATAAATTGGAAAGATGTAAAGCAATGGCTTGAAGCAAATAATCCAACGAATGGCTATTATGGTTACACTTATTTAATCCTGTTAAAGTTACAACAATTTACATTTTCTTAACTTTAATTTGCCCATTTTCTTGATTACCATTATAATGAGCTTTTTGAAAATTTAATCAAAAATTTTTCCTTTAAATTAAATTCCTTTCAAAAGTTGCGCGCAAACTTAATCAAACAAAAACCAAAACAAAAGCAATTGAAATTTGAAAACTTAATGAAAACCTAATGAAAAGATGAAATTGTAAAGAGGAAAAGGAAGAAATGAAGGAATAAAAAGATTCAATGTTTCCATATCAATCAACTTAGACAATATTTCAACCTGGACTCCATTAGATGAAACAGCCCACCGACGAGTCTCAACTTTCACTTGATTAAACAACATTTAGAAGCATTAAAACACCTTTAAACTGATTTGCTTGTTAACCTAGTTATCCAAAAATACACCTTTCATTCCGGTCCAGGGTTGGGTTTGTGTCCTCTCTCACACTGACTCAGTCCACCTCCTCTGTACTCCCTCTGAAAAGGCCACAGTTAACAGGACAAAGGTAAATCTCGAGAGCAACAAGTTAAACAAAACAGGCAAAAAAAATTGGACCGCAACATTGAATTCACATGAATATGCATAAACTTGCAGAGATGACAATGATGAGAGGCTGAAGGAGAACAATAATTTACACTTTTCTCTCTCTCTCCTCCTCTCTCCCTCTGTCACCCCCAAAATAAATGTAATAAAAAACGGAATCCACCTGAAGATGAAGCGAATAAAATCTCCCATGAGTTTTACCGATTCTTTTTTTTCTCTTCTTCTTTTTTCCTTCAAAGCGGGATGATCTTCCTTTCCTTTATAAATATATTTATATCAGCACACACACACTCTCATCCTCCTCATCATCTTAATCATCTTGATCAGCTCCTTCATCCTCCTCTTCGTACCAAAAATGAAAAGACGAAAAAAGGGAATCTCTCATTGTTAAGACTCCTTCGTTTTTCCTCTCAACTCCCTCCATCATCTTGCACATCGTCTTATATATCATATTGTACATCATCTTCTCTCTCTCTTTTCCTCTCTTTTTTCTCCTTCTTCTCCTTCGACTTCATCCTCCGGATGATGATCATCACAAAGTATAACAAACCATTTTCTCAGCTCACAATGAAGCTAAAAAAATTGAGAAGCAAAGGAACCGCTAAAATCACAGTTTCTTTACCTGACTCTAAGACATGGTCTAATCCCTCCTACCATACCTGAATAGTGACCGCCTTAACTAGTTCATTGACTATAGAAATCTCTGTCTTTCACTGTTCTCTCTGAGTTTGGGTCACCTCTTTACCTAGTGAGCGACTTACACAAGAAAAAAAGGCTCACTTTTAAGGTCAAAAAACTAGTTTTTTTCGCTATTCTTACAATACATTTCTCTTTCACCTTTCAAGACGTTTCTCACTCTCTCATAATTGTGACCGAGTAAACGGTTTTCATCTTTAACATCATCTTCATCATCACCACCACCATCATCATCATCATCTTAATCCTCCTTCTTCTCTCTCTACTCTATCTGCATCAGAACGCTTTTTGCTCACTCATTGACTGTAAAAAAAGTGTCACCGGTTTTCATTTTACACTTTTTTACCTTCTTCATTGATCATCAGTGAGTTGATGTGATGATCAGTAAAAATCACAGTCGATCAACAGTTTAATCAACAGTTAACAACGGCACGTTGTTGCTTTCAATTCTGTACCTTCAAAAAAATGCTACTGTAAACAAAATGAGTTTCTAATCATTTCTACCTTCAACTAAAATCGTTTCAATTTATGGATTTTCCAATGTTTTAACCTTTTCTTTCTTAACTTTTACAATTTAACTTTACCATCATCTGAACTTTATCAGAACATCATTTCGATTTTTCAATTTTTTGTGCTTTTAATCATTATTTTGCATTCCAATTCCAACCTCAACTTTTACATTTTAATATGAATATCGATTCAACTGGAAATGGGTCTACGATACTCAGTGACATTGATTTTGTGATTGCTTATATTTGCAATGAAGCCAACAGTGGAAACGGATTTGCTGATATAACATCATCATCGTCATCATTGGTAAGAAAAGTTTAAAATTAAATTTAAAATCCATTCCAATCTCAATTTTTGCCCAACTCTGAAAACCTCAAATCTCAATTCAACTTGAAATCAATTGTAAACCCTTCAGTATCAAAGCCAATTTGAATCCATTCAAGCCAATCAATGAATCAGTTCTTTTAATTTGCATAATTAACTCCAATTATAAATTGCTCAACCAATCAATTAATGATTGAAATAAGAAGAAGAAGAAGAAAAACGGTCAAAAAATGAATGAAAATAGCAGTAAAAGTGAATCTAAAAGGATGAAAGGAATTGAAACCTTTTCTTGAAAATCTCTTCTTTATCATGTAAATGCAAATATCTTAATCATTATCATCCTGATCAAGTATTAGCCATGGATTAACAATATACTTTGAAGAGTGAAAAGTCCAAAGCCAAGGGTAGAAAAAAAGACAACTCATTTGCATGAAGGTAACATTGAAAAGTTGATTGTTACGGTTAAATCTATTATAACCTGAGTAAAGGAGTTTCATCCACAAACTTAACACTGGTTAAGAGGTTGGCTCACCTTTAGCACCCCGTCAGCCCAGTGAAATAGTACACAGTAAAGGTAGCCATTGAAAGCCGTGAGTAAAGTGATTGAGTCTAGAAGAGGCCAAGAATAAAATAAATAAATAAAAGGATGATGCTTTTGTGTTTGATTTCCGTTGAGAGGAAAGTCGAGTCTTTTGATTGTTGAAATTGAGCAGAAAAAAAAGAGTTTTAATCAAAAATTATTACCTTTTTGCAAGTTGAATCAGATTCTTTGATGTCACTTACCATTCCCGTGTTTTTTTTCAAGGCCAACTTTACCATGTAATACAATGCTAATCTAATTTCCATACCCAATCGAGTCCAACCTTTTTTTTCCTCCAAAATTTTTTTCCTTCTTATTTGTTCATCTCTTGATTTACTTCATTTTTTCAACTCATTTTTTACTACTTTTGAACCCTCTTCGCCACTGCTGCTCATTTCTTGTTCCCTTCACAATCCATTGAATTATGTTACCTTATGTAACTTTGAATGGGCCACACCAAGAAAAGAGCAAAGTGTTATCACTTTGATTCCTGTGAGAACTGCACTTTGATTAAACTTGAACTTGACGCTAACAAGACCTTGGCCTTAGATTCCTATTATTTAATTATTACCTTCATTTGGTGATAAATGAATCAAGGAAGTAATTTTAACGCAACATTCAAATGGTTAGACTTCCTAGTCCAACCTTTCAATGATAAATGTCCATGTTAAATGTTAGCTAAAAGTCAAAGGTTTGAAGGTGAGTCACTTTTGAAAAGTTACCTTTACAAGTAAACAATCATTTAATAATCATTTCTCATAATGCAAAGTAGTTCAATGATTTTGATAAGCTTCTAGTTAACATCAAAGTCTTTGAATCTCAAAGTCTAACAACAAAAGTTTCAATAAAAATCCAATTGCAATGTTTATCAAGATGAAATCATATCAGTTTTAGGTTAAATTTGCCAACGATCTGTTATTGATACAAAGTAACTCAATAAGGCAACTTTAGGTCGAGTTGATTTGCGAAAATTTCAGTCAAATTAATACTCGTTTAGTGTCAAGTCTTAATAATCAACTCATTGTTATCAAAAGTTGTCTTTTGTTCAATTTCAGTTGAATGATATTTTACTAGATACTTGTTTTAAATGCAATCCATTCTGTAATAGCAATAAACTTTGATACCTAATGATTGATGCAACTTGATCAACCTTGATATTTGCAGCAATTTAACTTTCCTTTCATGATATAACTGTACAATTAGATTAAATTTGAAGATGATTTTACAGTAAAAGTTATTAAAAGTTGTTCATCTTTCACTTTATTGCAAAAGGAATTGCCTTTTATTTGTTGATCGATGAAATTAAATTTAATCTGTATTGGGTAAGCAAATGAATTGAGAAGTGAAATTGATAAAAAATTGGATTTCAATTGAAAATAAAAAGTTAAAGCCAAAGAAGAACGAGAATTGTGTTAAAGTAATTTCATGATTTAATGGTTGAGAGAATCACTTTCCACTGTTAATGATCAACTATTAACTGATGTTTATTGTTAACTGAACGAAGACGATTATTATTATTATATTAATGAACGCACGAGTTAAGTCACTCGACTAACTGATAAATAGCGATATAATGTTGGTTATAAATGATTATCAAAAGATTGCCGAAAGATGTGTGTTTAAGATGAACGTTTGTTGCGATATGTGAAGCAAAGGAGCAAAAAAGTGGCGAAGTTTAAATAAGCGAAACAAAAGTGAACGTTTTTTGTTATTAAATATTATATAAACATTGTTATTAAATATTATATAAACATGGTTCTAATTGTGAGTTTATTTGATTGATTGGCTACTGAAGAGAGAGATGAAGAAGCGAAAGGAGATGTTCAGGGATGAAGATGATAAAAGTGAAGAGAAGTGTTGGCTTCAATGAGTTTGTCAAATGTAATCAATTAACCGAGTAAAGAGTGATTTAAGATAATTTTCAAGTGACATTGAAGAGAAAAAGTTAATAACAATTTAACGGTAGAAAATTAAATCACAATTAAAGATGAGCAATTTGAGACAATTAAAGAACAGTTCATTCGCTAAATCAACATCAATATTTTCATTATTATATCGACAAAAGTAGAAGGGGAAAAAAGATGAAAATGATGAAGACGACGAAGACGATGAAGATGATCTGTATCTTGATCATAACAAAGGTTGATCTTGTTGTGAAAGATGAGATTATCAAGCTTTAAGGTGTTCATTGTTACAGGTAAAATGCTTGTCTAGGGTTTTGAGTTGTTTTGTCAAGGCATGTGAAAAGGGTTAACAGGATGAAAGGTTTTCTTTGTGAAAAAAGGTTTAAACTGAGAAAGTGAATCAAGGTGAGAAATGATGATAATGATGATGATGGCGATGATGAGATGAATTGGAACGAGAAAAGAAACATTAATCAGTTTACTTTTGAGTCGATTTTTTATGCTCTGAAAATCATTTGCCTTCATCTTTATTTTGCTCAGTAAGACTTACTTTTTGCTCAGCCGTTAATGTTGTTGTCATTATAATCATCCTAATCATTTTAATCATCATCATTTTCATCTTGATTAATGTTATTAACAATCAGCTTTGGAAACCTTTCATTTAGTATGTGATATTAATTCAATTATTGCTCAAGTTTCATGTTTATTTTGCTGATTGTTCAAGTTAATTGCATTTGTTTTCAACATTGAACAATTTTTCTTCAATTTTTCAGTCTTTTGTCAAAATTAAGTATTAATTGTCGGATAAATTGGGTTTAAATTAAACATAAAGAACTAATTGTTTGATTCAAAGTAAATCAACAATTTGTTTGTTAACAACTCTTCATTGTTAAGTGTTTTGGATTTGACAAAATTGATTCAAATTAAGGATTGATTAAGTTGATTGACTTATTTTGCTGTGAAAATTATTTTCTCAATTTTGATAGTCAATGGTTTAATTGTTTGCTTTAGATGAACTGGTGTATTTGTTTCAATTTGCAAAAGGTAATTTCAACCTTTTCATGAGACTTTTTTAGCTTCATTTTGTTTCAGTTTATATTTGTAAACTTTTTGACTTTCAGCTGATGATTGGATAAAAATAAGCTATCAATAAAGTCCGACTCAAGATGTAATCACATCCTGTAGATGTTGCTATTAACAAGTAGAGTCACATGAGTTTTGATGACCAGAAGAGTGAAAGGTCAAAGCACAAAATATGGATCAAGATCAATGTTGTACAAAGGACAATGTACTTGTACAATGGACACTCTTGAGGGTCACGACCTTTTGGTCAATTGATATAAATATCAATATTCTCATCGACAAAATTGAAAAAAGTGTTTTCTTAATCTTCAAATAATACAGCAAATCAGGTGAGAGATATGAAGATGTTCATTTTGCAACATCAAATTTTGTCAGTTTCAACAATTGTTCCATTCACAATTCATAAAGTGTTCAGTTTTGTGTTGTCAATCTTGTATTAGATTCCAAGTTTCCTCAATTTTTGGTCATCTACTTTCATCAGTATTGGACCGATCGCAGGTTAATTATCAAAATCTGGAGTTGATAGAAAATACAAGAAGTTACTTTTGAATGAAAACATTGCTTTTATATTGTAACATCTTAAATAGCCTTTTCGTTCCAAAAGTTCAACATGATTTAGATTCATGAAAGTTATCCATAATTTCTAATTCGATCAATTCTTTATTGATGGTCGAGTCCTTAAAGCTGCAGTTTTGTTCAATCATTGCTGAAAGCTGGCAAAGTCTGAAATTGTCTCGGAATATATTGGTCTTTAACTTTAATAGATTGAGTTTGTCAAATGATGAAATTTGATTTATTTTGGTCACCATTTAAATTTTTGACATCACATTTAGTTACTTTGTCGTCTGTATAATGATTTTATCACTTTATACATTTCATAAAATAATAATAATGTACAGGTGAAACACTGGAATTGGAGTAAAAAAGGTATTATGTACAAGCTATGAGAAAAAAAATTAAGAAGAAGAGAGGATGCAGAGAGGATGAAAAAGATGAAGATTAGGGGATGAGAAATGATCAGAACGAGGTGAGAGAGAAAAGAAAGTGAGATAAAGAAGAGAAGGAGGACAGAAGAGAGAGAGAGAGAGAGAAATATCATTGAGAAAAGATGTTTTTGGCCTCAATTCACTGATGGACTTTACTTTTTTGCCTTTCTCCTTTTGCTCCTTCTCTCTCTTTCCTTTCGTCCTCATCTTCATCAACTATTTCTAGGTGACCGGGATACACTGAGAATGTGACCGGCTTACCTAGTGACAATGGGCTATAAGGAGCAGAGGGAGGAAGGTGAAGGTGAGAGGAAAGAATAGAGAAATGTTAAAAAGAAAAGTTCTCCTTGTCTTCTTTTTAGCTCTCTTTTATGGCTTTTAATCAAAGAGGATCGGAAATGGATGAGAGAGTGAGAGAGAGAAAGAGAAAGAGGACGAAAGGTGTAGGGGGTGGTTGGGGGTCCTGAGATAATCAAGTGTCAAACTATACTTACAGTCTTCTATTGATCTTGAAGGCTCTATGGTTGATGTATGGCTCTGATAGGGAGAGTGAGTTTCAATTTCTTGACCCAATTTGATTTTATTCACATGAAATCATTTTAACAAGAGATGTAAAAGTGGGTGACTTGGGGGTGAACATAATTTTAAGAAAGATGAAACATCATTGTAATGATAATGGTGGTGGTTTAAAGAGGGTGAAAAGAAGTGAATTGTTATTAATATTTTCCTTTCCTTTCTTTTACCTTCACTAGCTTTTTCAATTTCGCTCTCTTTTTCCTATCACTATGTTTACATATTGAATAGACGCTAACTCCCTCTTGTTAAACTTTCTTATTTAGTTTTTCCTTTTACTTCTTTAATGTCTTTTCTTCTTGACTTACGCTTTTCTTCGTACTTTTTGGACAATTCAACTTTCTCTTTATTATTACCTACACCTTCATCTTTAACCTCTTCCCCTTTTCCGCTGATCCGTTTTGTACTGTAAACAAAACTGTACGATGTTAATGATGATAAACCGTAACTAAGACTAACTGTGCTTTCTCTTTTTTCTCCCTTTCTTTTCTCCTCTCTTTTTTTTCCTTCCCTTTCTCCTGTTACTTTCTTTTATGTCTCTTATTGTCTGTTATGCTAAATCGTCTTTACTATTTGCTGATTATTTGTATCTTGGCTTAAATTTGACATGATTTGGATCTGAAGAGTCCCGTTGTTTCCGGTAAAGCTTCATCCTCAGCAATCTCTCCCTCATCATCTTCACTTTCCTCAACTTCATCTTTGTCGTCACTTTCATCTTCTTTGTCAACCTCACCGACCTCATCATCATCAATACCTGACTGGGACTCGAAAGATTCAAGATTATCTCGTTACCTGACTAACTCTAATTTTTTAGGGCAAAGTTTTGCCGTCAACTCTAATAATGAACTCTGTATCACATCAACAGATGATCATCGAGAAGCCTCACCGATTAATGTAAATTTTCACAACAATTCTCACCCTCACCGTCATTATCAACCACATTCCTCTGAAGATATTAAATGTACAAGCACATCTACAGTTATACTTCACTCCTCAAGTCACCATAATTCAAATAATGGTCAATTATGCGATCTACCATTAGGCTATCAAAACATTCAAACACAAACATTTTCCCATCAACAATACCAAATCCACCAAAATAATAACCACAATCAACCCCATCACCATCACCATCAGCTACAGCAACCTGTTAACTCTATTGGTTTAATTAAATCAGATTATAATAGTTCCTGTGATTATAGATACCATCATCAATCTGATGGATTGTTCAGTAATATTGATTTAAGTGGCGGTCAACCGATGATTAGTTCTACAACAGGTAACCTCGCAAATAACGGTAATTCATGCGTCGACATCAACCCCACGAATAACAACAACAATAATAATCTAGGAAATGATCATTCTGACAATAGTTCACTGGAATACACTTCCATTCCTGATCTAAGCAGCTTAATTTTTTCCTCTGCTGACGAAGGAACCAACTCAATCAACGGATTATGCTCTGCAATACCAAGTCCAAACCCCAGCTATTTGTCTCATGACACCAATGGCCTTTTTTTATCCAATTACACTCCTCCGACTCCGCCAGATTCTGAAAGCGAAGGAATAATTCACTGTCATCAAACTCAAGTTCCTACAATCAGTGAATACAATTCACCATCCACAACACTGCCCACTGCAAGTCCGATAGTTAAAATCAATAGACGAAATAATCCGGAGCTGGAAAGACGAAGAGTTCACTTTTGTCACTACCAAGGGTGTAATAAAGCTTATACCAAAAGCTCTCACCTTAAGGCTCACCAAAGACTTCATACAGGTTATTTTGATTCACACTTTCAAACAGACAGGATTTAATCAGCATCATTGCTGAAAATTTCAATAATTTTTGAATGTCACGAGAATATGAGATAGTTGCTAATTAAATAGCAATTCATGACGTTAATCCTATCTGTTTGAATGTTGATAAATTGTTCCGAACTAAATTAACACCTTTCTGTCAACTGTGGGTTTATCAACTATTAATCATTTACTTTGATCTACAATTATTTGATGATCCTGGTAATCTTGATGTTTGCCCATCATTATTTGTCATATTGATTTTTGATTATTACAACAAAAACATGACAAACAAACAAAATTCAACGTATTGAATTAAATGATTAAATGACTCAATATCACACATTGACTAAGCTATAATTATATATCAACTTGCAACGCCGATTTACTAACCTTTTTTCCTTTTTTTCTGTTCACAGGTGAAAAACCTTACAAATGTGACTGGCCTGATTGCGATTGGAAATTCGCCCGATCCGATGAATTAACCAGGCATTTTCGTAAACATTCCGGAGATAAGCCGTTCAAATGCAAGGTCTGTGGAAGAGGATTCGCTCGATCTGATCATTTGACACTCCACATGAAAAGGCACAAAATTTTATCATAAACTTATGCTACATGAACATGGATTCAAAGCTTACGTTAAACAAGTTATTTTTTAAATCAATAGTCAATTTTTCACTGGTTAGACTACAACCGTATTTACTTGCTTGCTGCTGCTCAATACTCAAGATTTTAGTATCCATTTTGGATGAGCATTTTCAAGTAAAACATCAAAACAAAAAGTGTTCCTACAGTTTTATTTAGATACTATCAGGTCGAATCAAAATTTACCTGACTAGCTTTATAAAGACATATTTTTTCAATATCAACAAATTTCAGTTCGTTTGTTACAAAATGTGTCTTAGCTCAGGCTTTAGGCTTAGAACAGAGAAAGTATCAATGGTTTTTCATTCTGCGCACAGTAATTACCAAAAATTTTTGTTCATCTTTAGTCGCACTTAGAGGATTTTTTTGTAAAATGTGACATTACATTCTCTTTTCAGTAATCTAAGATAGGAATTATTAGCATTTAGCGGCAAAGCCTTAAAAGCCAAAGATGAGTAGAAAAATTAAACAAAATTAAAAAATTATTACAAGAAAGAGAACTAATTGCACATTGATTACTTGCATTGAGAAAACACACCAAAGCACCATATTTTATGTTTTTTTATCTAAAAAGTTGATTATTTTTCTTCTTTTATTAATTGTATTTACATTTTTTACAATGGATTTATCTTCTTTTTTTGATCTTTCAAAATTTTATTTTTTCTATGAAATTTATTTTCATTCAACATTGAGCCGATGAAAATTACAAAATAAATTGACCGTCAAATCGTTAACCAGACCAAGTCTCCATCCTAAGCTGACAAGACAGCTTTACATGACCATTCGAATAACGGTCAATAATCAATTCCATTCAAGTCTGTCAATCATCTTTGGCTCGAGACAAAATCAATTCCAAAGGCAATTCCAGTCTGTATAACTCATTGGCTCAACCATTTTTTGCACGTTTCTCTTTTCCTTTTCTTAATTTCACAAATGATTTTTTTTTCATTTGACAAGTTTTTTGCTAAAAGCTGTGCTTTTTGATACTTTTTTAACATATCCTTTCACAATTTCCCCTTTTCCTCCCTAATTTTCCTACCAACTTTGTCCTACTTTTTCAAACTCTCCATCCATTTTTTGTCAACTCAAAACAAATTTTTCCCAAACAGTTACCATCCAAAATCCGTCCCAAAATTATCTTAATAAAGAATTCATTTTTCTTGAAATAAATTGTTTAAATTCAAAAAATATCCAATATCAAACTAACCCAAAGTAACATCAAAGTCCAATTAATAACCAGATACAATAATCAAACCAATTTCCTGATAAAAATCATAGTTAATACAAAATTTTACTCTTCATTTCATCATTTGGGCCTGCATTGATGCGATACAAATTGTGATAAAGATACAAAAAGAGGGCAAAAACAAGGGCAGAGATCAGGACACATGAGACTATTATGGCCACAACAGCACAAATCGGAAGTCCAGCAAATGAAATGCTATCTTGAGCAGTTACGAGTCCACTTGGAGTGTAAATGTAGAGATCAAAAGGATCCTTGGAGAAGTCAAATGACAATGTTTCACCCAAAATATGGAACGGTAAAGTCCAAACACATGTAGATGCACCAGTAATGTATCCAGGCTCTAATTGATTGGCAACATTTTCAATTTTAGTCATATTAACCAGGAAAGCAGCAACCTCTAAATCGATAAAATTGTAAAACAAAACCAAATTGGTTCCATCAAATTTGGCCAATAAAACAAGCAGTGTTTCAGGAACGTCTCCATTGACATCCAGGTTAAAGTTGAGTTTGGTTGTACAAGTATCATAATACAAGTCATACTTTGACTTATCAACACCTGATTGCTCATTTAGCTGGTCAACCAGTGACTCAAAAGGCGATCCTTTGATTTGCCATTGTTTTGGTGAACTGTAGTGTCTTCGGTATTTCAAAAAACGAAAACTGTTTACATGGTTAAGAACCAGATGAAATGTTAACATGAAAATGAACAGTCTATTCATTTTAACACGATTATTACTTGACAAAATCTGAGCAACTAAAGGTGTGAAAAATTGATCTACTTATGAGCGTTTAAATAAAACTGGTTTCAACATTGTTATTGTTTATTGGTATTTCACTTGGTGTAGATGAAAAAAATCATGATAAATGGGGGAAAAAAGGCTATCATTTTGGTTCATTTGTACCTTGAATCCATCGAGTTGATTCAAGCCAGAGTTGATAATTTTAATCAGATTTTGTTATACACTGAGCTTGGCTAAGTTTATTTGAGCTTTTTAATGTTGGACAAACAAATGAAAAAGAGTTCACATTTTATTCACTCAAAAAAGTGTTTATATTTTGAAGATTCAATTACTAGATCAATTTGATTCAGTAAAGAAGAGTGTGTTTACTAAATGTTGCGTTTTGAATAATTGTAGATAAAATGTAATGATCAATTGAAAATGGGAGTTTACTCAACTATCGGTGCAAATTTTGTTGGCATCAATTGTTCAGGGCGTTTTTGTTACATTTGTTTCGTGCACCGAATGTTGATCCTGATAAAATCCAAATTTTGATTATTATTTTGCTTTAGTCCGAAACTTTCAACCTCAAACAAGATTCAATCGAATGCTGGAGCCATTTCAAGAACAGCATAATTCGAAAATTATCAAAATGAATAAAAAATGGCAAGGACATACGCAACGATTTTCAATTCGAACTAAAAATTGTGATGTCCATGACTTGAGCATGAATACTGATTCCATTATTGCTATTAAAAATTTCTCCGATCGATAGTTTTCGAAAAAATCGAGGTCTATGTCGAAACTTCGATTGCCTTTCGTTCATTAAGAGACCATATTTCGAAAGTCGAATTATGATATGAATGATTCTATATCTTTTATGAATTTTCTTGTTCGAGCATCGATTACTAAATTTTTGGATAAACTCTCAAACAGTTGAGTTGAATCACCTGAATTGCCTTACAAGTTCAAAAAATTCACTGAAAGTTTTTCTTAACGGATAATTATTTCTAAAAATAAACCTTTTAAAAACACGATCAAACTGAGTGATTGAAAATTAAAAAGGATTTCCCCGATATTTTTGCACTAAAATTTATTGATTCAATAAAATCTGTTATTTGTTCACGAGATTGTCTTTCTATTGTTTTCTCAGATTCTTATAATAGGATCTCAATCACAATTTACTGATTTATTCGAGATAATGATAAAATATATAAAGGTACAATAATAATGTGATTATAATTGTGTTTTGTTTTGTTAAATTGAATAAACAACAATTAATCTTGTATCTTTGAAATGAATTTTTTGATAGTTTTTTGTTTAATTTTTTCACCCATTCATGGTCTCAATTTAACTCCAATAGTTAATTTGACTAGTGGTCCTATTCAAGGTAAAGTTACTGAATATGAATCGATTGGGGTTTATCAGTTTCTCGGTATTCCTTATGCAAAGCCACCGGTTGATAAATTGAGATTCCAGTTACCAGTTGAACCAGATCCATGGACTGAGGTTGAACCAGCTACTGCTCCAGGTCCAGCTTGTCTTCAACCGCCTGTCCTGCCAAACATAAAAGAAACCAGTGAAGACTGTCTCTACCTCAATATTTTTGTTACTGAATCAACTTTTAATAACTCATCAAACAAACAACGACCAGTGCTTTTCTGGATTCATGGCGGTGGATTTACAACAGGATCTGGAGTTATAGATGGACTTCCAATTGTTTCATTACATGATGTTGTGCTCGTCTCTATCAATTATCGTCTCAATGCATTTGGTTTCATGAAAATATTCAAAAGTTTGGCGGTGATCCGAATAGTGTGACAATTTTCGGTGCATCTGCTGGATCGGTCTCAGTCTCTGCTCATCTGTTGTCTCCGCTTTCGAAAGGACTTTTCAAAAGAGCTATTCTTGAATCAGGAACAATTTACCAGAATCACAACGATGATACCTTGGTTCTAGATTCTTGGAAACTCTACAACAAAACCTCATGTTCAAAATCGAAAGATGTTCTTGAATGTATGCAGAATCTATCAGCAACCGAAATATTGAATAACATAAGTGATAAAGTATTAGCATATTCCTTCAAAGTGGGTGACGACTTTCTGCCTTACGAACCATCCAAAGCTTTCGCGGAAGGATTCTTTGATAATTCGATTGACATTCTATTGGGTGTTGTGAAAAATGACGGTTCGGTTTTCATGAAAGCTATCGACCCCATAGTTTTCGATTACTCAAAAGTGCCTCAGCCAATATCCTACCAACAAGCTACAACCTACTTGAAGCGCATCTTTAATTCTGAATCAGTTGACTATTTCCGTGAACTCTACTTTGGTCCTGAAACTAACGATTCAGATTTCAGGTCTCAACTTGAAATAGCTTACAGTGACGCTACATTTATTTGTCCAACTTATGTGTTTGGACTTCAGTACGCTTCTAGTTTAGGTTCACAGGGTGGTAAAGTTTATGCTTATTATCACACTCAAAAGCCCAAAACTGATCATATGCCCGAATGGATAGGAACTTATCATGGAGCTGATGTTTCTTATGTTTTCGGTACAAATCTACAAAATCCTGGTAATTCACATAAAGATGCCTCATTGTCTCGTGAAATGATGAAAATCTGGACTTATTTTGCTGAGAATGGGTAAGTTTATTAATGCCATGAAATAATGATTTTAATCATTTTTATTCATTTTGTTTTCAGTGAGACTCCAATGATTGGGGAAACTAGATGGAAAACAATGCAAGAAAGCAAATCGGCGATGATACTGAATATCGATGATTGGGGAAAAACTGAAACGGAAAGAATTGAATTCTGCCACAAGGAATGGCCTTACATGTCGAAAAACGTTATTATAGGGTTGGGTCCATTTCCAAATATTCAATTCTTAATTGAACATTCTTAATAAATCTGTTTTTTGCTCAATGTTGCGACATAAAGTAGCATTTTACGCCATGAAAAAGTATTTGTTTTACTATTAAAGTATTATATTCAATAAAAGGGCTCTTTAATAACTGAAGCGAATTACTCATGCACAGAATTTTCATTTTGATAAAATCCAAATTTTGGTTATTGTTTAGCTTTTATTTGCTAGGATTTGACCGAATGCTCAAAATGCCAAACTCTTAGCCCGTAAGACATTTACTCATAATCCAATAAACCATGAACTTGAATAACCAAGAAATTTACGGCAAAACTGAATAGCATAAAATACGAACTATGCATTCGTCTATTGGTATGGATTCGACTTGAAACTTATTATTTGTCCATAAAACACATTATGTGCGAATACTTTTTTGCAATTTAACAACATTTCTCTTGATTTTGGCCATTAGCCTTAAAACTTTTATCCTCAATATTTAGAGAATGGCATCACCTACAGTCATCATTCTTTCACCAAAAATTAGTTTCATTATGGCTTAAAATATTATTTGACTGATACCGAATAAAATCTGAGCTAATTCATTTAATAACCAATATCCTTCTAACGCATAAGATTTGTGTTTAGTAACTATTCAACTTAATGCTCCAAGATTTGACAACATGAGTAATGCTATTACTTTTTTTGTAGGATTTTGAATGCTTTAATATTTCAATGTATCATAGCCCATAATGAAATCTAATGTTTCGAGAAAGAATGACGATTGTAAGTGATGCCATTCTCAAAATATTGAGGATCAAAGTTTTAAGGCCAATGGCCAAAATCAAGAGAACTGTTGACAAATCGAAAAAAGTATTCAATCCATAATATTAATCAACAATTTTCGTGGACTAATGATACGTTTCAGTTCTCTAACTCTTACGGTCACATAAAGTGGTTGGTTTAATTGGAAATCGAGCTAATCTGTTTCGCAGAAAAATAAAAGTTTTATTTCTCAAAATAAATACATTTTCTGGTTGACCAACCATAGTAACATCATCAAAATGAGTTTCATGGAAAAATATGCTTCCATAGATGTAGAAAAAGCTTTGTAGGTTTCAACATTGACCTTAATTTTCTCGAAAACTATCGATCATAGAAACTTTTGAATCGCGCAAATGGATTCAGTTTGCATGTTTTCACAAGCCAATGGTGTCTCAATCTGAAAGAAATTTATTTAGAATTATTTATTGAGAGATTTATTTTATTTTATTTATTTATTTGTTAGTAAAGTGCATAAATGTCTTTTCAGTTGCAACTGGCAACGTTTCCCTTATTTTAGTCGTCATCTTTAATACTTGTTTTTGCAATTTACCACCAAAACTTAATAGTTTAAAATACGGATTCTGTATTTGCCCCTGCCTCTACAGTGTATTTGCATGAACTTCGCAGTAGTAAGAGCCCCGTAAAATTCCTACTAATTTTTTGGATGTCATATTCCGGTCAATGATCGCATGCTGTGTAAAATTTTTCTTAGAAACGTGATCAGTTTGGCCACGATTGATTGTAGGTGCTACCATTCTCGAAATTTTGAGGCTCAAAGTTTTTAAGCTAATGGTCAAAATCAAGAGAAATGTCAATAAAATGAGAAAGGTGTTCGATCGTTTTGTGAATTTTGGTTTCTTAGTGAGCACCCTTGCTAAAGCTTTGCAGATTTCGATGTGAATGGTTCAAAATATATCTTTCATCAATTGTGCGATCATTTATTACTGAATTCACGATAAACTCTCGAGAATTGAGTTGAAAATTTGAATTGACTTCTATTAATAAGCATTCCAAGGGTTCTAAAGTCGAAAAAATCGCTAAACTTTATAAACATGATCAAACTGATTGCAAATTAAAGTGAATTTCCCCGATAACTTTGCACTAAAATTTATTGTTCGGTAAAGTATGTTATTTGTTCAATTGTTTTTCTATTGTTTTCTCAGATTATCTTCGGCTCTCAATCACAATTTACTGATTTATTTGAGATAATTATAAAATATAAAGGTACAATACTGATGTGCTTTTAATTATGTTTCATTTTGTTAAATTGAATAAACAACAATTAATCTTGTATCTTTGAAATGAATTTTTTGATAGTTTTTTGTTTAATTTTTTCACCCATTCATGGTCTCAATTTAACTCCAATAGTTAACTTGACTAGTGGCCCTATTCAAGGTAAAGTTACTGAATATGAATCCATTGGTGTTTATCAGTTTCTCGGTATTCCTTATGCAAAGCCACCGGTTGATAAATTGAGATTCCAGTTACCAGTTGAACCAGATCCATGGACTGGGGTTAAATCAGTGATTGATTTTGGTCCAGCTTGTCTCCAACCAAACAATGGGCTATTAAGAGCCAGTGAAGATTGTCTTTATCTCAATATTTTTGTTACGGAATCAACTTTTAATAACTCATCAAACAAACAACGACCAGTGCTTTTCTGGATTCATGGCGGTGGATTTACAACAGGATCTGGGCTTATTCTGGCAAATCCAATGGTTCCATTACATGATGTCGTACTCGTCTCTCTCAATTATCGTCTCAATGCATTTGGTTTTATTCACTTTGGAGCTGATGAGCCTAGAGTTCCTTCGAATATTGGTTTACAGGATCAGCTACTTGCTTTGAAGTGGGTCCATGAAAATATTCAAAAGTTTGGCGGTGATCCGAATAGTGTGACAATTTTCGGTGCATCTGCTGGATCGGTCTCAGTCTCTGCTCATCTGTTGTCTCCGCTTTCGAAAGGACTTTTCAAAAGAGCTATTCTTGAATCAGGAACAATTTACCAGAATCACAACGATGATACCTTGGTTCTAGATTCTTGGGAACTTTACAACAAAACTTCATGTTCAAAATCGAAAGATGTTCTTGAATGTATGCAAAAATTGCCAGCAAACGAAATATTAGATAACATAAGTGATAAAGTATTAGCATATTCCTTCAAAGTGGGTGACGACTTTCTGCCTTACGAACCATCCAAAGCTTTCGCGGAAGGATTCTTTGATAATTCGATTGACATTCTATTGGGTGTTGTGAAAAATGACGGTTCGGTTTTCATGAAAGCTATCGACCCCATAGTTTTCGATTACTCAAAAGTGCCAGAGTCAATATCCTACCAACAAGCTACAACCTACTTGAAGCGCATCTTTGATTCTGAATCAGTTGACTATTTCCGTGAACTCTACTTTGGTCCTGAAAACAACAATTCAGATTTCAGGTCTCAACTTGAAAGAGCTTACAGTGACGCTACATTTATTTGTCCAACTTATGTGTTTGGACTTCAGTACGCTTCTAGTTTAGGTACACAGGGTGGTAAAGTTTATGCTTATTATCACACTCAAAAGCCAACAACTGACCATATGCCTGAATGGATAGGAACTTATCATGGTGTTGATATGTTTTATGTTTTCGGAATACATCTGCTGAATCCTAGTTGTGCACAGAAAGACGCTGCATTGTCTCGCGAAATGTTGAAAATCTGGACTTATTTTGCTGAGCATGGGTAAGTTTACTGATACCATTGAGTATATAATTTAATGATTTTTATTCACTATTTTTTTCCAGCGAGACTCCAATGATTGGGAAAACTAGATGGAAAACATTACAGGAAAGCAAGTCGGCGATGATACTGAATATTGATGATTGGGGAAAAACTGAAAGGGAAAGAATCGAATTCTGTCAGAAAGAATGGCCTTATATATCGCAAAACATAATTATAGGATTGGGCCCGTCTCTAGACCAAACTGTTTCTTAAATGATAATTGTTTCTTTTGAATCTGTTTTTTCGCTCAATGTTATGACACAAGTGACAGTTACTAAGCATAAATCTTATGTTTTGAAGGATGTTGATTATTAAATGATTAGTTCAGATTTTATTCGTTATCAGTCATATAATGTTTCAACCAATAAGGAAATCTAATGTTTAGTGAAAGAATGATGACTGTAGGTGGTGCCTTTTCGAAACATCGAGGCTCAAAGTTTTAAGGCCAATGGCCAAAATCAAGAAAACTGTTGACAAATGGAAAAAATTATTCAACCCATGATATTAACACAAAATTTTTGTGGTTATTTATAAGTTGCATATCTCTAACTCTTACGGTCACAGAAAGCGGTCGGTTTAACTCAAAACCGAACTTGATCTGTTTTGCATAAACAAAAAATTTTATTTCTCGAAATAATACCATTTCTGGTCAGTCATCAAAAGTTACATCGTTAAAATAAGTTTCATGGAAAAATTTGCTTCCATAGCTGACTCAAAGACGAACGAAGTTTCAACTTTAACCTCGATTATCTCGAAAACTGTGCACCGAATGAAGCATTTAATAGTACCAATGAACTTAGTTTTTATGTTCCTACAGACCCACCAAGTTTCAACTCTTAACTCAAATGTTGGAGCCTTTAGCAGTACTTTTTGTATTTCATTTGCAAGTTCAACCAGAAAATTGATTTATTTACCAAGAAATGGGTTGAGATGAGTTTGTTTTGTTGCTCGTACATTTAAAACCTAAAAATTATGACCTAAATGTTAATGTTATGTACCTGTTAATGAAAAGTTATTAAATTAAATTGAATTGAATCAATTAGTAAAGAATTAAATTGGTAGAAGAATGATGATTGTAGGTGATACCATACTCGAAACATTGAGGTTCAAAATTTTAAGGCCAATGGCCAAAATCAAGAGAACTGTTTCTATTAATATATTAATAAATTGAGAAAAGTATTTTCACCGTGATTTATAATAGCAATTTTAATCTTCAAATAATAAGTTTCAAGTCGCCTTGCGTACACTTGATCGGTTTAATTGAAAATCGAACTAATCCGTTTTGTAAAAAAAAGAAAGGTTTTATTTCTCTTAGTATATTTGCTGGTTGATCATAAAAAGTGTCATTAAAAGTGAGTTTAATGAAAAAATATGCTTCCATAGATGCAAAAAAAGCTTTGCGAGTTTAAACTTTGGCTTCGATTTTCTCGAAAACTGTGGATCAGAGAAATTTTTAAATCGCGCAAATGGATTCAGTTTTCATGTTCCTACAAACCAACAGTGTCTTAATCTGAAAGAAATTAATTTATACCCGTTTTTACCCATTTGTTAGTTAATTTGTGCATAAATGTGTTAAATGTGTCTTTTCAGTAGCAACTGGCAACGTTTCCCTATTTTAGTCATCATTCTTAATAGTTGTTTTTGCAATTTATTAAAACAACGAAATTTAATTCATTGGACCTTGATATATTGTGTTAATACTGGAATATATGATTGATCGACAGTTCTTCGTGGTGCATTGTTACCAGGTTGGGATCTGAATCGAAACATCAAACTTATTATTGGCCTTTCATTTGATCGATTTATCAAATTAATCAAACTTTATTGTATCTAAAATTGTCTTCATTGAAAATCTGCTTATGTCTAACTACGACAATAGCCTCGCTAGTCTTTCAAATATTTGTACATAATAGATGATTACATAATTAATACAAAAGTAAGTCATAATTTTATTTATTGATTCCATATAACAATATACAATTTATTTTAGTTTCATGCATCACAGCATCATGAAGCTTTGACAGATACAGAATTCAGATTCAGAGTTTCATAGCAATCAACTGTTTTCATGGTTTATAAGATCTTCGATATTGTAATGCAAACGGTTTCTTTAACTTGTTAAACACTTGTTGTACTATTGTTATTACGCCTATTGTCATTGTATGTATTCAATTTCAAGCAGCATATGCACCATTGAAGCGGCTTTCAGATGCATTGCAGGACCTTCGGGATAATCAGTTCGGTGATTAATGCAAAATGGACATCTCTATCAGTCTTCCGTGAACTCAGACTGAAAACTAAGTCTATCTATTCACATATATATGAAGGGATAAATATGGGCTGAGCGCTGAGGGATTGCTGGGAAAATGAATCCATCGATCAATTTTCCATAGATTGAGATTCCAAACCAGATTCCAAGTATACTGCTAATGTATATGAGAAGCTCAGTGAATGTTGACTTGGGATACGTTTTGAGAATAACATTGAAATCAATTTGATTCTCCAAACAGATTAAACCGAGATCTGAACCTTTCTCTTTGTAAGTTCTACCTTGAGTTTGATAAGTTTCCACAATGCATTGAAGCTGTTTAACTTGTTCCGCACATTCATTTCGTACTTTTTGAAGCGTTTCATTAACAGATAAAAAGTCTTCAAACTTGAAATCGGCTGGAAATTGACCAACATGAAGAACATCTTCCAGCTGAACCATTCCTGGATATGAATTGAATATTTTCTCGCGTAAACATTGGCTAAATATTTTTGATTTCTGATAGTGTCGGCAATTGGTTTGGTAAGGCCATTCGCTGTTTTCAATTACTGTTTCTCTATAACGTAAACGCGTAAATACATTTTCACCCGCTTCTCTATCAACTGCCATGTAATTTATTTCATCAGGATTGATTGAACTGTTTGTGTGTGCGAGACGAACACCAAAATGATGATAAATGCTATGCATTATGCAAAAGCGATCATCAGCTACAATATTTTGCACTAATCTTCTCTCTATCGGCTTTGAATCCTCTCGACATGAGACTCTGATGAAAGTGTTTATTGCGTTGAAATACCTCTTTATTGAACATAAATCGTTTCGAATAAAACCGGATATTTTATATTCAAAGATCAAGGATTCGATGTTTACACTTTCTAAATCACCAACAGTCAAAATTTTAGCAATAAAGAAACCACTTTCATGATAAGATTTTAAGAATTTGGTGCAATCAGAATTGAATTCCCCATTCGATATGATTGTTAAGTTAGAAAATTTTAATCTACAAATATCTGCCATCTTTTCCGGATGCTTTAGATAGAGTTCAGTCAAATTCAACAAATCAATATTGTACAAGATAATGTCGATTTCAGGAACAATCATTTTCTCGGGATAATCGTAAATAATATCAGTTCGAACAGGAAACTTAAGAAACTCATTTATAACAGTAAATAGATGAATTGAACATCCAATCGAACAAAATGTTAAAATTAAAACTCTTCTGTTCAAAATCATTGTACCAATACTGTAATCATAGATGGATAATGTAAAACAATATTTTACTTCGAGTAAATTCGTGTAACTGCATCGACATTAAATTGCAATTGCAAATGTGAAAATCAATTTAATTGTATTCTTTAGCACAAAATAGTTACTTGGGGAACCTTCAAATGATTGATTACACTCAAAATATAAACAATTAAAATTCATTCCAAATGTTGTTTTGGGTTCAGCTTATTATTTACATTTGCTTGACCAATTTATCAAATTAATCAAACCTTATTGATTCAATTGTGTATTAAATTGTCTTCATTGCAAATCTACGAATGTCTTCACAAATAATCATCGCTAGTTTTGAAAATATTTAATAGTCGCTTGTTAAAGTCAATTACTTTGCAAACAGCAAAATGACAGATTGGGTTTGAATTGGATAAAAAATCTTTATGTAAATTTTGGAATAAGCTATTATATTTTTATAAAATTGAACAATCATATTGACGATATTATGATGAAAAACAAATGTTTTGTTCTTGAATAATGGTAAGAAAATGAATAAGGATGAATTAAACCTAATTTTGAACATTTTTTACAATAGTGTAGCCTATTTGATTCAAAATCCAGACTGAATAATAAAACATCAAAAGCAAAATTAAACCTTCAACCTGCTTTACCTTTGTTTAACATGATTCTCTCAGAAACAATAATTCCATATTAGTTTAACCAATTTTCAGACATTTATTTTTTATCCCAAAATTTATGTGACCGAAAAAATTTTGAAACTTTTTTGGTCCAAGCGCAATAATTTTGACACAAAAAGTTGTTGCATTTACTTAATATATTTTATTAAACTTTAATTAAAAATGAATTCATTTGACCTTACAGTTTGCATATTTGAATATCAGATTAAATCTAAATTGAAAATTGTCTCAATTTCGGTTTCACATGATACTTATTATTTCTAGCATCAACGGAATTCATTAAGACAGAAAATCATTAAAATGGTATTATTAATATATTATTCGCTCTACCATGGGCCCACAAGCGTTGAATGAAGCTCCATCGGCATGTTCAATTCCAATAGGTTGAGTTGGTGGACAGAATTTTTGCAGTTTTTGCCTGTTAATACTGTAATAAAGAAAAGGTATTAATGATAATAATTAGTTAATGATTAGTTTATGTGTAACTTGTTTCTGTGATTTTTTTAGGAAACATTTGATTTGATTTTCAAAAAGTTTACACAAAATAGGGAATTATGATTTGATTGAAGATCTTACTGTCCTCGATATATCCATTCTTTATATTTATAGTCAAAAACAATGTGATCGAAATAGATGGATGGTTTTTCGATCGCAAAATCTGGGCTGTTTGGTTTAGCCAAAGTCCATGAGAGGTAAACAGATTTGATATCTTCAAGCTCAATGGACGATGCAATTTGACCAGTGTATTCGCTATTCATGGCAAGATTAACATCCCTAGAAAATAAAGAAAAATTAAATGGCAATTGTTTACATGAATTAAATGAACCAATATAGACTTACCGTGGTGTCAATACAAAATCTTCTGATGTCTCTTCACCGATTCTGACCACAGAAAGCTTGAGTTTACCATCATGAGCTGAGAATTTGGTTGATCCTGAGGTTTGGACAGTCACATCATAGTTGAATACTGAAGAAGAAAGGATTCACATTATTGAACAATAATTAATTGTAAAACTAATTTAAACCTGAAAATGTATCAATACCTTCGTACGCATTAACAATGTAAGAGATGTTGGCGACAAAAACTATTGCCAAGGCAAAAGCTGAAACTTGATAAGTCATCATTTTGGAGTGTTAATTTAATGTTATTTCAATTCGTTTGAATCAATACAATTTTGTTCGCTTGTCTTCTGGTTTTAATATGAAAAATTATCTAAAGATCTACTCGGTTCGTCTCCTTCAATTAATAATTTTTTGTTACTGCCAGGAATAATAATTTGATTTTTTACCAGATTTCTGCCCATTATCATGCTTTAATCAATTCAAACAATGGTGATTTAATTATTTCCAGTTCGATTTTATTAGTTTATTAATAAGTTAAATTCCAGGTACATTGTTTCAAACGCACTCAAAGAAACAATTTATCTGTGTTGTTTTGTTAGATTTGATCACATGCGGTATTATTTCCAAGAATTGACTTTCTCCTATCAATTCTGCTGACAATCTAAACTGTTTACGTTCATATACACCTGAAGTCATAAATAATTTAAACACTTTTTTCGGTTAACGGGAATAATCTTACTATTTGTTTCTAAGGTTAAATCGGTTTATCAACGCGGTATGTAAATCAAATGAGATCCATTGATCCGCTAATTTTTTTGAAATAAAGTTCATATTGCTTTTTACAGTTTACAGAAAATTATCGATCAAAGGAGTGTGTACATGATTTTTTCGTGAAACTCATTCTCCTGATGTAAACTTTGATGACTAACCATAAAATGCACTCATCTTGAGAAATAAAACCTTATGCTTTTATACAATAGATCAGTTCGATTTTCAATTAAACTGACCGCTTTCTGTGTCCGTGAAACTTATATTCACAGTAAGTCATATTTTTGTAGTTCTCAAATTAATTTTCAACAAACAACATTTACAGTCAGGTACCTAAAATTGTCAGTTCGATGGTCTCCCCATCTCGTATCAAATGAAATAACCTTCGGATTCAAGCAAAAAATAAAATAATACAATCGTAATCGAATTAAATGGAATCCAGGTTACCAAAAAATTCAAGTTTGAACAGGGTAGGTAATTAATTGATTCAATCTTTGCAAGATTCGGACTTGCAATTTTCATATAAGATATTAAGAAGTTGAATTTAGCGAAAAGTCTTTCTTTGCTAAAAAAGGGGGTGCTCAAGCAGATGAAGCGCAACACTTACTTTCGTTTGTATTAAGTTTGTTACTTGTAAACACAGCTGACAACGTAATTTTTCACATACTTTTGTAGCAAAGATAATGAATATTTCAATTCAATTGATAAGAGTTAGATTTAATAAATCAAAAGATAAGAATAGGAAAAGGAAAAAATTGGTCATTTAGTTTGTCTGTTTATTTGTTTATTTGGGATCTAATTATGCCTCGAGCAATCGAAAGTAAAACTAGACTTGAAATCATTGGCCTCATCACTATCGGTATACCAGTAAACTTAATTTCTGACCAAGTCAATATTTCTTAAATGATTGTTTACCGTTGGTTTGAACGATATTTAACAACTGGTGAACTCAATACTAACTATAAAAATAATAAACGTCCACGTTTGACCAATTTTGAAGAGGATTTGACCATTGTTTTGGCTTCAATCGACTCACCGTTTAAAACAGCAAACTTCAAAGAATGAATTATGCTGAACGTTATTTGGATTGGCAAACTTTTTTCGTCGACGAGGCAACATTTTCATCTGATAACAGAAATGTTATATTGGTAAGACGCCCTTTTGGTACACGATTTGATGAAACTTATATTGGTTTTACAAATGGATCTGGTCGTAAATCAGTATCTGTTTTTGGTATAATGAGTATTCATGGTCTTGGACCTTTGATCAGAATCAGAGAAAACCTTAATTCAAGAATTTATTGTGATATTTTGAACTTCTATGTTAAACCTTATATTTCATCAATATTCAATAGACGACCTTCTTTTCTCGTTCAAGATAATAGTCCAATTCATAATTCAAGAATATGTCAAGCTCTTTTCAATCAAATTTTAACAAATGATCTCCATTGTTTCAGACTCCCTCATCCAGCTCGTTCCCCTGATCTCATCCAAGCGAAAATGTGTGGTCAATTATTAAGAAAAAAATCAATTGTGAAAATACTATAATAATAATGATCAAGTTCTATGGAACAATATTTGTAAAGCATGGCAAGAATTGAGTTCAGATCATAATTATTTTGTTACTTCAACTCAATCAATGCCTCGAAGATTAAGGCAAGTTATTGATAAAAATGGAGGTGTAATCAATTATTGATAAATGAAAGATTAAAAGTATGATCTAAAATGAAAAATTATGCTATCAGCTGTGTTTACAAGTAACAAACTTAATGCAAACGAGTGTACATGTTTTACTCCACCATTCACTCCTTTATTGGTTTAACAATTGTTCAATTCATTGAATTTCCTCAAAATTGATTCAACATTAAATCGACTTTAATATTTTTTAAATACTTGTTTAAATCATCCAAAACAAAGTAAGTTTTTACTGATACTATTTAGTAAATATAAAGATTTAACTAATGTTTCTTCACTCTTCCTAAGCAGGTCCAGTATTTGTGCAACTTATTGGAAATATAAAATTTATATCATCAAAGCCAGTTTTACCATAATAATCAAGGTATGTTCTGATCATAATTCGAATTGGTAAGAAATTGTTTTACCAAATCACTCATAGTAAAACAGTAGTTTTACTGTTAAACCAGTTTAAAATATAACCGATTTCAGCCTCTTTTGTTTCCCAGAATTTTTAGCTTCCAAGCTCTTCAACGCTTGTTATTTGTTTCTGACCCTCTGATTATTCAATTGAAAATTCAATAAGTAAGTGAATGTTGAATAAATTAACAGTCGATTTGGTGAAAAATTGTTTTACCAAATCCATCTCAGTAGATCAATAGTTTTTATTGTTAAAGCGAATCAATATTTTAATGCTTATTTTATTTTTACTTTTTACTGTTTCAGATGATAAGCTTTTTTACTCTGGAAATTCATTTCTGACATTACTGTGACACTACGGTCAAACTACTGTCAATTGTTACAAATTTGACCAAACCCCAGCCAAGCTTGTCAACACTTAAAGTTCATTTCATTCATTCATTGAAACTTTAGAAACTCATTCACAACAGTAAATAGATGCATTGAACATACAATCGAACAAAATGTTAAAATTAAAACTCTTTTGTTCAAAATCATTGTACCAATACTGTAATCATAGATGGATAATGTAAAACAATATTTTACTTCGAGTAAATTCGTGTAACTGCATCGACATTAAATTGCAATTTCAGCATAATTTTGAACATTTTTTACAATAGTGTAGCCTATTTGATTCCAAATCCAGACTGAATAATAAAAGATCCAAAGCAAAACTAAACCTTTAACCTGCTTTAACCTTTGTTTAAACATTATTCTCTCAGAAACAATAATTCCATAAAAGTTTTAACCAATTTTCAGAAATTTATTTTTTATCCCAAAATTTATGTGACCGAAAAAATTTTGAAACGTTTTTGGTCCAAGCGCAATAATTGTGACACAAAAAGTTGTTGCATTTACTTAATATATTTTATTAGACTTTAATTAAAAATGAATTTTTTTGACTTTACAGTTTGCATATTTGAATATCATATTCAATCTAAATTGAAAATTGTCTCAATTTCGGTTTCACACGATACTCAATAAGTTTGTTCTATTACCATGGGCCCACAAGCGTGGAATGAAGCTCCATCGGCATGTGCAATTCCAATGGGTTGAGTTGGTGGACAGAATTTCTGCAGTCTATGCCTGTTAATACTGTAATAAAGAAAAGGTATTAATAATAAGTGTTAGTTAATGATTAGTTTATGTGTAACTTGTGTCTGTGATTTTTTTAGGAAACATTTGATTTGATTTTCAAAAAGTTTACACAAAATAGGGAATTATGATTTGATTGAAGATCTTACCGTTCTGGATAACCGTAAATAACAGGTTCCGAAGTTGTATACCAATATTCAAGAACAATTTCATCGAAGTAGATGGATGGTTTTGCGGTTGCAAAATCTGGACTGTTTGGAGTAGCCAAAGTCCATGAGAGGTAAACAGATTTGATATTTGGAAACCAAATGGACGATTTAATTTCACCAGTGTATCTGCTATTCATGGTAAGATTAACAGCACTAGAAAATAAAGAAAAATTAAATGGCAATTGTTTACATGAATTAAATGAACCAATGTAGACTTACCGTGGTGTCAATATAAAGTCTTCTGTTGTCTCTTCACCAATTCTGACCACAGAAAGCTTGAGTTTACCTTCATGAGCTGAGAATTTGGTTGATCCTGAGGTTTGGACAGCCACATTGTAGTAGAATGCTAAAGAAGAAATGATTCACATTATTGAACAATAATTAATTGTAAAACTAATTTAAACCTGAAAATGTATCAATACCTTGGTCAGCATTAACAATGTAAGAGATGTTGGCGAAAAAAACTATTGCCAAGGCAAAAGCTGAAACTTGATAAGTCATCATTTTGAAGAGAAATCTGATTTATGTTGTTATTTCAATTTGTTTGAATCAATACAATTTTGTTCGTTTGTCTTCTGGTTTTAATATAAAAAATTATCTAAAGATCTACTCGATCCTCCTCCTTCAATTAATAATCTTTGTTACTGGCAGGAAAAATAATTTGATTTTTTACCAGATTTCTGCCCATTATCATGATTTAATCAATTCACACAATGGTGATTTAATTATTGTCAGTTCGATTTTAAGTTAAATTTCAGGGCATTATTTCAAACGCACTCAGAGAAACAATTTATCGCTAATCTGACAATTTATCTGTGTAGTTTGTTAGATTTGATCACATGCGATAATATTTCCAAGGATTGACTTTCTCTTATCAATTCTGCTGACAATCCAAACTGATTGTGTTTACGTTCATCAGGTATGAACAGTAATGTTTTGGACTAATTTTTCAAAATTAAATTGCACAGTTAGACTAGACTCACAGGCCACATTCAATCACCAAAATAAAGCTGAAATTGCCAAGAATGTGTGGTTAAAAAATTAATTAATTTCGGGAAAATCTTTATAAGTGATGGCCCTAAATGAACAAAGGCATCAAAATCTGATTTTTCCTTTCGTAAAAACCCATATACAGGGTTATCTATATACAATTTATCTATGTAGTTTGTTAGATTCGATCACATGCGATAATATTATATTTCCAAGATTTTACAATGAAACTCATTCTTACTAAAACTATGTAACTTTTGATACATAACCAGAAAATGGTCTTATAATTGAGAAATTACATTGCTAGCCCAAAAATTCAGTGCCAACGACATTGGTCGAATCAAATCCTTTTTAGAACTTGGATACTCCTTTTCTGTTATTCAAAGTATTTTCAAAAAAGAAGGAATAGTAATTTCGAAAGCCCATCTATCTAACATTAAAAATAATAGATCATCTTCATCATCGAACTATTATGTGAAAGTTGGCCGTGAATCGTTTGGAACGCTTACAAAGCAACAATTAGCGACACTTAAAAGAATGATGAAGAAATCGAATCCACCAACATATGCTGACATGGCTAAGCATTTCGATACAACAATCGATGTCATCAGATATGCTGTTCGAGAAAAAATTGATTTAAAAAAGGTCAAAAAGCCAAAAAATCATCGATTAACAGCTGCAAACGTTGAAAAAAGACGACGACGATCATGGCCTTTGTATACCAAGTTAAAGTGCAATCAATGGGAGAAATTCATCACCAGTGACGAAGCTTGGTTCTACATTGATGATACTAACAAAACTAGGCCGATTCAATGGATTGAACGTGACCAAACTCGTCGAGATTGCTCACCGTTAACTGAGAATCGACACAAAAAAGGTGTTATGGTTTGGATTGGTATGTCGGCTCGTGGATTGACCGAACCAATTTTTGTGGAACCAGGAGCTAAAATCAATGCTCAATATTATATAAGTGCCATATTAACACCCTTTATTAATGATTTAGCCCCTAAACTTTTCCCCGAAAATGATTATATATTCCACCAAGACTCTGCGCCCTCTCATACTGCTAAAGTGACCTTAGATTTTTTAAATTCGAAAAATATTCAGTTTATTCCCCCCTCAGAACATACTCCTACTAGCCCAGATGCCGCTCCATGCGATTTTTTCCTATGGGGCTACTTAAAAAGTCAGGTCGCTAAGCGAAAAGCAACAACGATCACAGGTTTAAAAAAGATTATTAGAGATGAGGTCAAAAAAGTCCCTCTAGCAATGATACAGAGTGCAATGAAATCTTGGCCTAAACGTCTTCGAGAAATATACTATGCCAAAGGTCATAATATTGAAAATTAGTTATGTAAATATTGTTAAGTTAATTTAAAATTAAAATTAAAATTGTTCACTAAAACATTACCACTACCGGTATATACAATTTATCTATGTAGTTTGTTAGATTCGATCACATGCGATAATATTATATTTCCAAGATTTTACAATGAAACTCATTCTTACTAAAACTATGTAACTTTTGATACATAACCAGAAAATGGTCTTATAATTGAGAAATTACATTGCTTTTCCGTAAAACAAATCAAATTCAATTCTAAATTAAATCGATCGCTTTTTGTGACCCCTCTGAATTGAATTATTCATTAATAGTAATGAATGAAATTGGTGAAAGAATGATAATTGTAGATGATAGTGTTCCCAGAATACTGAGACTCAAAGTTTTCCGGACAAAGGCCAAAATTAAGAGAACTGTTGAAAAAACGAAAAAAGTATTAAATGCATGATGTGTACCAACAATTTTTAATGGAAAATTTCAGCTCACTCACTCTTACGTTCACAAAAAGCGATCGATTAAATAAAAAATTGATTCAAACATCGATTCTGATTTGTTTTACGAAAAGCAAATGTAATTACTCAATATAAGACTATTTTCTGATTAAGCATCAAAAGTTACATGGTTAAAATGAGTTTCATTGAAAAATCTAGTTTCATAATTGAAACGGTGATCGAAATAGGAAAGTCATATTTTTTGTAGTTCTTAAATTAATTACAACCAGCTTGGTTGCAGTTAAGTTGTTTGTCAGTTTACCGAAGCTGCCACTAGTCTTAAGTCGAAAAATATGCATTGGCTAAGTTCGGCTTATACGGATGTTCCTACAGCCTTACCCATTTTCAACTTTAAACACACTGAAATACTTTCTAAGATCCAGATACACTTTCCTTTCTCATTTCAGGTTTTTTTCTGTTGATGAAGTTCTGATCTTTCATTTGGTAATAATCTCTTGAAATGTTCGAAATCTAAGTCCTTTTTTGAAAAGTTTTTTTTCAATTGAAAATATATGGTTTTGCACGAAAGGTAAAATCAGCTTTTGATGCCTTTGTTCATTTAAGGCCATAACTTATAAAGTTTTGCCCGAAATTAATTAATTTTTTAACCACACATTCTTGGCAATTTCAGCTTTATTTTGGTGATTGAATGTGGCCTGTGAGTCTAGTCTAACTGTGCAATTTAATTTTGAAAAATTAGTCCAAAACATTACTGTTCATACCTGATGAACGTAAACACAATCAGTTTGGATTGTCAGCAGAATTGATAAGAGAAAGTCAATCCTTGGAAATATTATCGCATGTGATCAAATCTAACAAACTACATAGATAAATTGTTTCTCTGAGTGCTTTTGAAATAATGAACCTGAAATTTAACTCAAAATCAGACTGGCAATAATTAAATCACCATTGTTCGAATTGATTAAATCATGATAATGGGCAGAAACATTGGAAAATCTGGTAAAACATCAAATTATGATTCCTGCCAGTAACAAAGATTATTAATTGAAGGAGGAGGATCGAGTAGATCTTTAGATAATTTTTTATATTTAAACCAGAAGACAAACGAACAAAATTGTATTGATTCAAACTAATTGAAATAACAACATTAAATCAGATTTCTCTTCAAAATGATGACTTATCAAGTTTCAGCTTTTGCCTTGGCAATAGTTTTTTTCGCCAACATCTCTTACATTGTTAATGCTGACCAAGGTATTGATACATTTTCAGGTTTAAATTAGTTTTACAATTAATTATTGTTCAATAATGTGAATCCTTTCTTCTTTAGCATTCTACTACAATGTGGCTGTCCAAACCTCAGGATCAACCAAATTCTCAGCTCATGAAGGTAAACTCAAGCTTTCTGTGGTCAGAATTGGTGAAGAGACAACAGAAGACTTTATATTGACACCACGGTAAGTCTACATTGGTTCATTTAATTCATGTAAACAATTGCCATTTAATTTTTCTTTATTTTCTAGTGCTGTTAATCTTACCATGAATAGCAGATACACTGGTGAAATTAAATCGTCCATTGGGCTTGCAAATATCAAATCTGTTTACCTCTCATGGACTTTGGCTACTCCAAATAGTCCAGATTTTGCGACCGAAAAACCATCCATCTACTTCGATGAAATTGTTCTTGAATATTGGTATACAACTTCGGTACCAGCTGTTATTTACGGTTATCCAAAACAGTAAGATCTTCAATCAAATCATCATTCCCTATTTTGTGTAAACTTTGTGAAAATCAAATCAAATGTTTCCTAAAAAAATCACAGAAACAAGTTACACATAAACTAATCATTAACTGATTATTATCATTAATACCTTTTCTTTTTACAGAATTGAAGGGCATAGACTGCAGAAATTCTGTCCATCAACTCAACCTATTGGAATTGAACATGCCAATGGAGCTTCATTCCACGCTTGTGGGCCCATGGTAGAACAAACTTATTGAGTATCTTATGAAACCGAAATTGAGACAATTTTCAATTTAGATTGAATATGATATTCAAATATGCAATTTGTAAGGTCAAATGAATCCAAAGTCTAATAAAATATATTAAGTAAATGCAACAACTTTTTGTGTCAAAATTTTTGCGCTTGGACAAAAAACGTTTCAAAATTTTGTCATAAAAAATAAATTTCTGAAAATTGGTTAAAACTTTTATGGAATTATTATTTCTGAGAGAATCATGTTAAACAAAGGTTAAAGCAGGTTGAAGGTTTAGTTTTGCTTTTGATGTTTTATTATTCAGTCTGGATTTGGAATCAAATAGGCTACACTATTGTAAAAAAATGTTCAAAATTAGGTTTAATTCAATTTGTGCATAAATGTGACGATTGTGTCTTTTATAATAGTAAAAACCCTTTTAATGTGCGACTACACTCTAATGTACCATTTGTTTAAATGGTGCCTGTGGCGCAATCGATTTGACAATATTATCCCCGTCAGAAGATAGTTCAGGTTCAATTTGGTGATTATTGTTTGCATCCAAAGATCCATTTAATGATAAAAACAAAAAGGTAGCTATGGTTGCCATAGTTTGTGTTAACGCCGCAAATAAGTATAATTTTATGATAAAAACCTTAAAATTGTTAAAGGTGTTGAGGTAATGTTGGCGTATTGATTATTTTTCATCTCTAACTTCTATGTTCTTCTGAAAATTTGAAATATTCATATTAAATCAGCCCTACTGTGGCTAATAATTGAAATAAAATCAAATGTAATTTCAAAGTTTGAATGAGACATTTGAAAAGCGCAGAAACAAATAGATTAAATCAAAAAAATTGATAAGGATTGTTATGATGTCTAGATTCCTGTATTTCTGGTGATTCATTTTATTCATTGGATTATCAGTTTGATTTGAACAAGAAAAGACTCAATTTCCTAATGATTTCTTAATATGTTTGCTTTATTGCGATACCTAAAAGGTTTGAAAGCTTCCCTGTCAAGATTAAAAGATTATCAAACGCGTTTTACTCTCGTTATTGTATTCCTTTTGGTTTACAATTTAAACTGGTTTGATACTGCATTCAAGGAAGTATTCATCTACAGTCGAACTGGGCGTTGGTGTCCTCGGTGTTCACCGAAAGCATTCATCGACCGTGACCTCATCAACTTAACAGATCAATATATCATCAACAAACCGCATCTTTGTGAAGATTCTATGCCTTTGGCATTTATCATGGTAACTTCAAGTGTAGGATCAAAAAGCCGCCGAGATCAAATACGAGCGACATGGATGAAAGAAGCTACAGCAGCAGGAATGAAAGTCTTGTTCTCATTGGGATCTTTAGCGATTCATGGTGATAGCAAAGAAATTTCAATGGAGAATGAGATGCATCAAGATATTGTTCAATTGAGTTTTGTCGATGATTGGAGGAACTTGACTCTAAAGACAATCGCTAGTCTTTCATGGTTCAAAAACTATTGTAGTCACGCCAAGTACTATATTAAAGTGGACGATGATGCTGTGATAAACGTCGCCAATTTGGTTACTAACTTAGCTACTTATACAAATTCAAATGCCATTATTGGACATCTACTTAAATCGAATGTTCCTTGTTTTGTTTGGTGGAAACAGCGACATTGTATGCCTTCTGATCAGCACTTCAAATTGGATTATCTCGACCGTTATCCTCCTTACCCTGCTGGTCCCATGTACGTTATCACTCAAGCTGCTGTGATGCTTTTAGTCGACCATGTTAAAGTGACCTCACAAAAAGATCTGTATTTTTTAGAAGATGTGTACATAACTTTGCTGGCCCGCGAAATCGGCATCGATGTAATTGATGATCCACAATTTTTATTCTGCTCTCAACTTAATGAGCGAAATTTCGAAGAAAAGATTGCAAATGCTATCGTCATCTATGATTGCTCGGCTAAACAGCTCAATACTATCTGGTCCTTAATTCAACGTGATTGACATTCAAGGGAAAAAAGCTGAAATTGACAGCAAGAAAGTTTGAAAACACTATAAATTGCCGTAAATTGTGGTTGGATCTTGAGCATTTCTTAGGACTTTCTCACATCTTTTTAAAAACTATTTTTATTATACCAAGAAAGATCTACCGAATAAAAGAGTTTTGCTGAAACCATTTCCATGATACATGAATGATACTAATGACTTACATTACTCAATGTCATTGGACGATGAATTTAATGATTTATTCACATTGATTCCAGCAAGACTCCGATAATTGGTGCGAATGGATGGAAACCATTGCAAGAAAGCAAGTCAGTGATGATTGGGGAAAAGCTGAAACGGAAAGAATTTAATTCTGCCATAAAGAATGGCCTTATATGTCGCAAATTGTTATAGTGTTGGCACGATTCCAAATCTCACATTCTTAATTGATAATTATTCCCATTGAATCTATTTTTTGCTAAATGTGATGACAATATTTTACGCCAGGAATAACACTTATTTTATTTTACACCACTAAAAGATCTCTTCAATAAAACAGTTAAGCTGAATGAACTTCCATGAATGATTCTTGGCTTATACAAGCACCAATAAACAGAATCCTAAAAATGACAAAAAAAGCTTCAATCATTCAAATCAATATCGATATTGACTCGTTTTTTAATAATTTTTATTGTAATTAATCAACAAAACTACATTCTTTGGTATTCATCCTTTGACCTGTACCTTCTAAATAACCACACTAAAGCTACAATTAAATGGATACCAAACACGACACAACAAATCGCAATGATAATTATTAATTCCGTTGACAATCCTCGAAACGAAATATCATTTTCGAAGTAAACAGGATTTCCATTTAAATAAATGGACACAGCGGAATTACCATCTTTAAGGTTAACAGACAATGATTTGGTTCGCAATTTCAAAGGAATACTCCAAGAACAACTTTTTTCATCACTTTTTTTGGCTTTCACCAGACTGGTTACATCTTGAGTAATGGGCCCACCTTTAAGGTATGCTTCAAGTGTATTCATAGACAAATCACAAGTTACAGTTAACTCGATTGAATAGGATTTTTGAAGAACCACTGAAACTGTTGAAGCATTTTCAACGTTCACTTTAACATTGAAGTCAACTCTAGATGAGTGTGCTTTCAATGTAAGACTACACTCTGAAGTACCATGTGCATCAATGGTGGACTGTGGATCAATTGATGGGACAATATACTCGCCAGAAGATAGTTCAGGTTCAATTTGGTGGTTACTAGTTGCACTCAGTAATTCACTCAATGATAGAGACAAAACGGTAACAATTAAAAAGTAGTTCATTTTTCAAAATTTTAAAATAATTTCACAAAGATTTCAATTCAATATGAATGTAAACACGAGTTTACTTTTAATTTATATCAATTTTTTCATGTACATCTCTTGCCATTGCTAAATTTAATTGAATTTATGATGTATTGAATCACATTGTGTTTTCTGTTAAATTAGATTATGACAAAATAATATGCAAGGTTTAGTCATTTATGCAGTAATTAAAATCACGAGCTGATTGACGATTAACTCATTTCAAAAAAATAATTGATTGCACATTTGGATGTTTTTTATTAGTGGAAATTTGATTATTTTTCATATTCTTAAATCATATTTATATTTTCAATTGATTTAGCCTCCAAAAAATTATTAGTTTAAAAATTATCTTAAAGATTCATTTTTTACAATACATTCGTTTCTTAATTTAAAAAAGTATCAAAAATATCAAACTGCTCCAGGCTGCAATTGATTTTTAGACTGCCTGCGTTCATTTGTATTTCATTATTCGGTGGCAATAAGTGTATCTTTGACACGCTCAAAATCGAACTAATTTGATGGGAAAATTTTCAGTAATCAAATGATTATCTTCGAATATAACAATCACGTTCACCTCGAATTCTGGAAATAAACAGTAATTAAGAAGATATGAATAAGTATATTAGTAGACTGAGTCTTTATCATGATCAGTCTTACCTATTTTAAAGTTGCTAGTTATAAGAGTTGGGCATGAAAATAGACGGGGAAATATCATATAAATTGGAATAGGAACTCCGCGGCAAATGTCTCCATCTCCGATTTGAATGTTTTGTATTTCAGTTGCTGCAATGGATAAATTACAATGTGAATATGTAAACAGTTAATAATAAAATTAGATTGAAATATTACCATCTCGAGCGTAACCTTCAGCACAGCCACATGTTTCAACTCGGACTAATTGTAATTCAATACTTCTAATTGGGATTTCACATTCTTCGATAACGAGTTCACCGGTAAAAGGATCGGTTAGCTTGCAAATAGTGTTGCTAAGTGTACCTTTAACACGAAAGGAAGGAACTTTACGTTTCTGTGAGGAAAAAATAAAAGAAATATTTTACGTATTAGTAATAAAGATTTAACAAATCAATGACAGAGAGCTGTTGTAATTGATTGCTTGAATAATGGTACGTACATCTTTGACATTCTGGAGCGATTCTGGAGTGATTGTAAAACTGGTAGGCCTTGTTTCTGAAGTTACCGGTTCTGTATCTTTCCTTTCTGTTTCAATCATAAACTCGACACATTTGGACAAGTCCTTGTTTAGCATGGATCTTTTAACTTCACACCGAAGTAAATACTGTAAATTTACAAAAAATATATTGAGTTTTAGCATTAACCAGTCATTCAAATAAAAAATCACAAATAACCTGAATAGTTATGAATACTCCGTGATATGTTTCGTAAAGGGTCTTGTTAGTCTTTGGACGCAGAGGAAGTTCAAACGCAATGTCAGTCTTTCCTGCCGGTAAATAACCACCTTTAGCGATCTCAACTGAATAGTTTATTAATGGCACTGGCTTGATTGAAAAATGGAAAGATAAAAGACATGAGATAGATAGTGATTACATCGAGTGAAAGGTCAAAGAGAGGAAGAGAGAGAACAAGAAACGATGGCAGGTGGATACTCAGTTCAATGTCTCGATTAACGAGGGCATAATTTTCTGGTAGTATTAATTAATAAATTAATTTATGCATTACTTTGACTGAATTGTAAAAGGCATCAATAATCCCGACATTCTTGGAACTATATTGCATTTTGACCAATCCTTCAACTGTCAAAGCGATCCCTTCGTGACGAGACTCATTTTTACAGTCAAAGCTGATAACACCAGTTAAATTTTCCTGTGAAAATATATTAAGAAGATTAAGATTAAGCATAGAAGTGGAAAATTTGAATAAATACTTACACCTTGGTGAAATATTTTATTAGAGCGTTTCAATTTGATATCAAAGTTAGTTGTCATTTTTCACTTCACTACAGTTAAAGCTCAAGAAACGTTCAATGTGAAAATTTCAATTTTAGTAAATAAAATTTATAAATAATTAAAGATTGAATTTCAACTTAATTTGATTAATTGAACATAATCACAAACAGACAAGACGATTTTATGTTATGTTGACACACCAGTTGTAATGTTTTGTTTGTATGTGGATCAGCTGATTTTGAGTCTTATTCGTTTATTCATCTATCATTGTAAGAGTTGTGTAAATGTTTCGGAAATCTTAGATTATTATCCTGATACCATCGTAATATTCTAGTTACATATAATTTATTACAAAATTATTTCAATTTAAAATTTTTAAATGCTCCAAATAGAATTGGTAATATTTTTTGGTTAAAACGTTAGCTGGGAATAAGCAGTTGAAATATTCTGGCTGATATGATACATTGAAATACAAATGAATTTGTGAGCAAGAGTTCTTGAAGAGTCAAAAATTATGTTTTATTCAGACATTCATACAGTGTTTAAAGTTCCAAAATTGCAAACAAAGAAGCCATTCATTTGAACTGTCAATCCAAAGTAACTAGAAAAATATTACTATTAGAAAAAGATAGCGAGAGGAAGATGGAGAAGGATGAGATGCGGAAAAATTGTTGGTTTCCAGATTGTTCATTAAGAAAGAATGATATAATGATTCTCTTGGTACGATGCTTTTGCAAAATTAATAAGCTGTGTAGCCTCAGTGGCTAGTTGTTCAGATTGACAACGTATCTTGGGCTTTGTTGATCCTAGTTCAGCTAGTTGGTGATAACTTCCATAACATTGTGGACAGCTTTCATCAGTAACCACTAAAACTAAATATGAACGAGACGATGTCCCTGTTGGACTTCCGAATTGAGTAGCAGTTTCACATCTTTGCAGGAATTCAAAGCTAACTGATATTTGTCCTTTTCCACGATCATCCGGATTCTCAGTCCATGTAATCAAATGAATTTTATGACTTGAAATGAATAGAGCTGCATCTGCTCGAAGCATTTTGAAACTAATGAAAAGCTCGTCATCGTCTTTATCGTTTAACATGGTTGATTTGTAGAAAAATTCTTGTCCTCTTGATTGTTCAAGAGAGTAATGTGGCAAAAGTGAACCCGGACCATGAACTGAGAACCTTTGTCTAGGCGGCCTGATTCTACGTACTTGGGACCATGAAGTGTTAGAAATTTTTCGACTTGTGTCACGAACAGCAATTGCTGCACTAGTAGCGAAGTCAAGCATCCCTACGGCGGGTTTAGTTATCGTACCTAAAAGTCCTTTACCAAAACCACTGAAGAAACCACCAACTCCTCCTTCATTCACTGCACCTTCATATGTTTGTGTAATTATACTGGTAAAGCCCCCCAAAATACCAACACCTAAACCTTTGATTCCAGCCTTTAAATGGTCATTCGATTCATGTTTTATTCTTTTTCTGATTTCTTGATGACGATCATCCATGGTTACTACACCAAGTCCATCCGATAAAACAGAAGTAAATTTAGCCGTTGAGTCGGATATGCCATGAGCCAAATTCAAGATGAGTCCACCAACATTACCTTCATTGATTAATTCAGATAAGCCATCAGTTACATCATTAACAAATCCTAATGGGTTTCCAAGAAAATCAAACGATCCTAAAATTTTGGCAGCTTGACCTCTTAATTGTCGATGATAATGACTAACAATTCCTTCGATTAAAAATCTAAATGTTTCCAGGGAATAATTTTTACGGAACGGCAAAAGGCCAATTTTTGCATCTTCAAAACGTATCAAACGTAAACGCAGTTTTTTCTTAATTAGTGACAATTTAGGAGGCAAATGACTAGATGTAAGAACACTAAGTTTCACGTTGTCCAATTTAATTTGAAGATTTGAAAAGTAAAGTCGCGGTGATTTAGCAATTGCTGAAGTAATCGCTTTGTGAACATTTTGATCTTCCTTTTCATCGTCAACCAACTCTGATTCAGATTCCAGTTTTGGATAACCAAGAAATTCGTAAAATTTCAACATCAAAAGTTCTTCAAGATTCAAACCAATATCCTTTATGGTAATTTGAACATCCTAGATAAATAAGATGAAAAAGGTTATTCAGAGAGTTGAAATAAGCAAATTGAAAAAGTAAATTGATTGATCAGACTCTAATTTACCTCGAAAAATTGAGCTTCAACTTTAGGAAGAATTAATTTGTGTATAAAAATATGTAAGGCTGGAAGTCCAGATAAGGGATTATTTTCTTCCAATTCCATCGTATGAAAGATCACTGGTTTTTCGGCTTCAATTATCTGATTATCAGCCTGTATTTTATGTAGATAAAAAAAATTGAAACAAATGATTAGAAAATATAAATGAATAAAACAAATATAAAATTATGGGAACATGCTATAATTACCTGAAAATATCTGACTGAACAGTTTATACGATGCTCGAATACCTTGTATTGATATTCTAAGACAACTTCATTGAAAAATAAATACACTATTTCCTCATTATACTGATTGACAAGGGAAAAGCCAACATTCGAAGGTTTTACAACAATATTGAATTCAATTTTCGTTCTTTCCGAAGAGGCACGACTTTTAGATGCTGCTATCGATGGTATGTTTGATGATCGTAAAGTAGACCTAGAAGAGCTTGGTGGTATATTACGAACATCCATAACCTGTAAGACTCGAGAGGGTCCATCAGTGCAAACTTGAACCGATAATAGACCAGACCCTTTGCGCATCTTTTGAGTTGATAAGGCTTGTTCGAAGGGAATTCCATTAGAAAATTTTGCATATGTGATTGGCTGAGGTGGTCCTAGGACAACATCATTTCCAATAAATAAACCAAGGAAACCATCTTTAGGTTGCACATAAAGACCTGGATGTTCACAACTAAGTCTTCCGTCTTGAGTAAAGTTCCAATATTGAGTGAGACTTCGTTTATTATCGATGCTTCTCAAAACTAAACTTGAATATTGACCAGGATAAGCACAATGAGCTTCGATGTCAAGAACAAAAGATACTCCTTCATTTTTACTGCCCGATTTGCGAGGATCTTTAGGAGGTGATGATCCTTCATGTAATAATCGACGGTACTGATCCATGCGCCATAATTGAGATCGTCTACCAGGTTCTTTGCGGTTAATTATCACTTTGCGACTACCCTCAGGCACATCGAGAACCAATTGCATAGATTTAATGTCTTGATCGTCAAATTGTTGAACAGAAACATCGTTTTCTGATTCTTGGACAGAAAGAAATGTGCCTGAAAAGGCAATGTAGAAAAAGTTTTCATAGGAAAGATTATCTCCTGGACGAAGAGAGTTGAGATCATAAGTTGCAGAGCAACCACCGGGTGCAGATACAGTTAGATGAGGCTTTAAGGTTGATTCATCCCAAGCATAGGGAACCGATGATTTAGGTTTCACAGTTGTTTTCATCCATGCTTGAGAAGTATTGGTCTGATAAAATTCAATGGGAACTTCAGAGAAATTGTCTACTCTAATAGGCGGCGGAAGGTTTCCTGGGTCACTAAAGATGATGAATGATGTTGCTCCTTGAGCCAGAATTTCCAAACGAATGAAATGAGATTTACCCTGGGAGTCACGAACATTAAGATAGAAAGATGAATTATTTGAAACTGCAAATCCACCTGACCAATGACAGCCGTTAGATAAAGAGGCAAGACGAACACAAACAAGACGATCCTGATCACTCCGTGGCCAGTGAAAGGCAACATTAGAATTGGGCAGAACAGAGATTAAATTTTCTTTGCTATCAGATTCAGATAATGTTGCATATTTTTGCGTTATTTCCAAGCTAAAAGAGCTTGAATTTTCAATCTGATATCTGGGCGAGAGTGTCACAACATAAGTATCTCGATAACGGCCTTTACCAGGACGAACTTCAATACCAATTTCATATACTTTATCAGGTCTACGAGGATCACTTGAGGCTATTCTGAGTTTTCTAACAGTTGTGCCTTTTTGCAAATAAAATGGATTACACCAACGAGTTCGGCCAAATGACTTTCCAAGTCTCATGACACAAGCAAACGATGATTCAGGCTCATAGAAAGAGAAGAGAAGAGGTGATATACTTCGAGCAATCTCATGTTCTTCAAATTGACCGCTGGCTTCTTTATCCGCAGATTCCTGCTTCAAAATTAGTGGTAAACCAGTTCTATTGACAAACCAAAAAGGAGACAAAATATTGATTGAAATAGCATATGGACTATTATTGTTCAATGATATTTGAGCCAATAAATTGAGAGGGCGATCCTTTTTATCAAATAACTCTATTCTAGCAAGGAAATCGTTGATAAAATTCGGTCCAATGACTAGTGGAGAACATTTCGGGTAATTGTCCAAATTAAAGCTTAGTGAGAATTCTTTACTTGTGTCAATGTATTGAAGCGATGTTGTTCCGCCGGGCTTGATTGAGCCTTCTTCTGGATAGTTTTTAGCTCGATAACGCAATTCAAACGGTAATAGATTACAAAGTTGTAAAGGTGGTAACAAAGAGATCTGATGAGCAGGCAGAACACGGCTAGAACGGAATCCAGTTCCTTTTGATCGTTCCTCTGTTGGAAAATTTTCTCGACTCACACTTGAAACAAATTTGTAGATTGGAGAGCCAGTGTACGAACTATGTTGTTCTTTTGTAATGGTTATTGGAGTGCAAATCAGTAATTCTGAAGAAGCGTCACTCATTCGGCGAACATGTTCCCAAATTATTGGAGTTTCACACATGTTTACACCAATATCACATGGACGAGCAAAGATTTTACTTCTGATGAGATGAAGCGGGACTGGTACAACAGTTTGTGGCATAACGTACATTGAAGAGTCACTAAAAGTACCGAATTTAACCTCCATGGAATTATTGGTGCCATTGTATAACATTAAAGCTGAGCGTACAGTAATCAATTTTCGAGCATTACTCTCCAGGGTTATATCAAAAACAATTCGAGCTGTTTCATATCGAACATTTTCTGGCTTAGCTTCACGAAAGTATTTACCGACTTTGTCAACGGAAACGGGAAAAATTGGCTGCCAACCGTCAATTTGAACAACAATTTTATGAGACTTCAATAGATGTGAGTCTTGATGTCGAGCTTTAGCTGGGCCATCAAAAGTAAATGGTACGATAGCGTTTGCTTTGACGACAACCCAACCTTTGTTTGATTTTATCTTTGAGGAACTGATATTGAATCCCTTTCTATTGATAGGTCCAAATGAAAAAGTGGCATTATTATCCATTGTTGATGATAAATGTTCACCAACATTTGATGTTACCAACGTAAATCTCATATCACAGCCACTCTCATTTTTTATGGCAAACGGAATGAATGGGGATCGGCGACGAACTGGTTGTTGTTTTTGTTGAGAAAGTAAGTTGTACTCATCAATCCAAGAGGTGAAAACAGATTTGTAAAGCTCAAGGCAAGTGTTGGTTATTACAAGATTGAGAGAGTCGGATGAATTAATTTCAACGGATAATTTTTTAAGGCAATCTTTATCATCCTTTTCTAAATTCCATCCGATTGATGTTTGCCATTTTTCCAGAATCGGTTGCCATCCTGATAAAGCTCTATTAAAGTAATCTCCTGTCATTTCAAATTTAGCTGATCCCATCAATTCAGTGCGAAATTTTTGCCACAAATCAATATGAGTAAAACGAACCTCAAACAGTGGTACATCAGTATCTTTACAATCGTCAATCAAACAAAATATACAAGAACCAATTTGCAAGCTAATAGTTTCAAAATTAAATTTACTAAATCGACTGACTCGTTTGGCTGGACGGATAATCGAAAGCGCTTCATCTGTAGGTGAAAGACTAGAAGGGGAACGGACACTATGAGTTAACCAAATAGCTGCTTCGTTGATATTTCCTTTACAGTTTTCCAGTGCTTGAATACACTCTGACTCTTTGAAGCCCATGCTCTGAAGTTGACTAATGTGAGGTGGTAAGGCGTAGACAGAATCATTTAAATTATTTAATGGGTCATTACTAACGTTATGTTTAGGAGATGAAGATGATTTGGAAAGAACTTTGGTCTGGGTTGGAAGAGAATTAAGTATTTTGGTGAAAAGAAAAATATCCTTATAAGAAAGACGCAAACTAATCTCTGAGACATCGAAAACAAGAACAACCTCTTCTCTATGACCAGTTTCTTTTTTAGTAAACGGATGGTGAATAACTTTGGGTGCCATATCAATTGTTACATTAAGTGGATCCACGATAGACAAGGCTGTTTCTTCTTCTACTCCAAGAACACAGGAGAAAACTTCCACTCCTTCAAGGGTACAGTTGAAGGGTTCAGGATGGGTTAAATCAGTGGCTAAATTGAGAATCGCTGTTCCTTTTAAGATTACAGCATTTGTATCTTCTATTGAACAGTTTTCTACTACAACAAGCTCCGTGTCAGTTATATTGAACTTAAGCTCAAAATCTGGTAAACGATCTTCATCGACATTCAATAGTTGGTTTGCATAACTAGAATTGGCAGTTTGCTGAAAATATGCTGTTGGTGTCTTTTGAAAGTTGATAGGTTGAGATAAAAAATCACTCATCTCTTTGAACCAGTCAAATATTGCCATAACTCTCATGTTGTTTAGAAGAATTGTTAAGCAAACATGATTCCGTTTACTGCGATAATGAATTTCAACTTGTAATGGTGTAGCTGATAGACCTTTCTTAGCTGGTTGAAGGATACCGGGAAAAACATTTGGAGATTCCTCTTTGCATCGATTAAGATATCTAGCATCTATTATTTTAATCTCTTGAGAAACAAGATCGATGTCTTTGCTCGAATCGGTGAAACTTTCGATAGAGAGACGTGAAGAAAGAAAATCTATACGAGCAATGCTGTTCTGATTTGACGAATAATCCATTGAGCCATCGACAATCTCGAGTGAAACATTTTTGAGATCCAAATGTATGGCCATTGATGTCCAAATACGGTTTGGCAAAAGAATGTTGAGTCCCTCTCCTTCAATAATAGGTTGGTGTGGTGCTATATGGTCCATTGGTTCACCCAAATTGTTATCCAATACTCCTCGGATAAGTTGATATCTTGGAGAATCTATAGTGCATCGAACTGCCGACACTTTACCTAACATTGAAATGTCTGGTAGAGAATGATTGAATTCTGCCTCCAAATTTCGTTCTATTTGTAAAGAGAAAATGAACCTTTCTTTCAAAATACGACCAGGAAGTCGTTTAACACGGAAAGAGGGAAAATCTAAAACACCTTCCTCATAGTTCTCATCATAATTTACATCAGTATACTTATTAGTTTTCGGGTTGTATTTCTTCCTCACAACAAATCCTGAATACAGATCCATTTCAGGAAGTTGTACATCAATTACATCCAGCAAACATGGTTTAGGCTCTAAAAGACGAACATAGCCTGATACTAATGATTGAGAAGAAACACGAGTAATAACACCATATTTTTCTCTAACAGAGGCAGCAACCAAATCTGATTGAGTTAAACCGGATTTTTTGCAGACAGTTCCAATAGTTCCCGGTGAACCAGCATATAAGAACTTATTAGTCACAGTTAGCTGACCAAAATCAGCAACTAATACACTTTCACATAAATGATGAACAGGAATTATAATGACTGGTGCTGCTGCTTTTATATCCAAGGAAATTCTAGTTGATCGGTGAAGATTCATTAACACTTCTGGAGCTGACAGAGCTTTGATTTTAAGTTGAAGAATGTTGAATTGTTTCAAGAAATGCATAGTTTCGGTATAAAACCTTTGAGTGTGGACATATTGAACGGAGGCCATTTGAATTCGCAAATTCATGTCATATTCTCGTTTCATGGTCTCATCTTCTTGGCCATACTTGAAGAAAGTAAAATTGAGAGCTTCTTTCCCAGATGTGATGAATCTTTCTCGGTAAATTTCATTAAATTGGGTAAGATCAAGGATCGATAGCTTTTTCAGTTTCCCTTCCATCAAAACATTTCCATTATATTTGGAATAGAAGCATGAAAACCCATGAATGTTGGCTTTGGCAAGAGGTTGATCTTCAGGTTTGTTGAGAATAATCGATAGACGTCTAATGGTCAAGTCAATTTTACTATCAATTTCTAATTTTGATCCAGATTCTGAGGAGGATTGATCTTGTGAAGGTGAATTTGAAGATAAAAAGAAAGCCTTTAATCCGACATGATCAAGCTCTGACTCGTAACGTGATCGTTTTTCTGGCAATGGTTCAAAAAAGTTAAGAATCTTTGCCCATGTTTCTGGATTAATAATAGTCTCTAAACTGTTGAACTGAATGTTGACGAATCGGTGGTTTCGGTTGTACTTTGTCTCGAAAAGGGGAGAGTTTTCGTCGACAAAAAGAAAAGAAATTTTTACCAAAGTATTGTCTGGCTCTTCATTGTCATAATCTCCATCGTCATCTTCATCATCATTATCAATATCATGATGAACTTGACTAATTTTTTTAGTAGAGTAATCATCTGATGTTGGTGAGCAAGGAGGTGTGCTCGGACAACTTGGTACAATATTATCCTCACTTGAAACTTTTCTTTTCTTGGATAATGGAATCTTATGTCGATACCGACGAGGTACCGAATAGGGCATTAAGTGATAAATATTTGACTTTTGAAGTTTAGTAGGAAGGGAAAAATGAGATGAAAGGCAAGAAAATGACATCTCTTGTGGTGAGGTTGGGCATGAAGTTGATAGAAAATCAAATTTTCTTTCAGGTGAGCCTTTTGATTTACGACGTGGTCCTTTATATACTTCTGATGACATGATGAAACGATGAGTTGAATAATCAGGTACAAGTAAATCCTCCATAATTAAACTTTTTAACGTTATCTTGATTTTTGATTCATAAGAATGATATTTACTAAAATATAGAGCAAAATCTTGCATAACAATTTTCACTAAACTCTGATCACAACCATTCTCTCCAAGAGTAACCAGTTCGCAAGCTAATTGGGGAACCTGGAAATTCACAGCGATATTGCCAGCCTCTGGTTCTTCTGAATAACTAATGCTTAGTCTTGATGTTTCTCCAACTAACATTGCTGCTGGATCAGATCCTAAGTCGTCTGAAGTTGCAGTTTCCGAATACCACCAATTTAACCAATTTTGAAAAAATCCATTATTTTCATCACCTCCTCTTTTCACAGATAAATTTTCTTGATTCTTTTTGATATTGTGAAAAACTAATTCTCTTAAACAGGCAAGCTCTTCGTAGGTTAAATTTGTTTCAATTCGCTCTTTAATCTCCTCCATTTCTTTGGTAAGAGAATCAATTTCAGTTAGGTAAGAATAGTAGATATCTGTGTAATCTAAAATATCTTTAACACGCTGTATCAAAAATTTCCAGGTACAGGCTTGCTTTCTTTTACGATAAACATCCATATTGGCATTAATTGCATATTTCCACCAAGCTTTAGGGTTATCTTTAATAAGCCCTACAGGACGCCACCTTCGGTATTTCCATAGTTTTTTAGTTCTATTCAGAAATGAAGACCATTCTAACATCAATCGATACTGTACAAGAGTTAGTCGAAGAGGAAATTTTTCAAGCTGAAAGTCAAGCATAAAATTATCTGCAGTTTTGAAGAGATCATCAAAAGCATTTTGCTTGATTTGAGCTTTTCCATTTACAGAGCAAACAAGGTAATCGTGATCTTTTGTAGTTCCATCGGGTTCAACTTGCTTTTCTGAAAGTAGCCTCATTTGATCAATTAAACTTTCTAGCGATAAATTATCTATAAGAGTAACATTATTATCCCAATAAATATTGAATCCATCCAAAAGAACAGCTTTTCGAGCAATTCCACTCTTTTTCGGTGAGCCATCACTAGAATCATTTTCATCGGTAGTTTGTACATTTATACAAGAAATAACCAAGCCACAAGCAAACGGTGTTTTTGGTATGGACCAAGAGTCTTCGTATCTTATATGCACATTATTGATCTTGAGTTGAAGATTTTCAATAATAGATGATACCAAAGATGAGCCATATGAAAACCAATTGGAGTATGAGTAAGCATAATATGATTGACTTTCCTTAGACTCATATTGTGACTGGAATTTTCTTTCCAAAGCTTCTAATAAGGTCAATTTGTAATCTTGTTGTATTGCTTTCTCAAAATCTTCATGGTAAGAGAAATCTTTAATGGGTCCAGTCACGAGATACAAATCCTCCATCAGAATTAGCCATGGCTCAGTTCGGAATCGATATAAAGGCACCTTCAACCTTATTTTACCCACAAAGCCAGCTTTTATTTCAATTGGTAAATCCCAGTGGCGAAAAGCCTCGACTTTGAGAGGTAGTCCTTCAAGTTCAACTTCACCTAATGAAATGAAAAGAGATAGGATTCAAGTGAATTTCAAAATCCAGCAAAAATAATAACAATACATTTGAAATGTAGATAAAAAAGTATGGAAAATTAAAATGAATCTATAATAAACAAACCTTGATGCAAGGCAACGGATAACTGGTCAGTGTTGACATTACCAAAGTAGTCACCAATGTAAGAGTTTAATACCCAGGCCACCAACCTTTCCAGCATCTCGTAATATCAATTAAATTAAACTCTTCAATATTTTTAAGGTTTGGTTGACTTAGGTTGAATATGTGTTGATCAGCTGGGAAGAGTGTGATGTAAAGGAAATATAAGAGATGTACATGTTGTTACAAATATGAAGATAATGAGACAAAAATAATATTGATGAATGAAATAATTGGTCGACAAATATTAACAATATTAAGAATAATAAGAAATTTACAAAAAAATTAGAATGCAATAAAACCCGGTCTCAATATTTTCACATTGCATCACCAAAAATTTAGAAAGGGACAAATCTCAAGTTAGTTCAACTGTAGTGGCGCTAAACTCAACATCCAGAATTCATCTACAGTGGAGTACCAGATACTGTCAGTAACTGGAAATAGAACAAATTTTAAAGACCTAATTACTTCACAATTAAAACTGTAAAAGTGCTAAGTTATTATGTAGAGTTATTACAGGAAAAGTCTAACAAATTAATGTCATTGTGCTGAGGATCGTTAGTTGAGTTGAATTTTCAGAAATATTCAACTTGTACTGCACCTCTCGTGAAATAGCTTATTTACACTATTGGTCGGGCAGCATATGTCAATTTCAGTATTAGTAATACAAGCCTCAAAAGATCCACCAATTATTTCATGATCCTTCCATGATCCTTCCATGATCCAATGATTTTTGAATTTTTTTATCTTTTAAACCCATTTTATATAAACGTTACCTCTGATAAGTTTATTAAAACCTGTATTTATCAAGGATAATACGTTGGCAGATTAACTCGTCTATGTACATGATAACTGTCCATCATAATTTTCCCTTTTTCGCACGTTTAGAGAAGCATCGTAATTCATTGCTTCAACCTAATTATCTCATCTAATGAGTGAATTTTTCACCATCAATTATGATCCATGAATTATCGTTGATATAACTGTAAAACTCTAGTCAAGGGACATTTATTGCTCTCGAAATTATGATTACATTTTGTTCAGAAAAACTAATAAACCTGAATGGGACTGTTTCTTAGATTCTTAATCGAATTAAGAATCTGTATATTATTGTTAATCATAATATTGACATCTATTTGAATGTCATTATATATTTCTTTCTGTTTAAAAGCTGAAATAATTAAAGCTGATAAAATTAAATAGATAAAAGTTTGAGTTATTTCCCTAAGTGCTTTTTGTTACAAAAGTGTTGCTTTGATCAAGCTTAGCTAATCAGCTGTGTTTTCAGTTTTAAGCATGTATGAATCAAAATTTCAACTAATTTTAGTAAAACATTTTTCTTCTCATATTTTAATTATTGTTGATCGTTTATATTAAACTTTAAATCCTCCCGCATTTAAGCCTTTTCAATGTTAATCACCAAATCTTTTATCTGTGAATAAGTTAAATGATAAGCCTTTTGTGATAAATTTCAGATAAATTCATTATCTTCATATGCTCAACGTCAATATTTATCTACCATCTAAACTTTTAGCATCATTTTTTGATCACAGTCATCTTGAAAGTCTTCATCAATTAGCTGTTTCTAGTCAATTCTAAACTCGATAAATCTCATTTATTTCGGTTCTATCAAAATCGACGCAATCTAAAATGATCATGAACAGGTAAGAAAATTAAATAATTTTGATATTATTATTTGTTACTGTTTTGACCCGTAAACTGATCGTCTGTTTTCCCTATTTTCCAAATGTTTTGTCTTAAAGGTTGTCCCTATCAGCCAAAAATTTACTGGTAACATTGGGTAATAAGGCTAATAAGGTTAATATGTCCACCAATATTCCGAAAATTTCGCCGGCATTGACAACAGATCAAGTAATGGCTAGGGAAGATAAATATGGTGCCCACAATTATCACCCACTACCAGTTGCTTTACACCGTGGTTCAGGTGTATTTGTTTGGGACATTGAAGGTAAAAAATACTACGATTTCCTAGCAGCCTATTCGTCCCTCAATCAGGGCCATTGCCACCCTCGAGTCTACAAAGTTTTACAAGAACAAGCTGGTCAACTTACTCTTACTTCGAGAGCCTTTTACAATACATCTTTAGGAGAGTTTGAAGAATTTATTACCAAAATATTTGGTTATGATAAAGTGTTACCAATGAATGGTGGTGTTGAAGCTTGCGAATCAGCTTGTAAATTAGCTCGTCGATGGGGATACGATGTTAAAGGTGTACCTAAAAACGAAGCTAGAATGGTGTTTGCTGAAAACAATTTCTGGGGAAGAACTTTGGCTGCTATCTCTGCTTCAACAGATCCGTCAAGTTATTCTGGATTCGGACCATTTATTCCCGGTTTCGATGTGATTCCGTATGATGATTTACCTGCCTTAGAGAAGTATTTGTCGGCGAATAAAGATACCTGTGTTGGCTTTATGGTAGAGCCTATTCAAGGTGAAGCTGGTGTTGTTGTTCCATCTGATGGTTATCTCAAAGGTGCCCGTGAGTTGTGTACCAAATACAACGTTCTGCTAATCATCGATGAAATACAAACAGGTCTTGGAAGAACTGGTAAACTATTAGCATCTGATTATGAAGGTGTAAAGCCTGATATTTTAACTTTGGGTAAAGCTTTATCTGGTGGTTTCTATCCTGTTTCCGCTGTGCTTGCAAATGATCCAGTTATGTTGGTTATCAAGCCAGGAGAACATGGTTCAACCTATGGTGGAAATCCTTTAGCTGCTAAAGTTTCTGTTGAAGCTATAAAAGTAATTTTGGAGGAAGGTTTAACTGAAAATGCATACCAAATGGGTAATCTATTGAGATCTGAGTTAGAAAAGTTACCCAAATCAGTAATTAAAAAGGTTCGTGGTCGAGGTCTTCTCAATGCTATTATCATTGATAAAAAGTATGATTCTTGGGATCTGTGTTTAAAGCTTAAAGATAATGGACTGCTTGCTAAGCCAACTCATGGTGACAAAATTCGTTTAGCTCCACCACTGACGATTAACAAGGAACAAATTCTTGATTGCTGTGATATCATTAGAAGAACAATCGAAAGTCTACCAAAATAAACAAAAAATTGGTTTATTCCATTACGCTTCAATTTAACGTTATACAATCACAGTTTGAGCCATAAAAGATATCAAAAATCGAGAAATTGATGTTATCTTGAGATTCACGAGATATTTTATTGTCTTCTCTGTTTGATTACATTATCTTGTATTTTAATACTTGTTATTTGAATAACTATAATGATTTTTTTGTTATTTTTTACAATAAATTAATTTCTCTAAAATTTGACTTTGATTAAATCTAAATTAACCAACAACCAATCAATCTGTTTTTAGTCAATTTAGGCAAGTCAATTAACCAACTTTTACTATTCATTTTATGGATTCAGCTTTTTAGCTCCATCAACTCATTTACAATTTATCTGTAGATAAGAATCAGCTTTGAATGATAAATAACGCTTATTGTCGTGCTTCATTTTGTTTCCATGCAAACAACTTGCAAGAGTAACCAAAAGAAAAAATAGAAATGAATTGATCATTCGAATCCCTAACTATTTAAGAGTATCTGATTAAAAAGAAGTAAGTTTATTTTTGAATCAAGTATTGATTGTGTTTAAATTAGCTTCTGAATTGGGAACAAAAGAAATGGGCACAAATCAATGTTTTCTTTGCATTTACCAACACAAAGCCAGTAGAGGCCCTTTTCGATCTGATTGTCATCAGCCTATTGTGCCTGATAACCTTTGAATTAAGATGACACTTTAATTTAACCCGAAAAAGAGATCTTCTGATTGTCAGTCAGTGTTTAATTTGCGATCAGTTAGTGATAATCTAAATCCAGTAAATCTTAAAATTTTGTGCCTTGACTTTGAGTAAAAATATGAAGCAATGATTCAATTTACTTTAGGATTGCTGAATGGTTTTATTTTCCCTCTTATTTTGGGCTCATCGGATAAATCACCTGTTATAATTTACCCCAAAAATGGTGAAGGATTTTCTACATTCTCTAACATTGAAAAAACCAAATTAAATCCAAATGGAGCTACAGTTCGCCAATGGGAGACCAGAGCTTGGATAACAACAATACCTTTACACAAGATAATTAACTTGAAAGAGAATCCGTTGATAAGTTTAACTCGTTTTCAAGATCCAACAATAGCTTCATCGTCATCAGAAGATCATCATCCCATTCCAAGTTTACCTGATCTAGATGAGTCTTATAAAGGTTATCCTCGCAGATATAACAGCAGCAAAAACCAAGATAGTGTTGAAAGCAGAGAAAGTACTGATGGCAAGAGAAAAGTTTCTAAATCATTGCCATTCCATCTGGAAACATTAAACAACTCTTGTTATGGAGAAGCATGTCGTGGAAACCTTTTTCAAGGAATCTATGATACAATTAATCATGAGAAACAGCTGAGTTCACAAGAAGATTATTCCCCGCTTCGATATCATGATCAAACATCACAATCTAAATCTCCTCACCATCATTCACTAGATGATAACAGTGACTCGTACCATTATGATGAAGATGACAAAAAAGCAACTCACTCTAAAACCAATATAGCCTGGTCTCGCCTTTATCCGACCGAAATCGCTACAAGTCACCACAAATCTGGTGGCATAACCAGGACTAAAGATAGAGAATGGAAAGAAAAGAGAAATAAAGTCAAAATTCAATCTAGAAAGCCAGTTATCGACCCACTTCCAAACCAAGACTCATTTGAATCTAGTGAAGAAACTGACCATGGCCATCATAGTGGACCCAAAACAATTCCAAATCATTCTGTTTCTCTTGATGATGGTCGTTACTCACACCATCATTTGACTAAGGATATCAGCTTTAGATCAAGTTATCCACCCAAAGAGTATCCACCAGATCATATTGATGTTTGGCATTCGAGTGAAGATCCTGACCACAGTGAAAAGTCAACAAAAAAGACAACTCACGGAAATACTAAAGTAAAAAGTTCAAAGAGGAAAAGAACGAAAAAAACATTTCGGTATCATCATGATCATAGCAATGAAGAAATGCCTGATGAACAAGATCCAAATTCTGGGTATGGAAAGATTGAGAAAGGAAGTGCCTATGAACCATCAAATCTTTCAGGTCATTATTCATCTCATGAATCCATTGACAAAGAAGGAAATCATCAGTATAAAGACGAGCAACCAAAATCGCGTAAAAGACAACGATGTCATTGTCTGACTAATTATTTCGATCAACCTAAACACTTAAATTATGACGCAGACAGACGCAGAGCTGCTTAGAGAGCTTCGTAATTTTCAATTATACAGATTTCCTGAGTTTTATTTTGTAAAGTTCATAATCTCGAATAAGCGTAATCTCAAATCAAAGACAAATTCCCTGAATAAATGTGGTTTGCTTGTTTCACTTGCAATTGTTGACTCTTTCAGGGAAATTTATCGAATTCCTATGCTATTAAAGCAGTTACAATCAATTGAAAAATCATTTCATTATATTGGTTGAACATTGACTCCTTCAGTTTAAATTTAATTTCAATACTTATGTAGTCATAATTAAATTGCGGAAGTACAGAAAAATTCATGCATATCATAATTCATTTATGTTTTAAACATCTATTGTTATTATAAAAATATAATTGATTGAACCATTGTTAGGAAATTAAATCTCCACTGGAGAGCTTTTGTACCTGAACAATCCATAGTCCATTTGTTGAAATATCAGCTAATCAAGATTAAAGGTAATTATAATTTAAAGATTGTAGTAACAATAATAACCAAATAGCAGACGAGGTTAAAAAGACTCTGTTATCAAGATTCTGGTTGAGATTGGGTAGTGATGTAATTTTACGTAATTTAGAGACAAGCCCTGGTAAAACCTTTTTTTGAGTGAGCCAAAATTTAATTAAGGGTTAGGTCTCGTTTATATCGTTATTTACTGTGCTAAACAATTTATAAAAATTTAACTTTTTGTTTTATCAATTAATTAATTTTATCTGTCCAATTATTATTCTGTTGTGAAGCATATTCATTACGAATCCTAGCTACCGACATGTCCAAAGATTTAGAAATGGATGTTAAAGAGCCACTTGCTGGCAAATCATCTGAACCTTCACCATCAAAGGTGCAATTTGTTTCTTCAAGTCCAGATGGGAAAAATGGCGAAGCTAAGGTCAGTTTTGCTGGTTTTGACGGGACCAAAGTTGGTTTAAACAAAGACGAGCTGATGAAATATGCTAATGATCCTTTTTGGGTAAAGGTTCGAATGATATCTTTCATCTTATTTTGGGTTGCTTGGTGCGCTACACTTGTTGGATCAACAGTTATCATATTCTATGCTCCTAAGTGTCCAGCTCAACCAGATCTTGCATCAACAGTTGCTGGTTCCATCACAACTCTAGTTACCATGATGGACAATTCAACCAATGCTCCTGGTGCAATTATCAATGCGCTCGCTTCAACTCTCACTCCAATATCTTCGTAATCTTCGTTTTAACTCACCCTAGAGCCAAGTCAGCCCCATTCAATAACCGTTAACGCATTTGCCAGTTTAAATTCATTTTCATTGAATATATTATTTAATTAAGCTGTTGGTGATTCTAGTTTTTGACATGACTGCCTGATGAATGCATCTAATCCCTGGTTCCATTGCTGTGCAATAACCATTAATTCGTAACTTGTTTAACAATGTTATTGTTCTAAAATAATATTTGGTATTTTCTTTGTAAGTTTTTTTGACGTAACCACAGTCTCAGTCTCGTTAACTGTGTGTGTATCCAATTTTTGCGAGTTTCACCGACTCTTGTTGACCAACTAATATACAAAAGGGTTATCTCAAAGTCCGCGTTGATTCCTTTAGTATGAAATTTTATTATTGATAACTATTAGTTTTGGGTGAATTTTTTATTGTCAAACTTCCTTATTGAATAAATTAATTTAATTTGCTTGAAACTAACGTCTATGATCATTTCTACGTATTATTCTCAATTTAATTTTTTGTGTTACATAAAGTTGTAACAATGTCATATTAACTCGTATACATTTGATCTAATTAACAAGCAATTTAACGTAACATTTTGTGCAATAAACAGTTAGTGTTATTCCAGGAATGGGCTAAAATAACTATTTCGTAAATTATAATATAATTGATGTCATCAAAGTTGTTTTCAATGATCCAACGAAGTAAAAATTGAAAATCTGGATCGACATCACTGCATTGACTGAATTAGATTGTTATCTTTTAATTAGACAAGATTAACTATAATGGTTGTTTTAGTTACTAATTCAAACCCTTTTAAGATTAATTTCCAATCTTGATACCAGTTAAAATACAAAAACACTCAAAATATCAATTACATTGTAACTAAAGACTTGATATTGTTTATTATCAGCTGGAGTAAATATGCAAGTTTAGTGAAAATGTAAACAAATGATGTTAAATGGGATAAAAAATCCGAAATCAAGAGATTTTTGATAGTCAGTAAATGGCAATTGCTTTATTTTTGATAATTAATGACTTAGAAGTAATTAATACACAAACAAAACGATCTATTTAAAACAGATAACAAGCTTTTAATTTACTTTTTTTCGTTAAAATAATGGTATTTTGTGTATCTAAAACCTTGGGTAAGTTGAGCACATTCGTTGGTAAAATGGCACGCAAACAGTAACATATTTCGAGGCTGAACACGAATAGCGAATCTCATGAAGAGCATCGAGTAAAAAGCGAGGGCAACAGTCATGTTTCCAGAGATAACACTAGGATCTTTATTGACACAATCACTGATCGCAGCCAAAGGAATCCCCCAGTTTGCAACGGGTCCCCAGAAATGAGTACTTGTAAGATAATCGCGAGTTTCCTTGCTTCTTAGGGCAGTCATTGCCCGTTTGACGATGGTGGAAGCCATTTAATTGCAGGAATTTAATCAGAATTGGTGAAAGGAATGAAATAAATTACAAGGTTGATTAAGATTAGTCTATCTAGAGGTGATTGTGACACAAGGAAAAGTGTATCCTCAATGAGCAGAATTTTTATGAGACAGCCCCTGAATACAGGGCCTGTATTTTGATTTCAAGAGATCAGCTGAAGATCAACATGGTTTAAGTTAGACTTGATTTTGTTTAGTCTGATTGTAAATTTATGTGTATATTTATGTCGTTTAGCTTTCTAAATTGACACCTATTTTGTGTTTATCAGTCAACAAATACTTCTGCGATGATTAACTTAAGAAAAATTTCATCTATATTCGGGTAAAGTAGTTTCCATGTGTTTTTGAGCAACTCAATCTTTACATTTGATTTATTATTAATTTCTTTTCTTAATTAGGTCACCGGGTAATTTAACTAAATCTTTTAGAAATTTATCATTGTCGACAAATATACCCACATCGATTGCACCACCACCTCTGCTTCCTCCTGCCTCAATTCCGGTGCCACTGGTTGAGAAGCCTAGACTTGGTCCTATTGCTCGACAAGAAATGCCTACACGTTTTTCATTGATTAATGAACTTTATGCTCCGTCAGTGTACGAATTCAGAGTCACCATTAAGCCAGAAATAAAAGATCCAAGGATTGTTGAGGAGGTTAAATGTATCTCGAAAAAAGACAAATATGGAAGTACCCCACCATTCAATTATCGAAACACCATAATGCATATCAGACATCGTAAAATCAAGAAGCATCATAGATTAAAATGGATCAAGAAAAATTTAGCCGCTATTAAATATACGAGACTTCGTAGAAACATTGATAAAGAGAAAGCGTTCAGGGCAGAAATATTTGCTGCAGTCAAGGAAGCGGAAAATTTCTCTGCTGAAAAGTACGTCGATGATGTGCTTAACTCTATCGATAAAGCTCCTAAACCCATTTCAAAAGAAGACAATCTTCGCAATACAATTAGATTGATAAGAAAATATAGATCAGACACTGATCTGGTAACGCCGGAATTTGATGATCCAGTGGAGCCTGTCCATCAAAATGTATTTAGAATAAAATAAAATACGCACTCAGCGACAACTTTTTTGTCTTGATTTGAACATTTTAATTTAAGTGTTATTAGATATTTCTAATTCTATCTAGATTATCATGAACTATTAATAGTCAATGGTTCATGCTTTGTATCTCATCAAGTTTTTGATACTTATTCATGCAATAGATTTATCTTGAAATAAAAATTAGCATTTGTACATCAAATAACTTTATTTATAACACTTGGTTGACAACAATATTAACCAAGAAGATCGTATTTACTCTTTATTTTTTTTATTTACTTCGCTATATTTTCTCAGCAACCTTTACAGCTACCTTGCAAATATTTTCAACAGCCACAGACAGCAGTTGGTACCCAGGAGCTTTCTTAGCATCATGCTCTAAAGCACAATCATGATGATGCTGTTCTTCATCCCGAAATTGACTGATTGTTTTGATCATCTCTTCGTTTTTTACTGGATCATCAGCCATTAATTCACGCAGTTGACTATCATAATGTTGAACAATCACTTTTTCAACAGCCTCGGTGACAGCCATAGCTGCATTAGGACCAAGAAGAGCTGGAACAAAACCAAGACCAAATGCTCCAGCCTGCCATATTGGTAACAACATACTTTTACGTGCCCGATGTTTAGCTGCGTAATATTCAAATTTGTTTAAATGGACCTTTTCCTGATCCCACATTTTCTGAATGATTGCTGCCTTTTCTGGATATCTGCTTCGAAGAGCTAACATCTGGCCAAAATAAATTCGATCAGCCCCTAGTTCACCAGCATGATCGACTCGAATGATTCTGTCATACATACGATGACGAAATCTACCCAAATAACCAGCCATTGATGGTGAGATATTGCGTTGATACGTTTGAACTATCAACAGAATAGCACAGGTTAATTAACTTGAATTGGATGTTGTAAATTTGATCAAGATTAAATAGAAATTAGAAGGAACAATTAGAAAAAACTCAATCTGAAAACAGAAACAAAATAATCTGCAAAAAAATCATCACAATATCACATGTATAGTATCATTGTATGTTTTTGATCAACAGCTGGCTTGAAGCTCTCTTCAAGCTTCTGTTGTGAATTGACAAACTTAAATTATTTTTAAAGGTGACTTCTATTGAATCTTCAATTTTTAATAAATGAAATGAAATCTTTTATTGAATGTTATGTGCTCGTTGATCTCGAGTTCAGCCAATAATAAATTAATTATTTCAGCAAGTTGACAAGAAACAAAATTAGTTCCATAATGTTGTGAAACTATCATTGGTGGTTTTAAATGAATTTATTTTTCTAAACTTAATGAAATAGTGACCTGGGAAGTTTATTATCCATTCACCTGATGAACGAGCTTTGTTTTAAAGGGTTGATCTACTTTTCAAATTCGACTCAGCTATCATAAATAGTACCGCTAATAAGATCGTGTTTACTCAAGTTATTGGTCTAAACGAATTCATTTCATATTTGTTACGAATTTTAAGCTAATGTGGTTTTTATAATTTTCTTGATTTTCTCTGTGCCTTGTTTAATTTTAGTATTGATCCTATCTTACTGTGATTTAATATTTTTTGGATTATGGCGACCACACCGCTTCCTATTTTAAGATTTGACAACGAGAAACAAGAGTATGAATTTGTTGAGGAAACGTTTGATAAAATTATCGATAGAGAGGGCATTCAAGATTTGCCCATTGCTGTTGTGTCCATTGTTGGAGATTATCGTAAAGGAAAATCAACTTTGCTCAACTTTCTCCTCCGATACTTTCAACACTATGATTCTGAAGATTGGCTCGGTAACTCCAAACAGAAATTGACAGGTCAGTACATTTATAACTATGATAGCCTTGTTATTTGGGTAAATTTTTAATATAATGATTTCATCTAATAGGATTCTCATGGAGACAAGGTGTAAAAAGAGATACAATTGGAATTGTTTTATGGCCTGAACCATTAATTATTACCAAAAAAGATGGTTCAAAAATTGCTGTAATTTTAATGGACACTCAAGGATTATTTGATGATCAAACGACTCATAAAGATTGTAGAAATATCTTTGCAATATCATCTTTGCTCTCATCTATTCAAGTCTACAATCAGATGCACATGATTCAAAGTAATGATATAACGAAACTCTCCGAATTCAGTCAATACTCAAAGTGTAAAAAGGAAGAAACTGGTTACAAAGCTTTCCAAGATCTTTTGTTACTTGTGCGAGATTGGTCATCTCCTGTTGACTACCATTATGGAGATGAAGGAGGACGAGATTATCTCAAGTCTATGAAAATAAGTCAATCTGGTACTTTTAAAGAGAACTGGGAAGTTTTGTATCAAAGTTATGCTGAAATCAACTGTTTCCTGATGCCTCATCCTGGATTAGCTGTGAATATCCCTGGGTTTGCCGGTGAAATAACTAAATTACAGCCTACATTTGTCTCAAACTTACGTCAGCTAGCAAGGAGTTATTTTTCACCAGAAAAGATTGCAATAAAAACAAGTCGAGGTCGAAATATGAAAATGGCAGAGTTTTCCATTTTTTTCAAATCAATTGTGGGAAATCTTATGCGTAAATATTGCTAAATAATTTTTAAAATCATAAATCAATAATTTAATTTATTTTCTTTCTTTTTACAGAAAAAAATACAATTGGAATTGACGACTTAGGCTATATCGATTCTGAAGCTCAAGCAAAAATAGCACTTATGCATGCAACGGCTGAATTCTTTAAACAATATGTTGCATTAAATCCGGCTAACGATCCTTCAAAGTTAGCTTTGAGTGCTGAAAGGGCTTGTGCTTTAGCTACATTAGTATATTTGAACATGACCAACTATATTGACCCAGAAATCGCAGAAGCCTATTTAGATGACTGGAAATCCTCGGTAGATGAATTTGTTACAGAACGTTTGATGGGATCTTCCAATGATAAATCTAAAGACTCGACTGATTCTGGTTGGCGATCCAACATTTTCACGAGTATTCGATATTTTTTGTATTCACTCGCTTCTCCAGTCGCGAGTAAAGTTATACCAACGGTGATTGAGGTTGGAATTCCATTTTTTCTTTCTCGTTTCAACAAAAACGTCTCTTTTAAGCCAAAAACGAGAAGACAGTTCAGAAAAAGGTGATTTCCAAGTCAAATGTGTTGTATTCAACACACAGAGCATAAGTTTTCATGGGAAAGGCTAATCTTTTGGAAATTTTTCTCGACTACGAGCATTCCGTCAACACCAACAAGCTTCTTATTCTACTAACTTTTACAAAACCTCTGAATTATGTTTTCGAAAATGGAATCTCTATGGAAATCAGAAAAATAAATATCTCAGAGTTCTTTCTAATCTTCTAATAAACTCACACAAAAACACTTTTATTATGCATTTTCGCTTTCAATCAATTTATCAAAAAATGAAATAAATCAGATTACATTTTATTTCAAAATCAATTTTATTTTAATCTTATTTCATATTTTTATATTCAAAAGTTATGCACATTCTCATTTGAAAAAACACCGGTTCGATTTAATTAAACAAAAAACTAAGACGTTGGCGTAAAAACGCAGAATTTAACACATGACTTGATAAATTGTAAATTGATGCCGATGGAATTCATTGACAAATTTCGATATTTAACTCTAATTGTGATGAACTTCAAATATTTTTCACTACTCTACACCCTACATCATAGAGTAGGGTTTAACATAGTCTTTAAGACTGCTCATTTTACATTACATGTTATGAAGATTCTTGGTATTTACATAGTGGACATTGTGCCAGTCAACAAGAAATAAATAATTAACAATTATACAAATGTTAAAAGCGACATCGACCCGCAACTGCTCTTGTTATGGTTTCCTTCAAAGGCTCATTCACTAGAAGAGCGAATTCCTTCTTGCACTGTTCGCTTAAAAATTTAATCCGATCAATTTCAACCATCAATCTATAATGATTGTCTGAAGCTTCACAATCAGATTCACAAATTGTCCGCAAATAACGTCGAAGTAAATGAATGTATGAGAATTGTTCATGTCTGTGAAAAGATGTAAGATGTCAAAATTATATTCATCAGAAAATAGAGATTAACTTAAAAGTATCCAACCTTATTGACTCGGGATATTTCAATTCGGACGAGTCAGGATTAAAAATTATGATGAGATACATGAGAATAACAGCATTCATATCGTTTCTAAGTCGATCGGGAAAGGTTTCGATTACATGCACAACTCCATCGTGTAAGCATTGATTGAAGATGAATGTGTCTCTTCGATCATATTTGAATTCTGGAAACTTTGAATGTCGAAAAGAAAACATTTTGTAAATTAAAGATTTTTCAGAAATGTTAGCAAGTTGGTTATGATTATTAATACTTACATCCCAGCCATCAATTGCAGCATCGTAGTGAAAAATTCCTTCCATCACATTAAGATGAATATAATTACTGGATAAAAGAGTTATTTTATCGTTGGTTTCGATTCTCCTGAATCCTTTGATTTTACTACATATGGAAATGAGACAATCTGGACTTGCTATTGCTCGTCTCGTGTCATTTAAATTTGCAAATAAATTCAAGTGTTTCTGACCCTCAAAAGCGGCACATGCTTCATCCATTAACAGTGATTCAAATCCATTTAGTACAGCATCATCAGATAAATATTCACTCCTCAAACTCAACGAAGAAAAAGAAACGGACAGAATTTTTTGACTGACATCAGGATTCCAAGGCTCTTCAACTTCACTATTGTCCGTATTTAGTGACAGGCTCATTTTGTATCCACTTTCAACGAGACTAATGAAATTTGTCTTTAGAGCATCGTATGTGTCCCGAATCGTAGATTGCCATTGAGACTCAATTGACAATGAATTGGTAGCTATGAATGGTGAGATAGTAGTTGGTCATGCTGGTGATAAGAGATAACTTAAGATGAACTTACATGGGTTTTCAATAGTTCTATTGGATGATTTGTTCTGACCATTAAAGCTGAACCAATTTTCTGTGAAAGAATTGATAGATCCTGCTGATAAATCGAAAAATTGTTGTCCTTCATTGTTTTGATTATCCAATTCTTCTCCATCTTGTAGCAAGTAACTTTTAACAGTATCTTCATCGGAGCAAAAGGCCTTCAGAAGAGCTAGGCTTTGGTTTGAACATGGAGATTGAGGAAATGGTTGAACGGCTAAAGTGTCACATTGTGAAGCATAATCTGCATCCAGTGTTGGTGAATCTAAAGATGATTGAATTAATGAAATAAATTGACCAGAATCCATCTTTTCACATCAATAACAAACTAGACAAATACTGAAACAAATAACCAGAAAACATTGATAACTAACGAATCACAGAAGATTATTTTCACTCTAAAAAATTGCTGGATTAATATGTTTCCCTCATTCAATTGTATAATGATATGATTCTTGGTTTGTGATACAAGGACAATTGTTTTATCTCAATCAGATATTTACTCTGGTTGACTAAAATAACTATCATGCTTAAATGTTTATGAATTACCAAATGATGCAAAAAGTAAGTTGAGAAAATTAATCTTCCATTTTGAGGAGCAAAAGGTGATGATTATTTCACAGGGAAACCAAACGAATCATTTTTGGCCTTTTGTTTGAAATAAATTTAGGTCGTTCCATTATGATATGGCTCTTTGTTGTTTGTCAAACATTTAATAACTGATAAAATGTTAGATTTATTCGCCTCATAATCTTGCACCAAACTGTTTTCAAATCTATAATTAAATAAGTGTTATAATTTCTGGTGTTTCGTTGACATTTTTTTCTGACAAGGGAGATACGTGAAGTGGAATGGTTAGAACCGAATGAAATGAGTACAATTCCGGCAATGATCCATGATGGGCATACACACTTTATTATCTTATTTTTAAGGTTTTGTGAAGTGCGACAACTTTTCAGCTTTATCTACTAGTACTATCTACAGTACGCCTAGTGAGTTAGATGTCTTATCTGCCCTAGATGCAACTCAAGTTGAACCAGGGGAGTGGACTCATCTTTATAATTTGAGTTTCGATGGGTGAAATAGAGTTCGCTATTTACATTTCGAAGGATCCCTCCAGGGATGGCCTTTTGTCGGCCTTCTAATTTCTTTTGACACCAGAAACAACACACTTGTTCCATTTTTATCGTCTTATAGCGACTTATATTCAAGCATTTTTAATTTTCACAATATCATAGCTTTTTCAACAAAAGAACGAAATAATTTACAAAATTTAAACATATTTAAAAATCTACAGAATTTTGATCCAACATTACAGATTACAGAGTTATCTAACGCTTTTGAATTGTGTGAAGTGTGTCATTTGGTCAGAATCTGCAAGTTGTAGCATAGACAATCTCCATATAAAAATAATTAGTTGAAAATATTTTGATTGAAATGATTTTTGTGCTGAATCAACATTAATCGTGTAACGTAGGATAAAAAATGTATTTTATATGAAGATAAAATTATACCGATGTCAATAGAGATACAATTGGCTATCGAATGTTGAATGCGAAAATTTTGCCATCTTTTAGCCTAGATCCATGCGAATGGTTGATTAATGAATCAGATAAAATTTTCAGTCAAAAGTAGCTCTCATCGGAAATCATCTGCAAGTGAAATTGATGAATGTATTCCCCCGCAACTGCTCTTGTAATGGTTTCCTCAAACGGCTCTTTTAGTAGAGCGGCAAAAATATTTTGCGTTTGTTCACCCAGAAGTCTCAACTGCTCAATTTTAACCATCAACCTGTAATGATTATCTGAGGCTTCACAATCAGATTCATAAATTGTCCTCAAATAACGGCGAAGTAAATGAATGTATGAGAATTGTTCATGTCTGTGAAAAGATGTAAAAATGTAAAACTTAAATCAAAAATAAAATACGAATAGACGTTAACTCAGAGAGTAATATCAGTTTCAACAAACCTGATCATTTCGGGATATTTCAATCCGATTATGTCAGCATTGAAAATAATGATTAAGTACATGAGAATAATGACATTAATATCGTTTCTGAATCGATCGGGAAAGGTTTCGATTACGTGAACAAGTCCATCGTGTAAGTGTTTGTTGAAGATAAATGTATCTCGTCGATCATATTTGAATCCTGCAAACTGTGAATGTCGCAAAAACACAAAAATTAGTGAACCGGTTCTCAAGAAGAGTTCAAGTTGGTTATAATTACTTACATCCCAGCCGTCAATTGTAGCATCGTAGTTTAAAACGGCTTCCATCAAATTAAGACTATTATATATGTTGGATAAAAGATTTACTTTATCGATGATTTCGATTTTTCTGAATCCTTTGATTCCATTGCATATTGAAATGAGCCAATTTGGACTTGCTTTTGCAAGACTTCTGTCATTTAAATCTGCAAATAAATGCAAGTATTTCTGGCCCTTAAAAGCAGAATATGCTTCATTCATTAACATTGATTCAAATGCATTCAGGTTTACATCATTAGACAAATATTCACTCCTCCAACTCAATGAAGAAAAAGAAACGGACAGAATTTTTCGACTAACATCAGCATGCCAAGGCTCATCAACTTCACTATTGTCCGTGTTCAATGACAATGTCAATTTGTATCCATGTTTAACGAGAAGAATAAAATTTGCTTTTAGATTGAATTTTTCATCGTTTATTTTTGACCAAATATTGAAGTTTACGGCCAGTGGACCAGTATTTATGTATGGTGAAATAGGAGTTTGAGATGAATCTAAAAAATCATCATTAGAATGAATAACCTTAAATAGATCAATAATACTTTAACTTACTTAAGTTGTCAACAGCCCATAAGCCATGAGGTTGGACGGTTTGGTCATTAAAGTTGAGCAAATTTTCTGTGTAATCATATGTTTGCGTTGATGAGTCAACAAATTGTCCATCATTTTGATTGTTCAATTGATCGCCATCAAGTAAATAACTTTTAACAGTATCTTCATCGGAACAAAAGGCTTTTAAAAGAGCCAGACTTTGGTTTGAACATGATGGTTGAGGTAATGGTTGAACAGCTAAAGTGTCACATTGCGAAGCATAATCTGTATCCAGTGTTGGTGAATCTAAAGATGATTGAATGAGTGAAATTATTTGATCCATCATTGCACATCAATGATAAACTCGAATCCTAATAAAAATGATCAGAAAACATTAATGACAAATGAATCACAGATGAATCTTTTTATTCACAGTGTCAGAAAATTGTTGGCAATTCTGAGATTATTTTCATATATTTCTCCTTTTGTTTGTATTTTATTGTCTTTTATATTCACCCATATTTTAATTTATTTACCTGTCACATGATGCTTTATCGAAATCAGATAATTCCAATGATTCAATTAGTTATCATAACTAATATTCATGTTTATTAACCACAGATTGGTGAAGCAATCAAGTCGAGTAAGCAAAACTTTCATCAAACTGGGCAAAATGTATAAATTAGTTTACAAAGCTCACTTTATTTGGCTTCAAAACATGATTGTGAAGGGTGATTGGAGATGGACTCTGGATGTTGAAATGCACAGTCCACTTTAAATAGCTCCGTATATTGTTTCATAATAATAAAGCGTTTCATCACTTGCAAAACATTTTATTAATGATAAAATAGTGAATACGAGATAAAATGTCCCATATTTCATTAAACTTTTGAGGATTTGAATCTTATGTGCTTTTGCATCTTTTTCTTAAATTATGGATGGACAAAAATATTTATTTCAAACTTATTCTCATTATATCAATGTAAATCTTCCGAAGTGTAAGCAATTATCCTGGAATTCAAAATACCCAATATGCAACGAGTGCAATTCATTAGGAAAAATGTAAGGACCAGAAAACCTTGATGACACGAAAAACAAAACCACTTTCATTTCATCAAAAAGTAGTCAACTCATTTTATTATGTACAGTTTAGTCGCAGTTTAACATTTCCAAGAATATGAAAATTCTCATTTTTTTATGATGAAAGCCTTTATTCACCTTATTCATTGCCAATTAGTGTAATCATCTCATCACACGCAGTTAAAAATAGCTATCATTGACCAACGGTAACAAAGAAAAAACAAAAACAATGATTTTCTTCAACTGATGCTTGACTCTGAAGCTGACACCCAAGATGCTGAAGGTTAAATGATGAAGACAAAAATTAACTCCACCTGAGATTGTCTGTTCGTTCATTCTTTTCCTCTTAGCCGGTCATGAGACTGTGACTTTTGTGCTGATCAAACAATAATCACGTAACAAAGGATTAAAAATGTATCTGATATGACGATGAAAGATACGATACAAATCGATAGACTTCGCTTTCAAATCGTGCATCCTAAAATGATGCTCTCATCCTGCAGGTAAAATTGATGAATGTATTCCCCGATAACTGCTCTTGTTACGCTTTCCACAAAAGGTTCTTTTAGTAAAGTGGCGAAAATGTTTTGGGTTTGTTCACTTAAAAGTCGCAACTGTTCAATTTTAGCCATCAACCTGTAATGATTGTCTGACGCTTCACAATCAGATTCACAAACTGTCCGCAAATAACGTCGAAGTAAATGAATATACGAGAATTGTTCATGTCTATCAAAAGATAAAAAAATGTCAAACTTAAATCAAGAATAAAATACGAATAAGCATTAACTCAAAGGGTAATACCAAACAATTTGAACAAACCTGATTATTTCGGGATGTTTCAATCCGATTATGTCAGCATTGAAAATAATGATTAAGTACATGAGAATAATGACATTAATATCGTTTCTGAATCGATCGGGAAAGGTTTCGATTACTTTAACCATTTCATCGTGTAAGAACTTATTAAAGAGAAATGTATCTCGTCGATCATACTTGAATCCTGAAAACTATTAATATGAATGTGAAAAACAACAATTAGTGAGCTGGATTTGCAACAAGAGTTCAAGTTTGTTATGATTACTTACGCCCCAGCCATCAATTGTGGCATCATAGCTAAAAATGCCTTCCATTAAGTTAAGATGATTATAATTGCTGGATAAAAGAGTTATTTTATCGTTGGTTTCAATTTTTCTGAAGCTTTTAATTTCATTACATATTGAAATGAGCCAATCTGGAATTGCTTTTGCGAGACTCCTGTTACTCAAATCTGTGAACAAATGCAAGCATCTCTGACCCTTGAAAGCAGCATATGCTTCATCCATTAATAGTGATTCAAATCCATTTAGTACAGTATCATCAGACAGATATTCACTCCTCAAACTCAATGAAGAAAAGGAAACAGCAAGAATTTTTTGACTGACATCAGGATTCCAAGGCTCCTCCACTTCACTATTATCCGTGTTTAGTGACAAGATCAATTTATATCCACGCTCAATGAGAAGAATAAAATTGGACTTTAGATTAAACTTTTCATCGTTTATTTTGGGCCAAAGAGGAGACTTCACGGCCAGGGAATCATTATTCATACATGATGAGATGGAAGCTTGAGCTGAAGCTTAATGGACCATTAATGCAAATTAACATTAGAACAAATAACCTTAAATAGTTAAATTATGAAAAAAACTTACTTAAGTTTTCAATAGTCCAACGGCCATGAGATTGGTCATTAAAGTTGAGCAAATTTTCTGTGTAATTATCATATGTTTTCATCGAAGAATCAAGAAATTGTCCATTGTTTTGATCGCCATCAATTAAATAACTTTTAACAGTATCTTCATCGGAACAAAAAGCGTTTAAAAGAGCTAGACTTTGATTTGAACATAAAGGTTGATGTAATGGTTGAACAGCTAAAATGTTACATAGCGAAGTATAATCTGTATCCAGTGTTGGTGAATCTAAAGATGATTGAATGGCTGAAATTATTTGATCAATCTCCATCACTACAAAGCAATAATAAACTTAAACACTTAAAATGATGAAAACATTAATGACTAATGAATCATAGATGAATCTTTTTATTCACAGTGTCAGGCAATTTTTATATAATTCTCCCTTTCTCTATATTTTATTGTCTACTCGTATCACCCATATTTTAGTTTATTTACCTGTCACATGATTTTTTATCGAAATCAGATAATTCCACTGATTCAATTAGCTGCCATAGCTGAAATATGTGAATATATGAAATATATGAATCACAGAATGGTTGAGCAAGCAAGTCTAGCAAGCAAATCTTTCATTAAACTTTGTTGATAAGTGTTAATTAGTTTACAATCGTATTTATTTAGCTTTAGTTCATAGCTTGTTAAAACATGGATTCATATTTGCTATACTAGTGTAGCATTTCATTATTTTTCGAATATTTTGTGTGCTGATAAATTTCCCATATTTCATTTTTTGTCAAATTGTTTAATTTAGAGCATTCGAATCATTTGCAAAGACCCAACCAACGCAACCATTTCATCACACGCAGTTAAACCTCGCTGTCGTTGACTAATGGAAAAAAGGTAAAAACAAAACCAATGATTTCCTCCAATTGATGATTGACTCTGAAGCGGATGCCCAAGATGGTGAAATGTTAAAGGATGAAAACAAGAAGTTGACTCCAGATGAGATCGTCTGTTCGTGCATCCTTTTCCTATTAGCCGGTCATGAGACGACATCAACCGTGTTGAGTTGAGCCTGTTAAAGACTCGCTACCAATCCAGATATCCAAGAAAACTTGTATAAGAGGTTCACAGGCTACGAAGATTACGAAGTTTTACAAAACCATTCGTACTTGAATGAAGTCGTGCTTAGATGGACATTACAAAGGGATTCTCGGATTTTTTTGTTTCAGCTGGTTTGCTCATTATGATAATGCTCTACCAGACGATAGTTAATTTACCAAATCAACTGATTGAAAGATTGACTATGAATTTTGTGCTGAACAAACAATTATCATCGTTGGATTCACAAAGGATCAAAAATATATTTGGTATTACGAACGAAGATACTTCGCTCTGAAATTTTGCGTGCGATATGAATGCTTTTGTCCCTGGTCTATCTGTAGGTGAATTTGGCTATTAATTATTAGTTTAATTTATGTTAAATCAGTTTTCATCAAAAGTTATCTGCAGATGAAATTGATGAGCGTATTGTCTCTAACCGCTCTTGTTATGGTTTCCACCAAGGGCTCTTTTAGTAAAGTGGCAAAAACTTTTTGGGTTCGTTCACTTAAAAGTCGCAACTGTTCTATTTTAGCCATCAACCTGTAATGATTGTCTGCAGCTTCACAATCAGATTCACAAACTGTCCTCAAATAACATCGAAGTAAATGAATATACGAGAATTGTTCATATCTGTGAAATGAAGTTTAAAATGTCAAACTTATATGAAACTTGGACATTAACTCGAAAGAGTAACATCAATTTGAACAAACCTGATTACTGCGGGATGTTTCAATCCAGGTGTGTCACCATTGAAAATAATGATTAGATATATGAGAATAATGACATTTATATCATTTCTGAGTCGATCGGGAAAGGTTTCGATTACGTGAACAAGTCCATCGTGCAAGAATTTGTTGAAGATGAACGTATCTCGTCGATCAAGTTTAAATTCCGAAAACTTTGAATATCGAATAAAAAACATTTTGTAAATAAAAGATTTTTCAGAAATGTTGGCAAGTTGGTTATGATTACTTACATCCCATCCATCAATTGTAGCATCGTAAATAAAGATACCTTCCATTAAATTAAGATGATTGTATATGTTGGATAAAAGAGTTATTTTATCACTGATTTCGATTTTTCTAAAACCTTTGATTCCAGTACATATTGAAATGAGTTTATCTGGACTTGCTTTTTCTCGTCCTATTTCACCTAAATCTGCAAACAAATGCAAGTATTTATGACCCTTAAAAGCGGCACGCGCTTCATTCATTAATAGTGATTCAAATCCATTCAGTTGCACATCATAGGACAAATATTCACTCCTCAAACTCAATGAAGAAAAGGAAACAGCAAGAATTTTTTGACTAACATTAGGATTCCATGGCTCAGAAACTTCACTATTGTCCGTGTTTAGTGACAAGATCAATTTATATCCACGCTCAATGAGACGAATAAAATTTGTTTTTAGATTGAACTTTTCATCGTTTATTTTAGCCCAGAGGTGGGATTTCGCGGTCAGGGGATCAGTTTGCGTGCATGATGAGATAGCCGCTTGAGCTGAAGCTAAGTTAGTGATGAAAATTATCATTAGAATGGGTGACATAAATGATTGAATAATACTTCAACTTACTTAAGCTTTCAACAGCCCATTGGCCATGAGGTTGGTCATTAAAGTTGAGCAAATTTTCGGTGTAATAATCATATGTTTTCATTGACGAGTCAACAAATTGTCCATCATTTTGATTGTTCAATTGATCGCCATCCAGTAAATAACTTTTAACAGTATCTTCATCGGAACTAAAGGCTTTCAAAAGAGCCAGACTTTGATTTGAACATGGAGATTGATGTAATGGTTGAACAGCTAAAGTGTTGTATAGTGAAGTACAATCTGTACCCAGTGTTGGTGAATCTAAAGATGCTTGAATGGCTGAAAGTATTTGATCGAAATCCATCTTTGAACATCAATCTACAATAATAAACTCGAATGCTAATAAAAACCACCAGAAAACATTAATGATTAATGAATTGCAGAGGATTGAATTTCACTCTTACAATTGTTTGCGATTTCAAGATTATATGTTTCTGTCCTTTCTCTGTTTATCTGTCTAATCTCAGCACTCATTTTATTATTTATTCACCTGTCACATGATTTTTTATCGCAATCAGATAATTCCACTGATCCAATTAGCTATCATAACTAATGTAAATCACAGAATCATGAAGCAAGCAACTCGAAAACAAATCTTCCACTAAACTTGGGTGATAGTTGATTAGTTTACAATGCTAATGTTACTTTCTAATGTCAAGCATTTGAATCATTTGCAAAGATCCACGTAAGAATGAAAAAACGTATCAAAAGGAAACAAAACACTTGCTTTGATCGACTGGTTAAAAGGTCCAGGATTTGTTTATTGATTTACTTATTATTTCACATTGGATAGACTAATATATGTATGTTAATCGCATTTCAATCACATCGATTGTAATTGGATTTTTAGTGTTTGTACATTTTTACATAGGTTGAACTGACGGCACAGCTCGAGAGTAGGGCCAAGTAATAGGAAGAAACTTGAGCAGCTCGACTATGGCAAGATCAATCGTCTATTATAAACATTAGGTGAAATAAAACAATCTGTAACTTTGCTCAACTTTTTAATGGTTACTTTAAGCAACGATTTTGTTTACTTTGGCACGAGTTTTTTACATTCCAATTTGCGTCTTTTCAATGATTCAATTACTTCGCATTGATACTCGCTAACAAACTATCAACGATTTGTGACTTCATTATCCGAATTCTGCATTTCGCCTATCAGTACCAGATCCCATTTTTGTTTGTTTATGTTGAGCCAGATCGCATTAAGAAGAGGATAGATGAATAACATGGCTCCAAAGATATAAACAAGACCTGGATTGAAGTCTACTGTTGCTTGAAATATTTCGGTGTAAAAAAGTGATGATATTACTGGATTAAATGATCCAATTACTGCTGTGAAAGCGTAAACTTGGCCAACCTCATCGGCATGAATCAGACGAGAAGTTATTGAACGATCAACGATATTTGATAAGTCCAGCAAAACAGCAAAAGACAGCTAAAAAGAATGCAACTGGACTGAGAATGAATCCTTTGAAAAGGTAAGCAACAATCAATGAACTAATGCCAATAATGGCTACTGCAGTTTCGTGGAGTTTCATTTTGTGAATAAACAAAGGTGGACCAATAATGATTCCAGCAGCTGGAAACACAATGATGACTGAATTGAAAAGACCGATTTGTGAAGCACTCCAATGATACACTCGCTGAGAAAATTGATAGCCAATGTTTTGTTCAGCCAGATATCCAATGTTTGCCAAAAACCCAGCTACTATGTTTGATATCAAAAACCAATGGGCATTATTTGGCCTCCTTTTAAAGACACATCGAGTTGCAATTAAAATATTGTTGGGCTTGATTACATCGTAAATGATCTGTTTCAAGCTTTTTTTGTTCACTTTAGCATTCAAGCTAGAAGTTTCATCAACTTTAACGGGTTCATTGCTTTTAGTTTCGTCGACAGAGTCATACAAAAATATCACAACCCAAATAGCAGCAAAAATTGCACACACAGAAGACACAATATAAACACCGATGTAATTCCGAAGTTGATTTGCAAACCAAGGTTTAGATGCAACGATTCCACCTCCTGCAAGGTTAGCAATCGGTATAGCTGGGAACAGACGAGAGAAAAAGTATTAATAGTGAGCAATCAAGAGGACCCACAATTACTTACTTGCAAACAAAAAGAGCTCTAATACTGTAAATCTAATGGATCGATACTTTGCTGGAGTTTTTTTCGTGGCATAAGTGTAGGTTCCTACCGAGACTAAGGTTCCACTTCCAGTTAAAACGGGTACCAGACATGTGAGTAACAACAAGTATGGATCTGAAATGGAACCAGGAAATGCATTGTAAGTAAAGTATCAACATTCACCAGTTGCGAGTTAAACCACAATAAGTTTTTGGTTTCAATATTACACGAAGATGAAACCAAGATGTATTAATACAACTCATTTAACAACAGCAAATCAACTGTCGAGATAACGAGAGTAACCTAATGACTGTCGTCAACTAGGTTGTTGTGATCTACCATCTTACCCATTTCAAAGTATATACATTGATAGATGGCCATAATGTTTGCACAAACATTTGCCATTGCAGCAACACCAAGTAAATAACGCAAATGACTTGGATATTTATCAACCCAATAACCCATGATGAGTGATAAAAAAATACTCGGAATTGTGGTCATTAGAGTTATGTACAGTTTGAGTGATGTCGTTTCTTTTAAAACTTCATTTTGTATTGTTTCAAAATCAGAAGACTTTTCCAAATTAAAACAATCAGTCTTATTGAGTAGATATTTGTTGATGCAAAATTTATCCTGGATTAGTTGATTAAGAGCTAGATTTGGCAGTGAAGTACTGAGAGTAGCGAAAAAAAAGAATAAATCAATTCGAAGAAGTTTAACAAAATTAAAAATCTCTTTGGCACTAATTTTTGCCATTATTTACAACGAAATGAATGGCAAACTATTCACAATTAAAAAGCAATTTGTTTCAGAAGTGGAGTGGATCACTTTGAAGTGGACATTTGTTTGTGATGGAAAACAAAATGATGCTTGAGAACTATTAATCTGTTTAATTTATAGAAGCTTATTAGTGCAGTTTTATGATCGAGATGCAATAAATGTTAACAGACTAAACCATTGTCGAAACATATTAATGTACTTAGGCTGATTTGTTTCAAGTTCATCTGAAATTAATCATTTCCAGGAATTCATCTGTTAGTCTGTACACAAGCTACCCTTAACTATCATTTAATCATTCTTATCCTGTAAATCTAATGAAATGGGAGCAATTCTCTTGAATTCAAAACATTAAGTATGCAACGAGTGAAATTTATTGGGAAAAATGTAAGGTCTAGCAAACCATTGATGCTATTAACAGATCAAACCATTTCATATTATCAAAAAGTAAAATTTTCAGCTCATTTTATCCACGGAATAGTCTAAGTTTAACATTTCCAAGAATATGAACATTTTCGTGTTTTATATATAAAAGCCTTTAATTCACCTTGTTCATTGTCAATCAGTGTAACCATCGCCTAAACAACAGTATTAACTAATTTATTCAGTTTAAGTGAACAGTTCAGCTAAAATGAACAACTTTATTGATTTATCCACACCTCAATGGATTATTCTTGGTACAATAAGTTTCATTAGCTGGTATTTTTTGTAAGTTTCTTGAATTTGCTTTGACTTCAACCTAACATTGGAAGTTGTATTTAATATTTTACTGCAACTAAAATCTATTATTACCTATCATTAGCTATGTTAAGCGTAAACGATCGTTCTGGGAACGACAAGGTGTCAAAGGACCAGAGCCTCCTTCCATGATTCCGAGTATTTTAACTAAAAGTTCACTGAAACCTAAACCGAAACCATTGACGAAAGTTTATCTTGAAGGTGTCGAAACTTATGGAAAAATTTATGGGTAAGAAAAGGTGAAGAAAAATTTAAAGACTTGGATTTTGAATCTTTATTCTTGTTTTATTTGCGCCAGAACTTATGATGGTGTAGATCCAACGTTGGTCTTGTCTGAGCCAGATTTACTTCGAGCTGTTTGCGTTAAAGATTTTCACAGTTTCCCTCAAGGATTTAACCAAGTTTTCGTCGCTTCAATTGAACGAAATTTCCTAACAGTTTTATATGGCGAAAAATGGAAACGCTTAAGAAGTATACTTACGCCAACCTTTTCATCGGGAAAGATCAAGAAAATGTTTTACTTGATTAAACTTTGTAATGATGAAGCTCAAAAACAGCTGCTCAAATTGGCTTCTTCGAGTAAACCAGACTTGAATCCTCCACAATTTTGGAGTGCATACAATTTAGATGTTATAGCAAAGTGCTGTTTCGCTACAAATTTAGACGTTTACAACAGTGAGGGTAACAAGTTACTTGAAGTCTTCAACTCAACGTTTTCTAGGAACAAGTATAAGCATCTCTTCATGGCGTTGGCTCCTAAATGGTTAGTTCGACTTCTCGACATGAGTTCAGTTTCAGTTGAACATATAACTATTCTTAAACAATTAACTCTCGCTATCATTGAACAACGGAAACAAGGTAAAGACAAAGTCGATGATTTTCTTCAATTGATGCTCGAATCTGAAGCGGATACCCAAGATGGTGAAAAGTTAAAGGATGAAGACAAGAAGTTGACTCCAGATGAGATCGTCTGTTCGTGCATCCTTTTCCTATTAGCCGGTCATGAAACGACATCAACCCTGTTGACCTGGGCCTGTTATAGACTTGCTACCAATCCAGATATCCAAGAAAGGTTGTATCAAGAGGTTTCACAGGCTAACATTGAAGATTACGAAGTTTTACAAAGTCTTTCTTACTTGGATGCTGTGATACAGGAAACATTGCGAATGGATCCTCCAATTTTATTGTTTCAACGTGTTTGCCATTCTGATACCACTCTACCAGGTATTAATGTTCAAATTGAGAAAGGCACACCAGTCAATATACCGATATATGCAATACACCATGATCCAGAGAACTATCCTGAACCAGAAGTTTTCGATCCAAACAGATTTCTACAAGGCTCACCCAAACCATTTACTTTCTTACCATTTGGTGCTGGACCTAGAACTTGCATCGGAATGAGATTTGCTCTAACAAATGCAAAGCTTTCATTGGCTACGTTTGTTCGTAGCTTCCAAGTTTTTACTTCAGATAAATATGCAAATCAAATTGACCCAATGCCTGGATCTTTGATTAATAGACCTATGTCTATGCTTTTGGGAGTCAAAACAAGATCATGATGATATGAATTGAAACCAAAGTAATACCAAAAGTATTCAGAGTTTATAAATATAATAATATTGTATTGTTTTCTGTGAAGTAAGTGAAATTGATCTGTAGCTATTAGCTAATTGTTAAAATGTAATATGAACCAATAAACATGAAAATAATTATTAATTACATATGTATGTATTATATATTTGCAAGTAACAGTTTTTCATTGTTTTTTCGCTTGATTCAACTGAAGTCGCAATAAATCAGTATTCGGTTGGAATAATAAATGTTTGGATTAACTCATGGAAATAGTAAAAAAAACAAATAAATAGATTAATGCAATATGATTAATGCAGCCAGTCACAAGTTGAACGTTACCTTGACGGCGATTCCATCAGATTAAATTGCTTTTAATCGACCTTCATATTAAATATGAGAGTAGCAGGAGTTGAACTACTCTTTCAACATCATTCTTCTTGTTTGAGTAGACAAAAACCAGCACATCATGTAATCTCACATAAGTGCTGAGCTATCATGATTCATGGAATAAGATACAGCTTAAGAAGTTGATAAAACAAATTGTTATCAATTAATAAATGAAATCGTTGTTTTAGCATTACCAGGATAACAAGGGTGACTCCGATTCTGGTTTAAATTTTTGTCACAATTGTTGCGAATGTTTTCAATATTAACTTGTTCATGCTGCTGCAAATCATTATGAAATCAATGTGAAACAATCGTGATTGTTTCATCCACTATATCGCAAAAGTAAACAGACTTATCTGGATCAAGTTATCATGTGAATATTGTACATGTGTTCAAAATGGTGAATTTTTTATCCTCTTCAACCTGGTTTCCATATAATCTACGAGAATGGCTTCATTATTAATGCAAGTTTTTGATGAAAGCTCAATTCAATAAATTGTTGATTTATCACCAAAGTGATTGAAAATGTTCAAATCGATGAAAAATTTTGCATTTTTCTATCAATTCTCTTTTTTTACTGAATAACAGAATTAAATTTACCGGTGAATTAGTTAAGTAAACATTAAAACTGTTTTCTATTATTATCTACTTGATCTGTAAACCTGACTCATTGATAGCTTCTAATTGACATTCTAGTTTTACATGCAGCAATGAATGGAGAGGTAATATGTTCATAAAGATTGATAAAAAGATTTATGCTGATGATGATTAACGATTATACAAAAAGAGCAACTACAATCAACAGAATTCATCTGTAACCATAATAAATTACCATTGCATGAATAAAAATGTATCTTACTGTTTTGTCCTTTGCTATTTTGACTTTTGCTGGTTTGAACCCAGACCATTTTTTTTGCTGCAAAACATTTGTTTGATCCTAATTTTTTGATTTAAATCAAAATTTTGTTTCAGTGAACATCTTTTGATTATTTGCTGATCAACTTTCACCATGTTTTTTACACCGAGTCAATCATTTTCCGACCTGATGGAAAGTGAACTCCAAGAATCACAAAATGAAAACAATAGTTTATTAAGGACTCTCATACCTGATGAGGGAACAATCAAACATTATTTATGTGATGAGCCATCAGCTTATTCCTGTCGACAGTTTTCTAGCTTACTAACGAGTACCATGGAAATTGTACAAAATGATTGCTCAGATATGGAGTTGGATCAGTTAATCCATGACCAAAGTACACCAGAACTTTTATCAACTTCAACACCAGATTCGAGCGGCAATAATTTACCAGACATTCTATCTAATCGTCAACTTGTCACTAACACTAGACGCGAAAATTTAAAGTTAAACTTTATACTTTTAGTTAAACATGGATACAAGTTGACACTAACATTAAACACAGACAATTCTCAGGTGACTGAAACATGGCATTCAAATGTGGTTAAGCAGATATTAGCGACTCAGTTCTCTTCGATAAGTTTAAAGTCTGAATACATGTCGAAGCAGTTAACATTGGATCGCTTTGAACGTTTATATATGGATGAAGCGATTACTGCTTTTCAGGGTAAAACAAATTTTCATTTAACGTTAAGCTTATCCGACAAAAGCAATTCAAAACTAAAAGCAAATCCAAATGCACTTGCTTCGATGTGCAATGGAATCAGAGGTTTCAGGAAACTTGAAAGATGTGACAAAATAACTCTTTTGTCAAACACATTTTATGATCTCTTCCTCATGAAAGGAATAGTCAACTACGATCCAGCAATTGATGGTTGGGAAGTAAGTAATCAAGCTGAATATTGTTTCAATCTTGCGGTTACAATTTTTTTACTCTTACTTTAGTTTCCAGAATCTGGATTGACTTTTGATCGAAGAGATGTATTTCTTTTTGACCGATTCTTGAATGATGGTCTAACGCATATCATCGAAACCTTTCCAGATCGATTTAGAAATGACCCCAAAGCTGTACTGCTTATTTACCTATTAATAATCTTTAACCCTGATCTACCTGATCTGAAGCACTCCGAGATTGTTAGGTAAGTGTTTCTTTATTTCAATGTTATTAGAGTTCAGATTAATGTTATCATAATTTTAATTCTATTTTTATTTTACAGATATGAACAACTAACTTATGTATATTTGCTTGGACGTTACTTGAGGACAGTTTGTGATTCCGACTGTGAAGCTTCAGACAACCATTACAGGTTGATGGCTAAAATTGATCAGGTCAAACTGTTACGAAAAAAGCTTGTTAAACAGCTTCCCTTGATGATGATTGGAAGCTTGGAAAATAGCATTTCAAATGCCATTTGACCAAACTTGTAAGCTCAATGGATATTCCTTTTTTGCTGATATACATTCTTCGGTAGGAATAATACGCTTCAATTTTGTGTCAACTTAATTGGTTTTGAGTTGAGTTGGAGATTCAGAACGCATGTGAAAAAGTGATCAACAGATGATGAACAGTATTATTTTGAATTATGTTAATTTTGAAAATTATCCCATCTTGATCAACTTTCAAGGTAAACTTTCAACTTTTATTTCCTTTGAAAGCCATGGCATTCATTGGCAAAGCAATATACTACAGCGACTGTCATCGCCAAAAAATACTCGAAAGATGGCAGCTATTAATGCTTTTGCCATATTCACCATTTGCAGTTCAATACATACAATATAAAGTTGAAACATGAATTTTTTTGCAGGAAAATTGTGAAAAAACTGAACGGGTTTAAATGAAAATTTAAGCATGACAACATCAAAGCAATGATTGAACTACAATTGCGAAAATAACAGATAGAACAGATCAGTTCGATTTTCATTCAAATCTCCCCATTCTGTGACTAGAAGGATTAGAGAGCTGAAATTTGTTATTAGTCGATAAAAATTGTTGGTACACTTCATGGATTGACCAGAACAGTTTAGACAAGTTTAACCAGAAAATTGGTTTATTTACCAAAAAATGTGTTGAGATGAGTTTGTTTTGTTGAATAAGTTGTTGCTCGTGCATTTAGATAGTTTTTGAGCTGAATTGAATCATTCATAAGCAAAGGATTGCATTGGTGAAAGAATGATGATTTTGTATGACTCCATTCTCGAAATATTGAGGCGTAAAGTTTCAAGACCAATGGCCGAAATGAAAAGAACTTTGGGTAAATTGGAAAAAGTGTTCAATCCATGAAGTGGTCCAATAATTTTCATCAACTAACAACAAGTTTCAGCTCTCTAATCCTTTTAGTCACAGAATGCGCAAGGTTTCAATGAAAATCGAACTTGATCTACAGAAACTCGATTCTTTCAATTGGTCATATTCGCTGCAAATTGTAAGACCAGAAACATTTAACTCTTTTCAACCATTTTAGTGCCAAGTTTAGTCATTATTCTAGTAGTTTTTTGCCTTTATCATAACTATGGTTTTTGATCGTCTCAGAGCATCTTCCGCTGCTAGGATCTATTACCAATTAATGGTCTAATTTCAATTTAACGACTTCACTTTGAATTATTTATGCATTATTCAATAGCATAGCATGTAAGCAACCATTTTCAATCACAATCATTGTGCGACTAATTTGATGAGCGATTGAATAAAATGTCTAATGATCAATTGTTCTGAGTAGTCGGTAAAATTACGCATTCTATTTATAATCAATGAACTTAATTATTACCATTGATATTTGTAGACAGTTAAGAAAATAAAAGACAATTAAACTTATTGATTTATAAATCTTGAAATTTAATATTTTATTGAATCACTTGAGTTTATGAATACATTATTAGTTAAATGACGGAGAAAAGTATCGCTTTTTTAAATTCAATATTTGCATATTCGTAAGTGATTTTCAAATGGCGTAAAGGAAAACTGATAATGGAAACATTTGATCTGTGTAATGAGATTTGTTAATCAGTAATTTACTGTATGATTTCGATGAAACTAAATACTCTTGACGAGTTTAAATCTTTTATTAATAAATTAAAGCAAGGGCCTAAGCAAACGGCTGTATTAGGATCATACGGAAATTTGATTACGTCTATACCAAGATTGATTGTACGTGTTATTGGATTTCGTCCAAGTGATGTTGATGATGCTGACGCAATCAGCAAGATAAAAAAACTCGAATCAATTTGCTTTTCATTCAATATTTTACCAAATGGATTCTCCCAAGATTCAAGTGTAACTCCATCAAAATGGACTACAAAAAAATCCATCCTCTACTCAAGCCTAATGACAGTTTCCATCATTCATTTGGCACTGTTGAGTGTCTTCGATCTGCCTGATCAATGGCTTCTTGTTCTTGGTGACTTTTTTCATCGCCAGAAAAATGGTCGATATTTGTTGCTGAGTGCTTCTATTGTTGGTGAAATTTTAGGACATTATTGGATATATTTTATTAAAAACGGGTATTTCACAACTAACACTCTATTTCAAAAGTTTGGTCCTCAAATTCATTTTTAAATTTCTTTGCTAAAAATTGGAATAAATTAAATATTTTTTCAGGTTTAATAGCTTCAATGGCGGTGAATCATATGCTGAATCTTGTTTTTAAAAAAATAAATTCGTAACAATTAAAATTAGTTTTGAAAATTTTAACATTGAAATGGATTTTTCAAAAGTTTGGTCCACACTTGATTATCTAATCAACGAGTGAACAAAATTGCTTAAAATTTTTATAAAATCTTCCTCATTTGTATGCAGTTGATTCATTAAAAGTTGGGTCTTTTTGCTAAATTCTGAAAAAAGTTATTCAAATTATTGTTTCATAATGGATTTCTATGGAAATTTCAGTTTTTTCGCTCCCAATCTGTAATTGCTTATGAGTTAGTGACTTGATTGCGCTCAAACTCATAAGTATCATAGCTCAGACTATTGTCAAAATGCTCGAAAAAAATCGATCATAAAAAATTAGCCTTTGGTGTGAAAATCAAAAATATGCGAATTAACACTCTATCTCCTTAGATTATTGCATAGAAATCGATTTGAAACGATTCACAAGTTATTCGTGCACCAAGAATTTATTTTTCATGGTAGATTTTTTTCGAGGATTTCGACAATAGTCTGAGCTATGATGGGTATGTTGCGCTCATACTTCTAACACTTATGGCTTTCCAC